ATGGACCGAACTGTGGTTTGTCTCTTCTCCCAGGGTATCACAACGGACGAACAGATGTGTTACAGACGTGTTTGGGGCGGTCGACGTCAGTGTTTGATTCTAAATTCTGCTGGTGGGCGCCATGTGCGAAAGCAAGCCGGTGCGAGAATCGGAGCTCCCCGTGAGACAGAAATGTTTGAGCAAATATTTGGAAAACCCAATTTCGACTTGGAGCTCCTTCGTGAACGCTCCATTAATAGCTCCTAGACCCGGCTGCAAGATGTATTGTAGCAGTGGTCATCACGACATGTTGTCGTTTTTGCTAGATCCTTGTCACATTATATATCTGTGACATGGTGCAACACGACAAGTTACCAACCACGGGCCGGGCGCCAAAACAGCAAATAATACGGCGCCGACTGAAGTGCACACAGCATGAAAGGGTTGTATTGTGCATACTGTGACTGGACTCGGTACCGAATTTGTGTACAGTAATCACAAGCTTCTATCGAGCTTCATTTTTGAATCGAAGAAATGTTTTGAAAAGGCGGTGTTTTCACACACACCTGAGGGGTCAGGTCACTTCAGGTTGGCGGATGTGCGCGTCCAAAGTTGGCTTAGCGCGCACGTTAGCCAGGGGTAATGCACGGACTGTCGAAGGCTCTTGCACCAATTGACAAGCTGCGGAGTTTTTATTTACGTGCAATACATGCAATGTGCCAGACAACGGTGGTGACCCGTTGACATGACAGGCACAACGGTCGGGGCATATTCAAGCCAGTAAAAGATACGCCAGCCGATACTGCATAGCTACTTAAAGTATGTATTCCCAGCACTAATACGCACCCTATGTGTACATACACTCATCGTGTACAGTACATATCATGGCTAATGCCATTTGGTAGCCAGGCCGTCGACACAAACGGGAAAGAAATAGTATCGCCAGGGTCTCGTCCACGGGACCGACTTGATTGGTTGCATGGGATTGAAACGCCGAGCAGAAGCCAATGGCTGCTGAGGCGGCCCCTGCAGGTGACCCAATTTTAGGCGTCATGTTCATTTTGACTGTGGATACGGGGTTTGCAAAGTATCCATCGCCCCTTCCAACTTGGGGCCCAAGCCTGGATGTGCCTGGCTCACAGACAGACAGAGAGCAGTTTTGGCCCGGTCGTGCGTTCTTTGTTTGTGTGCTTCGTCCCATTGGCAAGGGGCAGAAGCGGTTTAGCTTGATCACGTCCCCGGCGATTCGCCCGTCATGGAAGCGCTGAAGCACCAAAACAGGATCAATAATGAGACCCGTAGACGCTCAGCCAGGCTGAGGAGGCCAATCAAGCAGCAGTCCCGTATCCCAGGCCGTTCATTCTGTCCCTGCCTGTCTGTCCCTGGCTTGGCCGTCTTGGCCATCCATCTCCTTTTGCTTTCCCCTTCTACTCCGGTCCGCTTCACTCCCTCTCCCTCTCCTCGCTCACTCATTTCCTGCACCCATTTGCTGGCGGGCAACCTTTGAGCAAAGGCCCTTCGCTTCGAGCCTTTTTGCTCTCTTCTTACTGACATTCCTTGTTGAAAACTGTTACTATTTTCTTCTTCCAAGAGCTTGTTTCATTCTTTTGACAAGTTCTGGATACTTTCAGCTCCATTCCTTTAGCTGAAGATCCGTCCAATCCTTCCGAAACACCTTCACCAACTACGTATACGAACTCGTGTCCCAACGACCAAGAACATTTGCCCTCGTCAGCTTGTCATTGTTATGAATGCGTTTCGATCTTGATCGGCTCCTTGTATTCCAGCCTGGCAGAACCTTACCGAACGTGAGTCTTGACCGTTTGATCTACGCGCTGCCCTGTTCGCTGCTATGTATTTGTCTTGCTATTCTTCGTCTGCGACAATGGACGGTATGGAGGTGGTACATATTGGATTCGGAGGGCGGGTTGGGCCTAGCCAAAACGGGCTACGTATGACGGCCTTGACCTTCGACCTTGGACCGCCGCCAAACGCCAAACGCGAACCATAATGTCCATGCATATGCAAATTGTCTCGCACGCCTGCTCCCGCTCACCGCGAGAGCACGTTGGCACATGCGGCAATGGGTTCATCGCTGGAATGGATTTTCTCGCTATCGTGAGCGTCATGGGGTCGCGAGAAATTCAATAGTCGTCGCGCTTTACTGTGTTCTAGTACTGCATATTGGACTGCTAACATATGAACCACTGGTTGCAGATCTTGCATTCATTTATTATCGACGGCTGCGCCTTGGCAATCACTCGTCTTCATCATGCCTCCCACCTTTCTAACACGGGATGCCCTGAGCCCCTTCGTTGAGGGTAGCTCTATCTCGGCTCGCAGCGCGATGCCTTCCACCGACGGACACTTTGCAACACAGCCCTGGAGGTCACTCCTCGTTGGCAGCAAACGGCTCGCCATCCGTTCATTTTCAACCATCTCGCGCCGTGACGACGACGGCCAGAATCACCTGATTGACTTAATGCTCGTCATCCTGGGCCTTGTTTTTGCAGCCCTCATTCTCGCCTCGCTTCTCTACCTATTCCACCGACGCCGCCGCCTACAGCATCAGCGTAACGGCACCCTGCCTACTTATGAAGACGTCAAGCAGACTAACCCCCGTGGCTTGACCATCGAAACAACTCATAATGGCCGGTCGAGCGTCTTCTACATCGGCCGTGACGGCCAGCCAATGCTTCAAAACCCTCACTCGCCCCCTCATTCTCCCGACAACGTTCCGCAAATCCATATTACATTCCCTGAAGAACCTGACGAGAATGGACGTCCCAAGAGCGGTCGCGTTCTTGTGGTGCGTGTTGGTGACAACGCCGCTGTCGGTCTCGAGCCCATGCATGACGAACAACTACCAGCATACGAGAAGGAGTCCAAGGGTCAGTTTCAGTCCATTGACATGGATAACATTGGCGGATTGAAGGAGAAGGACCGGAACTTGTTCCAATAATATCATGAGCGGGATCATTTCATTTTTCTTCATTCATTTTTCGACTTCTCAGCCTTTCCTTAACAAGAATTCATTGGTTTTGTTTTTCTTTTTGCCCGTTTTCTTACGTCTCCGCCGATCACAAATACACTTTTGCGAGGCAATAGGTCAACTTGTGGTACTGCACCAATAATACTACAGGAAAAGCGGCCGGTAACAGTTGCAACGTGGACTAATAAAACGACTCGAGTTGGCAAACAGTACTCGATACCGGCCACTTTTTTTGCATCACTCGACAAGCGTTCCGCAACTTCTACCCCTTCAAATCAATCACAAGCGCAACTGTTTCTCTTGGATCGTCTCGCATCTGTTTCTAATTTTCGCGATTTACACCTTGAAGTAACTAACGACAAATACTCTACGATTAAAACACATTCATAGACATGGTATGTGTAACTGATCTGATACCGGTTCATTGGGCTCTTGCGCGACAGGGTCTGCTGTTGATGACTAGGCCTACTCTCAATTTCTCATCTGATGACGGGTGGAATGATGATGCGGTGCAGAAATGGGCACAAAGCGGCAAGCCAAGTTCGTGCTGTGTTACCGGCTGGCCCCCCAAGCACCAGACGTCAATTAGTGAGAGGAAACCGCAGCCTTTGGACGGTTGATATCAGGAAGAGGCGGGCAAGTATATAGCAACAACGGACGGAAGGTTGCACAATACTGGAGGCAAAGGCCGTGTCCCTAGCCAGATATGGAGCTACTGCCTCCAATGTGGTATAGTTGTATATTCAATAGTGTATAATTACACAAAGTACATATGTACTGTTTTTACGAACATGTTTTTTTGAGGTTGATGTAAATGGCGTCATTCAAGTACCCTGGTTGCGCATTATCCCTGCAATGCAGACGGCTTTAGCCGTGCTTTGTACAGTGAAAGGCGACATGGAACACTTTGTTCTCCTGTCAGCCACTAGCGCAAGTTTGTTTTATCGAGGCTGTCATGGACAGCAGCAAAATGCAAGTGGCAAACATACATATGCCAGTGCCCACTGGCAGCGTCAGAACAAGCCTGGTGCGTACACGCCAACAACATTGCCGTTACGACCAGTCTAGGTTCGCGGTCCTCCGGTACAAGCAGGAAGCTGAGCTGCATGCCCCTCATTCGTGTCGAACATAGAAGCTCCCTGATTTTGCTTCTTTCTATGCAAAGTCAAGTCAACTGGCTGGCTGGCTCCCGTGTGCACGGCACCAAGATGGCGCCGGGCCGTGCATTTCGATATCATAAAAGGGTTCAAGTAGAACGGGGCTACGAGCCGGCTCGGTCAAGACAATCTGGAGCGGATTGCGTAAAGCTCCTGACGCGTCTCAGTGCAACTCATGGTAACTAGTACCTACCTGGCCCAAATACCTAGGTAGGCAGTCATGTCCTGCGTCACAAGGCGGGTTGGTGAATGCAAGGCTAGATATGGACATATTGATGGCATTCACGGATAGCATGTGTATTAGAAGCATCTGGCTCAAGGTACATGACATCAAGTGTTGGTATACAATAAGCAAAACACGCTAGTCCATCCCATCAATATCATCTGTACGCCATATATGGGGGTTCTTTTTTGTACGCGTAGGAAAAAAAAATTGTAGCATCTCTTACCAAACGCCAGAAGAATGAACCCAAGTTTCCCTGCGAAACGCGCAAAAATAAACGCAAAAATGCTATGAGAAGGAAACGCCGTAGAGTAGCGCAACTTATTTCGCGAGTAGCCAAGAAGGTTGTTGGGTTGGGGCGTATGGTCCTTTTGTCCAAGACCAACGAGTTGTAAGATTGACAGCCTTATTGGCCGTTAGCAAATCGTTTCGTCTTACGATTGACGTGAGATTTCAGTAGTCCATGTGCTATTGCATGCTGCGCCAGACAGTCATCGCGCGCGCGCACATGGTACGGAATTTCCTTGGGTTGGGTAGCGTTTGTCCATCTGATTGCCCATTGGATTTACCCCAAACATCAGGTGTATCATCATTCAGTCTATCCAAGGGGCCTGTTGTGTCTGGCCGCGGCGCAAGTGCTTGTCTCTGTCTAATAGCCACCAGGAGGTTGTGAATAACCGCCCTGGCCGTGTTGTCGATTCATATAGTGTTCCATAAAGACATCGCCGCCAAACACGCTCTGCTGAGCCATTAGGAAGCCTGCACTTGGTTGCGGTATCGCCTGTTGAAACATGGATGGGTCACCGCTATGCATCCCTGACATAGGCACGCCCTCAACATTCATAAGCGGGTTTGTGTCTGGCAGCACAGCATCCAAATCTCCCATTGGCATTAAAGAGTTTTCAGCGTCGTACGTAAGCGGATCTTGTGTAGCACTGCCAGGCCTATTTCTTGCTTGGGCAAGGAACAGTGGGATACCTGGTGCAGCATCCCCTTGACTTGCCTCGGTTGTTTGAGTTCCGGCCTTTGTGGCAAACATGTTTGGAGTTGGCGATGACGGATGGGATCCAAGCCACCGTGTCGAGTCGGAAGGACTGTGCGATGCCATTCGTCTGTGATATTCTTCAGGTTTGCCGGTAGCGATGCTCTCGAGAATGGCGTCGGGGCCTGGCAAGCGGGTTGAACCTTCGGATTTGGACCCAAACATGCTCACAGCAGCTCTCTGGTCCGCCACTTTCCGGGTCTTGCTGAAGTCTTCAACTAGTGTCGCGTTGTGGTTGTACTACATGTCAACGCAAGGTTAGTGGACAAAACCCATGGAACAAACATATCAAGGAGACGTACCGCCTGTTGTGCAACGTTCAATATGTCACACCATGGCCTGGTAACTCTTTGAACTGAATCAATAAGAAACCGAATATGTGCCTCGTCGACCTCAACGCTCCGCCATAATGGTGCCGTCGTAACATCAGCGATGTCTCGGTAAAGCCCATACTGCAGAGCTACCAGCAGCACGCGAACGCATTGGGTTGACATTTGAAATGTGGAATGATCGCCCGCAAGCTTAAGCTTCCCTGTATCATGCATCTGGTCAACCTCGTTTTGAATTGCATCGCAAAAACGGCCTAGGCACATTGCATGAGCAACTGCCTGTTTCTGCGACCGAGCTATGAACTCCCTCGGGAGCTTGCGGAGAATCTCCACCGACACCTTGTCCCTCTGACCTGGCAACGAGAACCGGTATAAATCGATGTGGCTGACGGCCAAGTGAGTGTGCAGAAACACGTAGCCGGCTCGTTCGGGGGACGCCATATACTTAGCGACGGTTTGGTCACTCAGAAGGATTTCGGGGGGCAACGACATGTGGAATCGAGTCAGCTCATTTTGGAGTCTATTAACGTCCGCCATTACTTTTGACGCGTCGAGTTGCGACTGCGATGGAGAGCTTGAGCTGCAAAGTCGCTTTGTAGTTCTGGACGCAAATGGGTTATTAGTTTCCCCCGCCAGGATTTCAGCGCATATACCAACAAAGCCACTTACACTTGTATACGGTGTCGCAGATCAATAAGACGAAGCTGGTACCCATGTAAATTGATGGTACTGGGATGACTTCCAGGCTTGTCATACAATCTCTCGGCATTGATTGGTCTGTTTTCTCGAAACGCTGCTTCCGAGCATGGCAAGGCAATTTGCATATTTTCGGCACGACAAGAGATGTACTCTTCATACCCACCCGCTAGCATGCGATCCAAGTAGAAAAGCTGCCAAGCGATACGTCGCAAACACTCTTGCTGAGCAAACGTTTGATTTTGGGGCAGTACATCCCAGTTGACCCGTAGACCTAGCATCAGCCTCGAGGCGACACCAAAGGATTGCCAAAGCTTGGCAAATTCTCCACGAATAAGGTTGAATGTGATACTTAATGCAAAGAGAACTAGAAGATCGTCGGAGAACTTGTAAATGTTTTGAAACAGGTACATTTCGACATGGGCGCTGCATTTGACACCAAACTCGCCACCAGAATCGCTGGGACTCACGAAGACTGCCGTGATACCGCACACGGCCGCTGCCACAACGGGGTCAAACGTGCCTTCCTGGATTTCTTTGTAGGTGGTATCTGGGTGCAAAAACCCTTGGCACGGCAGCCAGTACATGTTGTCCATGTAGGCGTCCACATGCCTCAGGAGTATATCCCGACGTACTAGCATTTCTCTACATCAACCGTGTTAGCAGCCTGAGGTATAATGACTGTGATGGGGCGCAACATACTCAGACGTCAAATTTGAACCTTCTGTTATGAGAGCAAAATGATTATGGTTGGTACTTCCGGTACTCGATGCCGGACTAGTAACAGTGTCTGACCTGCTGGCGGTTCCCGAAGTGGACAAGTTTGCCTCGGGAGCATTGTTGGCATTGCTGGAACTTCCTGCGGCATCGCTTGCATTTTGAAACCGAACATTGGTGAACCTCCTCTTGGCTGGCGTATACTCGCAAGGCAACCCACCAGCTTCACATCTCTTACATCGCGGTAAATCACCCGAACATTTAGTTTTGTGAGAATGGCATTGGCTGCACGCCCTTTGTGCCCTCTTCCTCAAAGTTCCGGCCTCTGTATGGCTGTGAGATGGTGTTGTTCTTGATACTATAGTTGACGCCAGTCAATACGTTTTGAGAAATCTGATTTGAGAACGCGACGTCTATCAATTTCAAACTGTAGGGTACGAGCTTACTTGCAGCCTCTTCATCTTCCGTGTTGGTAAAATTGCATGTCAAATCCAGTCTCGCGCAATTTGTGCAGGGCCCATCTCCTGGGTTGCCAGAGCATTTGACCTGTGGACATGAAATCTATCAGCAAAGCAGCCTTCACACCAATACAAATAGCCTTATTTCATGCGAGAGAAGTAAGCACTTGTCTCGGGATAAGACACAAAAAACCGTCATATATCATGGCGTTTGGGGGTGTAGGCAGGTGCATAATGGCATGATAATGCCCCCCTGGTCACATGTTGGCGTGAAGTAAGGGCGGAAGGACCCAAGAAGACGAAATATAGACTTGATAAGGGGTGAGAAGTTTCTACCTTTCTCAGTCGACATGTGCGGCAGCAATCGCTTAGAACCGGAGCGGTTCGACGACGTTTTGTCGGAGGAGCGGCAGCTGTAGCGATACCAGACGTTGCCAAGGAAGCAGACGCTGCTGTTGTGGGAGCATCCTGCCCGTCAGCATCGGGGGCTGGCGGCGGATCCATGTACCAGGACGGTGTTGAGCGCTCAGTGAGTAAGGCGCATGAAGTGAGGCATGAGGACGCACGACGAGGAAGACAGATCGACGTGACTACGTGTACGCAGAAGACGGGCGACGATTGTTCCCTGTTATAGGAGTCATAAGGGCTGGGATAGGAGGGGGAAGGAGGAGAGAAGAAGCCAAGTCTGGGCAGGGCAGTCCAGACTTGGTCAGGAAACAAAGCAAGAAGCCGTTGCATTGGCCTGAGAGAATCGAGTTTGGGGGCTTGGGGCAGAGCGACAGTGCGACGGGCAGTGCCCAAGTGTACTGACTCTGGCTACCAGGCCTTCACTAGGTCTCGCCCTATTGTAATCCTCCATGTCGCTGGATGTCTGCGGCGCGCCAGAGCTGCGCTGGAAGTGGAACAGGGTGCTTTGGACCTCGCTGGGTCAAGTGGCTTGTTTCGGCCGTCGCTGCGACGTCTGTTTGGACATCGTCGATGGGGCCAGGCCCGGCTGTCGCCCGAGGGTGCCGAGCCTGGTGGCACAACACTTTTAATATTGTGACAGGGCCTGCAACCAGCCGCTTGTCCAAGACTCCAAGCGGGAGACAGGATGAGACAGGCTGTCGCTGAGGCGCTGAATGGCTCCATGATTCCCGGCGCAGTTGTGCGGTGTCCAGTTTGTGGCACCCATCTACGCCTGCCATGATGCCATGAGGGAGGGCCAATCCGAGGGTCCGAAGGTTGAATGCATCGCACTCGAGACGCAGTGGTCTGGTCCCGGCAGTCGAGGTTGGTGAAGAGACCAGAGCCATTGTCGTCTGATATGGAGCACTTCGAAGTAGTGCGGACAGCGAGCTGGCTGAGAGCTGAGTCTGGCACAACCAGTGGACAGGGGAGTGTACCGAGTACTCGGCACATTGCCCACGAAGCAGAATTGGGCCCGGTTTTCGATTTCGAAGCTCGACGGAAGCATTGACACGATGGTCGAAGGCAGGGTGGAAAGGGCTGCCCGCCCAAGCAACCCAAGATCAGTTTGCCTGCCAAGAGCATGGCAGCAGAGAATAGAACATAATATGCGGCCTGTTTTCCTTTTTCCCGTTCATCGTGCCAGCTGCTTGCCTTTCCTTTTGGGGATGTCGAACTGCGGAGCCAGTCGTAAGCACGAATATCCTTGCTGACCGGCATTCCACCCACAATGCGGTACCAGTCAAGCGGTCGAGAGAATCGGCGATAAGATGGCTGGCTATCATGAATTATTTGATGCGTTGCCGCCAACCGAAAGAAGGCGGGATGCTCCGTACGGAAGGAGTAGTTCTTGTATCTATTGAAGCGTCGAGACCGATGGGGAATGGCAGCTTTGTCGATATCCAGCCTTTCGAGGAGTGTCACAGCCCTTTCAAGTTTCTCTGGCTGTTGGTTGGGAAAGTGCCGTCTCAGCCTTACCAGACGTCGCACCGTCCGCACTCCGCAAGCAAGACCAAGTTGCGGTCGATTGCGCCTTCCCTTAAGTTGTGTACGAGGCTGTCGCTACAACATGTTGCAACCTATCACAGGACTCGGCCTTGGCTGGCTCGGCGAACGACTTTTCGGACACATGGACCGCCCTGATGCAACACCACGACATTTCAATGCACCCTTCTTTTACAAACACGTCACGGCGATATGTTGTGTGGTACTCTTGAAGTTGACTGCGGCACGATTGGCTTTCTTGTGCTTCTCTGACAATAGCATGCGTCTGTCTGATCTTTGATCTGTGATTCCCAACCACTGACTATTTGATACAGGTCGGCCACATCATCCATATATACACTCACGCGCATCCATCTCCAAGCTGGCTACTGATGGGACAGGGTGGTTGGTCACTCAAAACCGACCTACATGTACTCCGTATGCATCGCTGCATGTCTCGTGGCCGACACTGAGCAACCCCAGCAAAGGCTACTCCGTATTTCGGCCCCGTCACTGTTGACCCTTTTCGGTAAATTATTTGAGAAGCTGGCGGCGAAGCCAGAGTCAATCAAAGTGTGGACACCATGAGACACCATTACTATTGCATTGCCATCATGGATTCAGGGGGAGGGAAGTGCGAGAGCGGAAGACACGCACAGCCATATGCTAAAAAATCAACAGACAGGGACCAGGCCAGTCGTTGCCAGAAGCGACGGCGGCCGGCGAAGCTTCGGAAGGTTCCAGTGTTTTAGTACTGCCGCGTCTTGGCTACATTTGACAACCAGCCTCTTCAGCATCCGACACCCTTTCGGCCACGGCCACACTCTACTGGGAAACTCCGTTCCTCAATAACTACCAGTGATTTCTCGTTTTCTCTCTATGCCCATCATGGACGCGGGTTGTGCCACAAAACAGCTTTAGTACGAATTGTAATGATGGTGACAACAATAATGAGAGGCGTTGCCTCTACTTATCGGCATTGACTATTGCCGCTATTTACTGTACTCCATGTCAGCTTGCGGGTCGATTTTCAGCCGAGGCCCTCCAGCTTTCCTCGGGTGAATTGGTGGCTCTCAAGTGAAATTGATATTTCAACCACGACGAACGGCGGTTCGTTTGGTGGAGGCTCCAGGTCTGGGCACATGAGGCTACAGTGAGGGACGCAGCTGCAAAAATATGTTTTCCATCATGACATTCGTTTACTCTCACCGCAGCTTGTTCCATTACTCCTCTCTGTCCCGGAAGAAGCCTACATGGGATTGTCGCCTGCCTTGCAGTAGCTCAGTATGATAAGCTACAGAGAGGACGATGCTGCCCAATTGCAATTCGCCGGAATACATCGTTCTGGAGAGGGCGCATTGTCCACGCCGTCTTCTAACAACAACTTGCAGCTTCGGCAGGCACTGGATCCCCCATCCTACTCATGAAGGCGTCGAGGTACAAAATGCTGACCAGAGAGAGGTCATGATTTGGTAGAGTTTGCCACAAGCTTTGCATAAGATCTCTTTCCGCCTTTGCTTTTCGCAGACTTCTCACAGGCAAGTGTCTCGTTTCTCCGTGCAATAAAACAATAGATTGTACATACATATGCACGAAGCAACCTTCGGCAATCGGGGGACCAGGATAGCCCTGTCGTCAGCAGTCGGGGGTGGAGCCAATACAGGTAAATTCATCCTCGACGATTGTTGTACTGGAAGTCCAATTATGTGTCGACTTTCCGGTCTTGGCGAGAGCCAACGAGCTGCCGCCTCATCGATAATTTGTTCCCGCCGGCCTCCTCCCGGCGCTTGTCATGGCTTGGCTGGCACGACAGAGTAGGAGCAAAGCTGGCCGGCTGAGACGCTGTGGTTCTCGCTAGTAGGGGTCATTTTCGTCACCTTGAATATTGCGGCAGGCAGCGGGTTCCATGATAGAGGGACATGTGGCATAGACATGTTTGCATTCTGAATCTAGCGCTGACTTGAGAGCCATGAAGAACTTGATCATCGACCTGCCGTCTTGAACATGGGACAAACAGTTTGACCAAATCTTGTTGGTGAGTGGTGAGACTCGGTAGCAAACAAACTTCCAGCTTCTGTTTGTACATATAGGTACGTACAACCCTGCCCATGATTGATCCCTGAATATTGATCTCTCAGATTACTAACCACTGCGAGGGCCAAGGGTGGGCCTGTTCCGAGTCATTGACTCTCCTCGTTGGGCGCGGCTCGATTCAAGGTGAGCTCTTCTATAGCCTTTAGCGGCTTAGCCGAATCATTCCAGATTTTTTGCCCGTTTATTCGGTGCCGAATGAAGTTGAGAATAGGCCCTTAAAGGACTCGGAGAAGCGTAAATCCTGATTGCTCTTCACTTGAAATTGCAGGCTGAATCCCTTCTTCATCTGTGATTTTCTCCTTTCCCACAGCCGCTTCCATGACAATTCGCGCGTCAATAACACCCCACTGGCAACCACTGCGACCGGGGCCTCGGTCCGCAAGCAAAAACGATCCCTATATACTTGAGTATATTTTTGTTCTAAGGGGGTGACTCGTGGCCGGCAGGTTTTCTTTCATCTTTTCATCTTCAACGAGATATAGCGCACTTGGCGATGCCTCACTGTTGTTGACATTGGAGTTCTGATTCTAGGCTCCGAAAATATAAAGTATGCTCAATGCATCAATCAGCTCGTAAGATGATGGAACCGCCGGCGACCGTTGGACCCGACCTAGTCTCGCACATTCTGGTGACGACGAACGCTCTGTGCTTGCATCAACTTTGCCCGGCATGGAAGCAAATTATCCCAGATAAACAAGATCCTAGACGGCCGAACGTTGACGGGATGCCCCTTGGAGTCACGCCCGAGTCATCTGGTGGCGTGTGCCACTAATTCGTAAAGTCCAGACCGCTGGAAGAAGGCGAAAGCTAACTATTCCAGGCGGCCGGTGAAATTCGAATGCGTCATTTCGAAACGGGTAGTCATCTCCCGGCGCAAAGGTCTAACTTTGCACGAATCGGAATCAGTGAAATGCTGCGGATGGGCATGGATGGGCGAAAATCCTATGTGTGCTTCAGAAGACAAAGTCTTGACATTGCGCATCTACAATGCTTCCTGCGACCAAAATCGTGAACGAGTTTCATCCTACTCGGTACGCAACGGCCCTGGGTGACTCTAAGCCGTAACAGGCAGGGCTACATATGTAAGTGAATTGCAGAGCCTGGGCCCGGGGATGCTTCTTGTTTCTGCTGTCTCAGCTCTCGGCCCTCGGCCAGTCAGTAGTGCTTACGGAGTACATGACCACAAAAAGCTACAAGAGTAGGCAGTCGCACAAAAGTCTGGGGACCTCAGTCTCCTCTTTGTACGCGGTTTGAAGACTGGATTCACAAATGTAATGGTAAATTATTTGGCCTGAATGGTGCCGGCCCAGACGGGGAGAAGATCAATGACATGTTGACGTATCGTATATATCAAGACATGCTCGAGTCTTGTACATGGTGCAAACAAAAGATGATTTGTATAAATTATTGACGGCGGCACAGAACGTTATGAAAAAGCGGCGAGGAGTTGGCCCTTGTTGCTTTTCTCCTGCACGAGGTGACATACCGAAGCCACCATGCTCAACTTTATTTGGCATTGGCGTTGACGGTAGGCAAAGACATGTCATATCCAACCATGTTTTGTCCAACGATCAATCCCACGCTTCACCATTGCCTAGGCCTCCGACATGTACTGAAAGATACATGTATAGCTATACCCAGGTTGTCGTTGTTGCAGCCTCGCCAGATTTATCTGGGATTCGAAATCAAAGGAACGCCTTCCATGCCGGGTATCACCCACCATGGCCAGATTATCAAATATAAACACGTTCAAGATGAACCTAGTAAGGCCAAAGACCTTCCTAGCAGGCAAACTCCGCCAATGCCATCACCACAAGTTCGTCCAAACATTTCTAAAGTCACTACTGCTTCTCCTCCTCCTCCTCCTCCTCCTCCTCCTCCTTCTTCCTCGGCGTCATCGTGGCCACCCTCACCCTCACCCTCACCAATACCATCATCAACCCTAACAAACTCCCACGTCGTTCCCCCCTTCTCTGTGGCCCTCAGCTCCCCGCCCTCCCCAGCAACAACGTGCAGCAGCTTCCCCAGGCTCGGCGCCAGCAACTCATATCCCCCATCAGGATGCCTCCTCGGCACAAAGTACCCATACTCGCCGTGCTCCTTGCTCTCCGCCGTAAACTTCCACCAAAAGTCGTGCCCCAAGTACCTCTCCAGCTCCGCCTCGCGGAAGCCCATCCAGCCGTCCTTTTCAACAGACTGCCAGTAGCAATTCCCCGCGCGGCCAATGTCCCTTTCCAGCCGGATCTTGCCTTCGAAAATGGCGATGGCGGCGTCGGAGGACCGGTCGAGGATGACATAGGTCTGGTTGGGCTGGGGGACGGCGTCGCGGGTGGCGGACGGGCCGAGGATTTCAGACAGGTCGTCGTGCTCAGCCATTTCGTTTCCTTCAGCCGTCAACAGTGTAAGTGTTTTGATATGGGGGGCCCGAGGTGCCAGGGGGGGATTCGGCCTGAAAGCAAATCAAACTAGGGCGGGATTATTGCACAAGAAAGAAAAGAAACGGGAAAGAAACGGGAAAGAAACATGTCGTCGAGTCGCGGAAACAAGAGCGACCAAGACTGTACCAAGCTATTCGGCACGCCGGGCGGTGGTTAAACGTGGAGTAATGACATACACACTTAAGTACATTGTCGTCGATCCACGTCGAGTGACGTCAGTGACGCATCACACAACCCGGGTCGCGGCCACGGGAGGGTTTCTTGCAGGGTGCCAATGCGCAAAGAGGCTTGGGCGCACATACAAAAACCGGGAATGAATCCATCGCCGTGGTCGACCAGGGCGCGGGAGAGCCTCACGATGGCGTCGTACATGAGAAAGAAGGGTGTTGGATCCCCCCCCTCGGGGTCTGGTACGACATTTCACCTCTCGTCGGTTTCGACGTTGCCACTGCTCGTCCCACCAACGCCATCTACACCTGCATCACTTCGCTCGTCTGCCCATCCCCCCCGACCAATCGAGAAGCCGGTATTCAGACATGTAGCCACCAGGATCCCAAGACTCACTCCGACAAACATCACCAAAAGGACAGCGAGCGGCTCGCGAGCATGAACAGACGGGCACCAGACATCACATTCACGACCCCCGTCCCCCGTCAGAATCATAAATAAACAGATTGACTACTTTTGCCCTAAAACACAACAACGCACCCATTCGTCTCGTCACGCCCGTTCCTGCTGTAACGAATGCCCAGCACACCATCCCAGTCTTAAACTCGCACAGCCGCGACTCTCTGACGCCATTCACAAACAATACACCGCACCGCACCCGTCACCCGTCGCCCGTCCTGCCAATGCCCTCACGCAACAGCAAAATCGTCGCACATGACCTCCAGACAGGCACACCCCTTGCCGAGCTGCACCATGGTGCAAACCGGCTTCGGCGCCCTTGGGACGCAGCAGCAGCACGGTGTGCCGACGAGCGGTGCGGCCCATGTCGCAACCGTGAGTGTTGCCAGTGCAATCACGTTGGCATATTTCATATTGGTGGTGGTTGTTGGTTGTAGCTTGGAACTGGTGTCTTTTGAACTTTGGTAAAGAAGTATATTAAGCGTGTTATTGTGCTCTTGTACCAGCAGCTCAGAGTTGAGAAGTCGACAATCAACGGCCCCGAGGAGCAGAAAAGGGGCACCTTGATATATGACCACGCCGTGGGCAGTCCGAGGGCTGTCGTTGCGTGATATCGATCGATCATACGACGTACCAACCTTCAAGCTATGCACTGTTTAACCCACACGTATGAATCAACATACGATACAGGAACTTTTGCATCTCTGCAAGTCGTTGGAACGGGATGTAGACTTGGGACGCGTTATGCCTCGATTTGGAACCATGTCACTGCGAGATGTACATGATAAAACGACGTAGAATTCAACTTGATTACGTACATTACAAAATTAATCTCAAAATAAAACCAGCCATGGATGCCTTCGTCTTTCATATAAGAGAGTGCTAGTGCTGTCGACCAGTTTCGCGTAACAAAATCGCAATCAATACTTTTCTCTATTTGCCATTCCAACTCACTAACAGTACTTTTCACTGCCTCAAAGAGACCAACAAGTCATATTCAGCACCGGACTTAGATGTTGGTGCACACAGGAGGTTGGACATGGACTGTCTCGGCATCTATTGGGCACGCAACTGCAGCGCAGACGCAGTCCTGCTGCTCGCGAAGTTGGCAAACCACCTGATTTTTGCCTGGATTGCAGCAACAGCAGTTAAACCGGCGGGCAGACGCAGATGACGGCGCAAGGCAGCCCAGGGGCATGGGCTTGGGCTGAGCCGGCTTCGCGACAGTAACGAATCTCTTGGGACGGTCGTTCAAGCCAGGAGGCTTGCCCTTGGTAGACGGAATGGCGTGAGGAGCCTCGGTGGTAGCCACAGGAGTGGGCTGTTTGGCAACAGAACCAGCCGGAGGAGGAGGGAGATTCTCAACAGGAAGAGACGGTGGAGGACGAACGGCATCCTCGTCGGAAACCGACTTGTCGTCGTCGGCCCAGACAACGGGGACACCCTGAGGACACATGACGGCGGCGCAGAAGCACTCATCCTTGCCGATGGAACGAGAGCAGCTGATGACGCTCCTGCGAATATCACAGCAGCAACACGCGTCTGCAGTGTCGGGCACGCCAGTCCTCGCCACGGAGGGAGCACGAGTCTGCTGAGCGGGACGAGTCTCTGGCTTCTTGACCGCAGCGGTAGGGGGAGCCTGGCTGTCTGTGTAGACGGTTGGAACGTTTGCAGCGCACGCAACGGCAGCACAAACGCAGTCCTTTTTGAGAATAGATCGGTCGCAGCTGATGACGTTGCTGCTAATATCGCAGCAGCAGCACGCATCGGCCGGCGAGTCTCTGGGAGGCTGGGCAGCGGCCGAGGAGAGGAAGCAGAAGACACCGGTAGCAATCCAAGTAAAGCGCATGATGGGCAGATTTGGAATCGTCAACTGGTGGAAACTTTTGGTTTTGAACAAGTGTACGGAGTAGACGGATGGATGATGATGTTCTTCTGGATAATGGGAAATCATGGGAAGAATCGAGGAGAACCACGCGCATTTTATGTTCGTTCCAACTCGCTGTTTCCTTGTCTACACTCAAGGTTCGCGCCTTCCTCCTCATGTGGTTGGAAATCCAGAACTCATCCAATTGTTTGCTCATCAACTACACGGCCTTCCGCAACCACTCATCTCTGTCTCACCCACACACCACCATCCTCACACACGGCGTACAAGATTTTGCTTCTCGATCAAGCGTGAACCGATGATTCCCTTATGCAGCAACGGCTCGGCTTAATTAGCAAAAGTTCTTCGATTTTTGAAATTTTGCCTCCTGCGTCTCGCCACTGCGTGGTCGGGTTGCCATTCACCATCGTACCGTCACACCACGCTTACATCCGTCCTCGAGAGAAGAAGAGTTTTTTTTTTTTTTCGCGCTCCGCAGGATGCAGATCCGGTGCAGGTGTCATGGGTAAGGTAGTAGGGCTCTGCATGCACCGAACCGTTCCCGATTGTGCTGGCCGTGAGCTCCCTCTCGGACTCTCGGGTCGTATGTCTTGCATGCCCAGAAGGAAAGGACCAGGAATAAGTAGGACGATGGGTAGTTTGTTAAGCTTATTCATGGGCCGTCTCATGCTCAATGCCTTGTCGTAGGCTCCAATGCATTGCCGTTGCTGTCGACCTGCAGATGCCAACATGTGGCCGAGCCCCGTTCAGGATCACAGCCGTCGAAAGCCGTGCCGTGTCGATTACCATGAAGGCCAACAAAAAAATTTGATTTGATTTCAGACAGCCGTGTACTTTTGAAATGAGCCTTATGTGGTCCCTGTCTACTATGCATCGTTGTATCAATGCTTTTACGAGAGACTTGGGCCCGCGGCATGTTGCCACAAGGGATTCTGATCTCTACCCTGCCAAACCAATCTGCTCTGACAGCTCAACACGAGGCATCTTCACTGGTTTCTGAGAGAGGAAAATCCCCTTCAACGTTGCATTGTTACTATTTTAAGCCGTCGTTACGACCTTGCCCATTAGTCATCGTTCCTTTACATCTCGATCGTGTGTCCCTCTTGCTATGGTGGCGCCGAGCAATTACGATACACCAACGTCACATTATTCACATCCACACATGTACGTGTATGCAGCACTCAACATGTTGATTATACACGAGTAAATTCAATTCGATTCTAACTAGCACGCCAAATTCCATCGAGTCCTCGCACGCCGTAAGAAAGCTTTCCCATTTCCCAAAACCATCAAGTCATAAAAATGACATCAACATATTGGCCTTCATGATGTACACGGCCGTTTGCAGTATCCGAGTAGATCGGTTAACATAAGAAATTCAAAATGCAAACATGTGAAATGAGATCCTTGTCACATCAAGGAAGAAACTTGATGCATGATTCCTGTTTAGGAACCAGGAACCGGGAGGCGAGGATATAGCGATGAGCCGCCCTCACGAAGGCTAATAGGTTGTCTTGGGGGGCTTCTGACATCGACATCCATGGCGTCGCCATCCCTTCGGGAAGCTTCAGCCTCTTGCTCGTTGACGAAATCCTTGCGCTCAAGACGGCCGCGAACATACTCTCGCAGGGTCTCAATAACACGCATATCCTCCAACCACCGGTCATACTGCTCCTCGCGCTCTCTGGTGGTTTCACTAACGTCCGACTCAGAAGATGGAGAACCAACAGAGAGAGCAGAGTCGCCAGCCTTGGGCGTGGTTCGCCCACTGGTTTCATCGGCAGGGCGGATAGGAGGAATCGTTCGAGCTTTCTGAAGCATGCCACCTGAATATCGGCGACGCTCGCTGGTGTCGAAGCTGGGGCCAAGAGTGGCAGTGGTAGAACCGAAGCCTTGGCTAACAGCAGGGAGACTGGTGGGCAGACTGGGGTACATGACAGACGACGTCGTAGTGGTGCTGTGGCGAGACTGGGGGGAGAGTCCAGAGGAAGCGGAAGGGCTTGGTGAATGGCCCGAAGTGTATGACATGGAGCTTGATGGCGGCGTAACAGCAGGTGTACCGGTGGACGATATGGCGGTAAGAGGCGAGGCCATACTAGCAGCTGAGACGGGGTGATAACCCTCGGCAGCCACATGAAGACCAGTTGGAGATCCGCGCTGGAGGACAGTTGGAGACTGGCTGTGTCGGTATCCACCAAAACCGCCCTCGCCACCACTGTGAATGTGAACGCCGGCTGTGGCATGGTTGGCATTCTCGTAGATGGTATCCTGCATCTGTCCAAGCAAGTTGTCAAGCTGGACAAGATCCTTCTGTGTTCGGGCATTGGGCATGGGCAAGTAGTATTGTTGAGCAAGCGGGTTTTGGGTCGGTGCTGGACCACCGTGAACCATGGCAGGTGCAGGCTGGGGCATGTACTGCTCGGTGGCAGCCATGGGACCGTTGGGAACAGAGAGCGAACCGTGGAGAGGCAAGAGTGAGCGTCCAATCTGGGTATATGATGTCGGGTCGATCTGCCGACGCTTGGCATTGCCGAAGAAGTCGTCAACCATGTCGAATGCGCGTTTGCGGTCATAGCCGCCAGCAGAAGTAGAGGCATGGTATCCAATGTGCTCGTGACGAGGTGTGCTCATGGGAGGCTGATTGAAGTAGAGATTATAACCGGTTGAGGGCTGGGGAGCATAATACCCGTGACCTGGGTGGTGTGAGAAGCCACCAGAACGAATCTGGCCATTATGGTCGTAGTAGCTTGGGGCTAGGCTCGAAGGTCAGTATTTAACAGAGGACTGCAAAAGACAAGTACTACTACGAAAGAAGTGAAGCATAACGTACGCTTGGCACCCTGGGGTCTGTAGTTGAGACCCTGATGATCCTGCCCAGGGCGAGAAAGGACAGAATCGTCGGCGTGTGTCTTGACGTGTTTCTTCAGGTCCTGAGGACGCTTGAAGCTCTTGCCACAAAACTCACACTTGTGAGGCTTGAGAGGAACATGGACTCTGATGTGAGAGGTGATGTGGTCACGCTTGACGGTAGTTGTGCGACAAGAGTTCCACTGGCAGGTGAGGTTCAAGTTATTGGTGCTCTTGCGACCAACATGGCGTTCACAGATGTGTTCCTGGTGTGAGAGAGGTTAGTCAAAAGAAGAGAACAGGGGAATCCAAGGAAGCCATTGCATCGCCACGAACATACAACGTTGGCCATCGTAGGCAACGTAGCATGCATGGTGCTACACTGAGCGATCACTTACATATAGAGTCTCTGGGCTGACGAACTTCGCGTTGCAAGAGTTCCAGCGGCACGTCAAGTTGTCATCTCCAGAACTGTGTTGAGACGTGTTGGATGTTGCGCTTGACGGAGCTGGCGTATTCGACTTGGAGTCGCTGCCATTGCTTGAGCCCGATGAGGCCTGGGCAGCGTCCGAGATATGGGACGTCATGGTGGAGTCTGACGGGATGATGATTGTGCGATGCACTGATGCTATGACTTGGTTCGGAGTTTCCGGGTTATAAGCGGGAGGCAAGTGTATGCTTAGGTTAGGACGCGCACTCCCAAAGGCTCGGAAACCGCTGTCGGGGGCAAAACAGCGAGGTGTAAAATATCCGTGGTTGTAACAGAAATAAACCCTTGCGAGAGAAGATGCGTCTTTAAGAATGATGTTTTGAGGGGAAGAAAGACAGCTCTTCGAAGGTTTCTGGGGCGTTCGCTCCCTTTACACTCTCACAGAAGTCTGGGCAGACGAGAAAGGGCGAGCGGAATTTCTTGGCGATTCTTGGCAAACATGCCAGGGTATGCGAGATGCGCAGGAACATGACGATATGTGTCACAAGACAGCACAGCCAGGGTATACACTATCAGAAAGGACGCCAAGCCTGCCGGCGGAGTGCGCTATGCCAAGAGCGCCAAGGCTTGGCATAGTCTGGGCACTTGGCCCATCACCACTTTTCCATTGGCAGCGGCCTCCACTCGAAGCCCTCGATGTTATGCCCAACTGCTCCAGTGTGCATCAAGCGTTTTACCAGGCGGATCCCAGGCGTACGAGCACGGGGTCCCAGACATGCAGACGACGACTGACTCCAACAATCCAACAATCCGAGGCCAGCAGCTGCTTGGCCCGCAAGCTGTCTGGGGAAGCCTTTGCTGTTTGCGCGGATGTCCTCTTGTGACATGCTCGCCGCATGAACGGACCAGACGGAGACCGCACACCAACACGGCGAGTCAGCTAGTACTATTCACGGGATGCCATCATGGTACGTATGTACCTCTGGGAGTGGGCTTTATCATGGCATTAACATACGGAGTATGGAGTAGTCGTGTCGAATATCGGGCAACGGACTCCAGAACAACCACTACCACACGCAATCCCAAACCGCGCCACCATGACTATGACTGTACGGAGTACACCCCAGGCTCCGCGGGAAGGATACGCTGGCAACTGTGTGACGGTACATCCAATGTCGCCTCGAAAAACCATTCAACCAACACCCACGCATCCGCTACAAAGAGATTCGATGCTTCCTTATAGCCGCGGATCCCCTTTGAAAATATCCATGGTTTCACAGCAGAAGCCAGTTTGGCCTCGCCAATATGCAGTGCATTGCTGATGATACTAACGCCATACAACAAGAAAGCCAAGTCGATCTGCCAAGTGGCTTTCACTCACTCACTCACTCACTCACTCTGTTCGGCATGGTCTGGCATGTACTCCGTGGCCAGTCGGCAACCAGGAGCTGGTCAATAGATCCAAAAACCAGCATCATAGTAGTAGTACTCGGTACTCCATACGGAGTACACACACACACACACAAACGCACATGCATCACCCGACCCCAAGGGGCACTAGCAATAACTAGGACTCCGGTACCCAGGTTCCAGGTAAGGGCCGCCAGCCCACCGTTTTGGCCTACGCTATGTCCCACGGGTGCCGCGGCGATTCTGTGCCTCTCTTGCATTGGTCAGTGGTTGTCGCAGATGAGCATCTGAATCTGTCTCTTCCAACCATGCAGACACTAAAATAGAACGAGAGGGAATGCAGAGGACTAACTGTGTTACAGAGACATACATACCGTGTCCGACAAGAGGGACTCAAACCCAAGCTTTAAACCAACCGAACATTCCGTATTCCACTGGGACGAGTGTCCGGTGTCGATTCAAAATGGCACTTGTTGAGATTGATTGTTCCTGCCCTCCATTTCGGCTATCCGATGAGATGTGAGCAGTTTGGTTTCTGACGTAACGGCGTCCCTTCGCTTCGTGGCGGTGGCTTCTTCCCACCATATCCAGGGTCTCTGCACACACATCGCTCAATTTGGGGAAAAGGAACGAGAACAGAGATGGAAGTGCGCGGGTCACTCTGCAAGGGTGCTTCCAGCTCTGGTCTCTGTCAGGCATGGAGTGCATTTTCGTCTGTCAATCGTCGTGACCTCCCGCCAGCCCCAGCCCGACTCCGGATGCTCCGGCTGAGACCGAAGACACGATGACTCCATCTATCCATTGCACCGTGCTGCGGTCGGAGTGCGTCGCCGCGGCTGAGGTTCCATTGTCTTGCAGAATTTATCGAGAAGAGAATCGCGGTGGTTAGCATGTCTTTTGCTGGTCCCATGCGAGGGACGGCTCCGCAAAGTTGCGCAGGATGCAAATCGCCGAGCATTTACACAGATCGTCCATCACTACTATCACTCAATGCCAAGGACTTGGCCTCTGGGGCCAGATGCGGCAGGTCGGCTACAGAGGCCGCGGTGTGTCGACGTTCTGGACCAGGACCACGGCCCTTAAACTTATTATGGTACAGAGCACTGCACAATGAGAATGAGGTGGTGTGGCGTCGTTTCATTTCGTGATTAAGCTCATGGACTAAGTACGGAGTAGCAGCCACAACCTGCCGCCGCCGTTGCTCGTATGAACAGCTGGTGTAACTGGACTAGGGGTATTATCCGGCACTTGCTCACCAACCTCGGAGCAGCTGGTGAGTTGCCGCCGCAAATGCATCAAACAAGAGACCACCTGTACGGAGCAGTCGGCTCGCAACCGCATTGTGGGCTTCAACAAGACAGGCAAAAAGGTTGGCACATTTGCGCTCCGTAAGTACTCGGAACATGAGTAACTCACCATGACACCCATGCCGATAGGACCAGCGCGTGGCCCCCATGGCGTGGCGTGGAGTGGCGTGGCATGGACTTTGCATTTGCAGCCTGACTGAAGTCGACAGCAACAACACAAGACGACGTGGAGTTGAGGGCGCGGGCATGAAGAGATGGGCATGGATATGAGCGGAACATGGCCAAATGGCCTCACGGCCAACTGTCCCCCCTCGGCCACGACTCCCAGCGTCCAGTCAATCGCGTGCCCAGGTGCCAAGCAATACCAAGCCCACGCCGAGACCATGCCAAGCTGTACAGCCTGGTTTGCCATGCAAGGGTTAGTTACCAGGTGCCACGATGCCAAAGCCAACCTGCCTCTGCCAAGATTTCTGAGCAACTCCACGGCTTGGTTTGGCACAAACAGCCAAGCACGTACTCCGTACTCCGTACACACATAAAAATCCTAGGACAACCTCGCACATTTGGCCCGGTCGGCTGGAGCACCACTCTTTCGAGCAGCGTCTCGCCCCGGACCGGTCACTGTGTGTTGTACGATTCTTCCGGCTGCCAAGACCTCGTGGACGGCGACAGCCAGTCGGCTAATGTAGATCTACGAGGGCACACCGCGGCACCCATGTGGACAAGTTAAGCTTGTGTTGACAAGCTTTCCACTGTGGCATGGGGCGAATCACACCATGCCACTCTTGCGGCCCAAGTTTTGGTCGACATGGAAAGAATATTGATCCCAGGACCAAGAGCGAAACTGCCATGGCGATGTCAGTTCAGTGATGATGCCGAATCAATTGCCGATGAGCTCGTTCATGCTAGCTACTCCATATAATATCGCCTGATTTTGTCGCAGCAAATACGACATAGGAACGAGCTCAAATCGCCCAGCAAAGCGAACTGCCAAGACAAAAATTTGTGCTTCCCGAAGCTCTCATTCATTTGGTTCATAAATGTTCTTGGCAGCCAGCGTTTCAATACAAGCCACTGGCCCCGAGGCCCAGGAGTTTAATTTGGCGTTTGTCGAATTACTCAACTCTGAGGTTGCCAAGCACACGTGTGCGCGGGGCACGCTCTCACTCTTCTTCTCCTCCCTCCAAGAAATGTAGCAGTACACAGTTGTCTATCGAGGGTTTCTGCTCTTGAGTCAGTTTTGTTCCATTTTGATATTAAACCCCAGTCATGGCTGGCTTCTGCTTGATACTTTTTTATATTACCCGCCATGACCGGGTGGAAACGCATATGAAGCGGTGTAGTTGCGCTGACATATGCATGTACATACTAGTACGGAGTATTAACATTTACGTTGAAAGTCTGTATCGATTATCCTCTTGGCTCAATAGCTTGGCTTGAATGGTTTCTGCAACGATGATCCTTGCTCACAGGCTGGGGATAGGAGAATAGCCGCCAACGTACGGAGCAGGTAGTCCGTGGCTATGGTGCAAAATTGTATATATCACGGTCCCAGTCTGGCTGAGCATCGTAGCTTGCGCCATTTTGTCATTGCAGAACGCGCTCAAATGTCACGGTTCGTCCAATCCAGCGAGACCGAGACGCAGGACAACGCTTACAGATGGGCGGGTTTCAGTTCTCAGATTGACACAGATGCAATACCAGCTGGATCTTCTGGCGAACCGGCAATGGCAATCGGTTTCCATTCCGGACACGGAGCCACTGGCTGTCGTACGGGTCAACAAGCACGTCATGAAGCTACTAGACATTATCTGCGCAAATTAGCTACCCTAGGACACGGTCACTTCATCCTCTGACGCGCTTTGCACACTAGCGGCCATCTGTCGCTGCTTTCTTTACCTGCCCAACTCTCCTTGATTGATTGACTGACGTCTTGTCTTGTCTCGTCTTGCCTGTGCTCCCGAAATCTCAAGTGCTTGTGCAGCGCCTCACGCCCAGCCGTGCCTTGCCGTGCCTTGCCTTGGCCTTGCCACGTGTGCCATTTTCCATGCCCGACCCTGGATGTGCTCGCCAGCACGAATGAATGGCTCTGTCCCGTCCATCCACGGGTCGCCGTCGACAGACAGCTGATGACATCATCGGAGCGCCCTGCGCTGAAACGACGCTTCTTCCCAGTCGTGCAAAATCCCCGAATAAAGTGGCCGTGCTCAAAGCATATATCGACATTCTGATACAACATCGATTGATTAATAATAATCCCCTAGGTTGTGACGCCACAAAGTCCAGATTCCATCTTCTCCGGTTGTGCTGCATGGAGATCTGTTTGACCTACCCTGTGGGCTCTTCGCCTTGTATATAGCCCGGGGTTCGTCGTTGTTTGCGCAACCGGTGCAAGGTTCCTCCAAGGGTATTGAACAAGACCGTTGTATCGTGCTGATTTCTGTTGCCTACATCTACCTCAAACTCAAGTCAAGTCAACACCGACCCGCCGGGACCCAAGGAGAGATTGGCGAAATAGTGACCACGGTGGAAGTTAGTCCGCCACGTTAAATCAAAGCGTCACAACAAACGCATTTAGTCTACCTATCAGGCAGGCATGGACACCATGCAATCAGACGGACAGACACACTTCGCACAGCGGTAAGAGACATCTCGTAGGGACGGAACCTCCATTGTCTGCAAAGTTCTGCTTGTTCAAAGAACTTAGGAAGCTATTTAAATCTCGCCATCCCAAGCTTACTTATCTATTTTTGGGTATCCTTCAATGTCCTGGCCGCCTTCATGTTGAAGCTTGACCTTTCCCTTGCTTTCCATGTTGTAACACATCCAGCACCAACCCTCGAGTATTGACTCTCATGTGGAAACAGACTGACATGTTCCACCCGTCCGTTACCTGACATCCATGTCGGAATAAAGATGTGGTAATTCTCAATTTTATATCCCCCCAATGCGTTAGGTTTCTTCAACCTGATTAGAATAGTGGTGCAAAAAGTGTAGCAAATGAAAAACGTCCAAAGCGCAAAATCATCTTCCATCAAGGACATGTGCTTCGCTTTCGATGGTGGTAAACAAATGACCGATGGTCTCTCGCTGACTTTTGTTGAAACTTGTTGCCAGTTCCAGGTCAGTTGGAAAATGTAATTTTTGTATGTGCAAGAAGCATGAGTTTTCTTTGAAAAAAAAAAGGGTTAAAAGATAGGCGGTTGATGAAATCCACAATCCCGTGAACAATCTGTGGCTGTCACTGTTTGAACAAAGAGACACCAACCAGCCAAGCTTGCAAGAGCCAGGGATCAACCATGACAATATGCCGGAAGCATTTTCCAGTGCATTCCGCCCAAGGGGTAGGGAGTCTCAACATATATAAAAAGAAAAAAAACCGCCAATGTAAAGAGTACAAAGTGCCGTGTCATCGTGATTGCAAGATGGAAATATGCCGCGCCCGACATGGATTCCGTTGTCAGCTCGCCTGCGAACTGGTCGCCCGTGAACCAGTTCATCGCAAGCAAATCCCCAAGAGAGGAGAAGTTGTATGAAAAGCCCATGCCGTACTTGAAACGCCATTGTTATGCAGTGAATATTATACAGAACCAAGTCGTAAAAGAGCCTCGACGGCCTCACGTTCCTGCGCATCCGATGCGCAAGCCAACGCGGAAAGATCGAGGTGCGTTGGTTGAGGCGGTCGCGCCATTCCCGAGCTGCTCGAGAAAGTTCGTAACCCGCCGATCGGGGGGAAATTTGGAGATCGCATGCTACCATTTGACTGAGCAGCGGCCATGTTGGGGTAGGATTCAGCCCTGAGTGCGGCGGCACCCATCGCGGCCCAGTCCTCGTCATCCGTTACATCTTCCGGATCATCGTTCATGACAACATCGTCATCTGGAGCTTCGGAGCAGGACGCCGAGGCCGAACCGTCCATGGACATCTTGTCCGCCTCGGTCTCCATCATGATATGCATGTCGTTGTCGTCGTGGGAGAAGTGGAAGGCTTCATCGGCCATCGAACCTCTAGCTCCTCTTCCACCTGCCTTGGAGATGGGGATAGCTGAGCCGTACGAAGATGGAGGCGTGCCTTGACGTTCACGACTTGCCATACCTCGTCGTTTCGCGTCCCATCTTCCCCAGCCCACCTTCTCATACTCCACGTCACCTTCCACGCCTCCTCCTTCTCCTCCCCGTCCCTCCAAAGCACCAACCACTAATCTCCTTGCCTTTGTTGGGGGTATACCCGAGAAACCTGGTACCGATGTCGTCAGATAGCCCATGATATGCCGTATAGCCAGAGGCCCGTGGTTGAGCAGGATCTCTGGTAAATGATATTTTGCTAACATGGGCGCAGTGATGGCGCCTGCTGATTCCAGGGCAGCTGGAGATAGTGACCGCCCATGACTACTGGCGTTGTCATGTAAGTCCAAGTCCGAGTCGATGGGCTCGAGCTTGGCCTTTTGGAGTTGCGCCTTCAAGCCATGAGCTGGCAAAGCCGGAGATATAGAGTTGGGGGGAGTAGGGAGGGTATGAGATCGTGCCACAGTCGCCGAGTCACTCCGCGCCGCTACAACAGTTAAGTTGTCTCGGTTGACGGAGGGCTGGGGAATATCACGAGCAGCTGATGCCAGGGAAGCCATGTTATCGACTTTTTGTTGCGATTTCGACTTCAGAACGCTGACTGTTGATGTAGCCCAAAAATAAGTCAGTAAAGTGTCTGTTACATACACTGACGTAGCAGGATTGATTTTGACATCCTCCAAAAAAAAGCAGAGTCGAGTACGAGTTTGCTGTGTGGCAAATAAAGGAAGTTTGATGGATGGATGTCGTGGCGGTTGAGTCACCGGCACTGGGCCACATACGCACCTTGAGTGCGTGCAGAAGGCGTAGGGTGCGGCGCGGGAAGGAAGGAGCTTTCGGCGCAGAGAGGACAAGAGGTACGTACCTGAGGTATGAAAGCCGTGTGTCAAGGGGGACGGCTTTTGTGCTGTGTCTTCTGGCAGTATAAACCAATAGGGGCTATGCTGGCAGAGCTGGCGTGATCACCTTGGACTGTGACAGGAGACTCTCGATATAAATCGTGCAGTCGGTATTTGGTCTTTGTTGTTGCTTTGAAGAGAAGAGAAAGGGAGGGAAGGGAGACGCGCGATGCGAAGGATGGATGGGCAGAAGTACTACAATAATGGGCATCGGCGTCGGGATCCCAGCAGGCAAGCCGGACCAGGCAAACCAGAACCAGGCAGGCTGCTCCAGCGTCGACATGGGAGACTTTGAGTGAGTGCACGAGCGCACGAGCAGGTACAACGAACTGCAAGAGAGACACACGTACGGAGTACACGCACACAAGCACACGCCTCTTGCTCCTGCGCGTGCATGTGCTCCCTAGGCACGGAGTATTGGCGACTTACTAGTGACAAATCGGGCCTGTATCGAGTACCTCGTTGTCCTCTTTGTCGAGCATAGACAAGGCAACGTAGCCCAAGTACCGATATACCTTATGTCAGCGTACTCGGAACTGCTGCGACTTGCAAAGCCTGGAAGTTCCCTCCAAAGTCCAACAATCGCGGGCAAGTACGGAGTACGGAGTGCCAGCAAATGACTTGACGCTGGCTGACACGGGGTTGTCGTGACAGCGCTGGAGGCCAGCCAACGCCCGGATTGCTGCGCGCACACCCCACCTCTCTCGTCTTTCATTTTTCGGGCTGGCCGTCAACCATGCGCCAAGTGCCTGGCCAGCCCTAGTTCCCCTAATAATATCCCCCCAGACCCCCAAACCCCTTTTGGCGTACGTGTCGTGACCGTCAAAAGGATGGGGCGTGCATGATGTTCCAGAATAAGGAGTGTCCACAGTAACTCTTCCGAAAGCGTAAGCCATCGTGCCGCACCTCATTGGACACCAAGCACGCTTCAAGCATCCGTGTGACTTGCGCCAGATAAGCCCAACTGCTCCAAGGGCATGGCGACGCATGGCAGTGCCTCTTCAGCATCCATCCACACGCCATTTGCGTCAATGACAATTGGCTTCCGAGGTAAGGAACACTGCACCGAAGTCGCAGACACCGCAGATGTTACTATCAGATATCTGATTTGAGCCCCCAGAGTACTGTGCCATTGTCATTGGTGCTTGGAGATTGATGCGCCTCTTCAGTACCCTCTCCAAGTCTGGTGCCCTCATATTCGACTTGCCTGACAGCCGTGGTAGTATCAGCACCAGCAACGCTCGCTCCGGCATCCACACGTTCATGTGTCACACACCATGTACATTCATCGTTGGCACTGTAAATACTGGCCCTCTATGTCGCTTGCTCATTCACGGTCTCTGTCCCCGGCTTGGCGATGAACGGATCATGGCAAGCCTTCTCCTTCTCTCCTCGTCGGAATGCGACAAACAACTTTGTTCAAATACGATGCTCGTGGGCGGGGCTGTCGGCGCATTTCGGCCACGGATGGGACAACGTGCTCTCAGAATCCAAGGCTGTTGACTGTTATATTTCGTGGGCCGCTGCTCGTGGCTGTTTCGCTTGGTCCCCGCTCCATTTACTGCAGGCACTTAGATGCAGCGTTCGGCTCACTTTGGCTCTTGCAGCCGCTAGAAGCTTCCGATCCGGAGTCCGTGTGATAAATTGTAACTTTCAGTTGCCAATGCCTGGGCCTGTCCGTCCACATTCACGGTTTGCCACCTGCCATTCGATGGGCGGCACATGCGCGACGCGGCGTTTTGACTAGTTGCCTTCCAGTGAGAAATGTGGATTTGTCCGCGGGCGAATACGCTTTCTAACAGCCATCGGACCGGCTGTGTCTTCCATTGATTGACGGCACATGCGTTGTCGCCAATGTTCCATAATGCCGTTGCTTGGTCCAAATACTTTTCCATTTTGTGCGCTTAATTTCAGCCTAGCCCTCACTTTCCCCGCGGTTGTCGTCTAAGCCGATTGTCTTCTGCAGGTGGATGTGCGGCGATTGAGAGATCCATTCTTGAGTGGGAATCGTGTCCTACACTCCCCATGTGACCATGTCATCTCCCTCTGTGGTCGCTGTTAGCTCGGTCAATATTGAGATCCCAGACGCGTCTTGGTGTATTCTGGAGACGTCATCGGAGGGATCAGCCAGGAACGCGGCAGGGTCGGAAGTCGTAAAGCAAGGTATTGTAATCATGCTTCGTACATGCATTGAAAACACACTTGGGCCGCGTTGGACGTCATCATTCTGTGTGTCCGTCTCGCAATTGTCTGAAAGGCTCTGTTTCTAGGGCCTTCCATCATACATCCCTCACATTGATGCATTTGTCTGCCTTTCTCCTAAAACATAAACCTGCCAGGGTTTATTAGCCTGACTTGTGAGAGGGGTTAATGAGAAGCATAATTGCACACGTCTTCCCACGTCCACAATGGTTCGTATACCAAGGCTGTCCTAAATTGCCAACGATCCTATTCTTTGAGGCAATGCAATCTTCTGTGATATGTTCAAGTTGGAACAATCATGGCAATTGCGCGGAATGCTCCACTCGGCCCTTGGGCGCGGTTGACTCGGCTGCAGAAGTCGTGATGTATTTCGGCACCGACCTGCAGCTCGCGGCCGTTGTCAGGAAACAAACTTGACTTAATTTGCTAGTATGTACGGCTCTCGAAGCCGTGAAACTCCAAGTGAGTTCCATTTTCAACTTTCAAGCCGTAGCTACCCTTCGAGCCTGGGTGTCGTTGGCGGAGCCATTTCCAGCCCTGATGGCGCGTCATCGGACCACTACGGCATCAATACAGGATGACGGGCTGCATGTGTACCAGTGCCTGTGATGTGTGGGCAAAAAAAAACCTGCCTTCTTGGCTTGGGGCGACTCTCAGGCGATGTATTGATTCATAGCAAGGCGGGAGTGTGAATCCAAACAGTCACACTCACAAATGTCGTCGTGTAAATGGCAGCACTCCAAGCCATCGCTGGGAGGGATCACGTTGGCCACCTCACACAGCCTGATTGGGGCTCAAAGCGACACAATCGCCAAAAATGGCAGCTAACCTCCTCTGCTTGAGCAACTCAACCTTCAAGTATTGTCGTAACAAACAAGTCACGTTTCCGAACCAATACATGCACATCTCGTGCGGCTTCCCCTCTCGTACAGCCCCATGAGGATCGTCATCGAGCGGGGGCTGCATTCAAATGGATCCAAGTGACAAACAAAACCAGTTTGTGAAAATTTGACAAGGCGGCACCGTCAATATCTGAGCTGATGTGATGAATCGCCTGCTGGCTAGTGATGTCCGGTATGTAAAAGGTCCTCGCTCCTTAATCAAGCTTAGTTGTGTTTATTCTACTCCTGTGTTTTGCTCGAGGCTGTGTATGCGGCTCATACATCGTTTGGATTTGGCTGAACGTAGGGCGTTTCTGTTCTCTAAAATCGAATTTCGGGCTGCAAAGAGAACAATTTTGGTCCGTTTGATGATTTCAGGACAAATTCCGATCTGACTGTACTTGTGAAGAACCAGCATCGAGAGACAAACTGCCTATAAGGACCATCCATCTCAGCTAGCGGGTTGAGCAAACACGAATTCGCGACATGCCTGTGCTATGTTAGTATTCCTCTATGTCTTCTGTAACTTGTAAATCACACATACAGCTCGAAGGACATCTAGTTTCTCTTGCGTCTGCATAAAAACCTGCCGGTATTGGGTTATGCTCTCACGCAACACAACCTCCTTCGTTGTTCGACCCTCGCATATCGCTTTCATTTTGAGTTCCATTTCTTTGCGGAGGAATGGCTTGCCGAGGCTAGTTTCAAAACCCATGCGGTCATACCCCAAGATTAGGGCCACTCCGAGCTGTGTTGGAATAAAGACACGGACGCCACCTCTCCGGCCACTTGACGAAGTTGAAGTTCCACGAGCTGCTCTGCCTCCACGAGCTCTGGCCCTTCCCCTCCCTCTTCCAGATGAAGCTCTGTCTTGGACCCCATCGTCATCTTCACTCGCTATTGTAGCGCTATTGCCGACAGTGGCAACATATTCTCTGTCTTGGATTTTCTGAATATGCTCAGCCATTGTAGCATCTGTTCCAATTCCATTGGCGTCCATCAATGCAATCAAATCGGCCTCTGTGAGATGACTCGGCGGTGATGTCTTTCCCTCCGACATTATTGCTTCTGTAGGTTGAAAGACCTCGCCTCTGACAAATCGCGGTAGTTCATTGTTGTCCCATTTTTCATATACAAACACATCGAGGTAGTTTCTTTCCAGCACAATGACGCCATGCGAACCGAAAATTTCATCACCATACTGGAGATCGACAGTAGTAGCCATACCGAGGGCGTCTTCAGAACAACATGCTAAAAACCGCCGGACAACGTATTCATACAAGCGTCCCTCGTCAGGACTGAGAACGCTTGGTGCGGCATAGGTAATCGGATGGATTGGTGGATGTGCCTTGTCGTCGTGCCTGCCCTCTCTGGGCTGTTTGAAAGCTCCGTTGACCAAATTTTGAGCAAACTGACCCCATCGCTGGTCTGGAGACTGCTTCTGAACTAGACCCTTCAGATTCATTCCTTTGTCGAATCGATCGGTCTCGGTGCGAGGATATGAAATGAAACCTTTATTGTACAAGCCCTCAGCAATCGTCATAGCCTGTTGACCACTCATTCGAAGAAGGCGGGTGGCGGCTTTTTGAAGTTCGACAGTTGTGAGAGGCAGCGGTTTGTATTTCCGTGTCGCCTTCTCCTGTACGTTGATCACCTTTGCTGTTTTTGCCAAAAGACATCTTTCATATAAAATAATGGTTGTCATGCGATCGAATAGTCTGTTCCTTTCCCAGCTAAAGTTAACCTTTTTACCGTCACGATTATGCATCAGGCTAATGCTCCAGAAAGGCTCAGGGATAAAGTTCTTGACACGAAAGTATCGATCAACTACAAAGCCCAAGGTTGGAAACTGACAAGATCCTGAGACGCACATGTTAGGGAGTTTCTTGCTGAGGACGACTTCTCTTGTTCTTGGATCTTTTGCTCACCGTAACTCAACGTCAGACTTTCCATGGGACCGCCGAGCGGCCGCAGGCTATTCGTCATGAACCTTGTGAATGCATAGCCAATACGAAGGTCAAGTTCGATTCTCGTGGAAACAGCATCAACTTGCTTTTTGTCGAGATCAACTAGCCTCCTGGCCGCCGAGAGAACGTGGCTGTTAAACACTTGTCAGCCAACTTTTCAAGCCAAGCCGGGTTTGCGACACTCACGCTCGTTCAACGTTGCTGAACTTGGCTCGCTTGACCTGTATGCTGGCGTTGCCTTTGCGAGCAGCGTCCACAATTTCTTGACCAATATGCTCTCCTTCACGATCACAATCCGTCCATATGACCAACAATCGTGCGTACTGGGCTTGGTCTGCAAGATTTTTGGCTATGGATTTCTTGTCCTGATTGTCCAAGCAATTAGCCACGAACCCACTGTGGTTGACATTTGTGTCTACACATACATCATGAATACTAGTGACTATGGGGGCGTTGAATAAAGTTTCGGGTGGAGGGTAACTCCAGTTCTTGTACTCGCTGGTAAACTCGACATTGGTAAGATGACCAGTGACACAGGTCATGGTGACGGAACAGGGGCCCAGAGCTTGCCCAAAGTCGAAATCAAACGAGTAGTTCTTGATGTACTGATTCCTGGTACCGTGCTGTTGACGTCTTGTGAGAAAAATATAAAACAAATTGTGGTCCGACACTCACGGTTTGCATGCTTCCGCCAGAGAGGTGACCAGCAACAGCCTTGGAAATTGAAGGCTTTTCAGCCACACACAAGACCCTCATGGCTACAGTATTTCAACCCTCCCGCAATGCGAGGTCGGGATGTCCTGAATATCTGGGTTCGATGTGCTGACTCGGTCGTGTATCGTGAGAGTAGAGGAAGGTTCGTCACGAGAGCTCACCGCGACGCGTTCCCAGTGCGGTCAAAGCAATAGCCGAAAATCTTCTATACATTAAAGAAAATCATTGCGAATTGAATGAAACGAGACAAACAGCCCGAAACAGATTCCTCGCGTTATACACCATGTAAGCTCCATTGGCGGCTAATAATGTGATACAGACAGGCGTCCGCAAACATGTAAAAAGATTGAACGATGCCAATCTGAAATTATTGCCTGGCAAATGCCCCACCGTTAAAGGCTAAATGTCACAAGATATATGGGGTCTGGTACCAACATACAGAAGTACTATGTGGCGTGGGCACGCGGTGCCATTTTGTGGTGTAATTGACCAGGCCTAAATGTATTAAGTACTTATTAATGGCAGCTTCAATGTCAACTGCGTGCCAAAATTGACGTCGCTAGCGCCAGTATAGCCGCTAAAGAGAACTGGAACTTTGAAGCATTAATTGACAGCAGGAGACCGACACGGATGCTTAAGCGCTAGCTTCCAGGGGAAGCTGGTGCTGTGTCTCCGCTCAGTGCTGTCACTGGTCTTACAGCTCTCAAGTCGACTGCTATCAATGATGCTACCTGGGTGATGCCTCCTGTGCCTCGATTTGCGTAGCTTCTCCTCATTCCTCGGCATCGACCTGCATCGGAATCTCGACTTCGAGTACGCAAGTCCTTAGTAACTGCACGACGCCCTTCAGACTTCTTCATCAATGACGCTGCGGCTTGGTCGCGTCAACCTTCATCCTCACGAGTCACAGTTCTACAATTTCTCTCACCATTATGGCCGCAAAATTGGCAGCTCTCCCGGTCCTACAGTCCATTGAGGACTGCAGCGATTTCTCCAAAACAGTTGAGCCATTCGTTGACCAGTTCTTTGCTCTGCCCGCCCGCCTGGTCGCCAGCATTGGCAGCATCGAAAACCTACAACGCCTCTATGTCGAGACCAACCCCCTAATCACAGGCTTTGCGGCATCGATATTTCTTGCAGGCGTGGTTTTGATCGTCTCCGAGGTGAACAGGAATTATTCTCAGGTTGATCGCATGTGGAGCATATTGCCGAACCTGTACATAATCCATCTCGCTGGATGGGCACGAATGGCTGGCTTGCCTCATAGTCGTATTGATTTAGTCGCTACATTTGGCACACTCTGGAGCGTGAGATATCTGGTTTCTTTCCCGTTTTAGCTCACGAATCGGAACTAACACATTAATCAAGATTCGACTGACCTACAACTACTGGAGGCGAGGTGGATATAATGTCGGATCCGAAGACTACAGATGGTACGGCAAATCCATGCAAAAGCCCCATCGCCTACATGAGATGCTAACCTAGTTATAGGGAAATCGTCAAGTCCAAAGTCCCTGCCTTTGTCTTTTTCATTCTAAATGCCACCTTTATCTCCCTCATACAAAGCGTCTTGCTCTTCGCCTTCTCGTGTGTCCCTGCCTACGCCATACTGCTGTCCACGCGTTTTGAACCAAATGTCACGGCTGCAGACTTTGCGTATTTTGCTGTTCAACTGCTCCTGGTTATCAGCGAATGGATCAGCGACGGCCAGCAATGGGGTATGTTCGCAGCCCCCCCAATCCTTGCGTTCTACAATGCATCTAACATTTCCCTAGAGTATCAAACTGCCAAGCATCAGTACAACAAGAACGCCAAGTTACCAAAGGGCTGGGACCAGGCTGATCTAGACAGAGGCTTCATCACCGCTGGCTTGTGGGGATACAGTCGTCACCCAAACTTCTTTGCAGAGCAAACAATTTGGTTCGTACTGTACCAATGGAGCTGCTATGCCACCAACTCTCTGTACAGCTGGACCTTTGTTGGCTCTGGTAGCTTGTTCCTTCTCTTCCAGGGATCGACCTGGCTTACTGAGGCTATTTCAGCCGGTAAGTATCCCGAGTACGTCGAATACCAGAGACAGGTTGGCATGTTCATTCCTACCTCTATTTGGCCATACAAGGCCCCGTCGTACAAGCCAAGGGTCATCAGAACTAGTGAGCTGGCCAAGCGTCATGAACAGAAGAAGAAACAGAAGCAAACATGACTCGCTACAACTCTGGTTGTCACCGTTATGGAGTATGGCTCCTAGGCGCGGAAGAAAGATGCCTTGAAGGAAGGGCTTTCAATGTATTTTTATGTCGGGGTATTTCCTTTCTTCCCCCGTTCTTCCTTTCTTAATCTTTTTTTGGCGTCTCGAATACTCGTTGGGAATTGATTAGGGTCATGTCATGATTATTCATAGTGTCCGGCAAGCAAGGACTCATCTCGCTCTTATACTCCAATCTACTTTAGCACTATTTAGGCAGTATAATACGTGAGAAAGAGAAATTCTTGTATCTAGTAAACTAATTTGTCTCTATTCTATGTCTATGGTCTAATTTTATGTCTAAGCCACCACCGCAAGATCACTCAGCTTGTCTGCATAATACGCTGGAACAGCCACGGCATCCTCTCTATCCCAGTCCTCCTTCTGATGCACACCCGTAAGAACATGCAGCGTCCCGCCTAATTTACCGTCGATACCAAACTTGATATCCGTATTCAAACGATCGCCAACCATGCAAGTCTTTGAGCGATCCAGCTGAAACTTGCCTTCAACAGCATCCATCATGGCCTGACTAGGTTTCCCCAGCTCCAACGGCTTGGTCCCGCTAGCATACTGTAGCGGAATCATAATAGATCCTGCGCCCATGAAGAAACTATGATGCATAGGAAGCGTCGAATCTGTATTCGTGGCGAGGAAAATAGCTCCACGCCTCAAGTAGTGCAGCGCAGTAGAGAGCTTCAAGTAGTTAATGTGGAAATCTAGCCCGCACAGCACAACGCCCACTTCCGGATCCAAGGCCGTGCCGTCAGCCAGGGCCTGGAAGTCCTTGGGCGTCATGTCCCTCCGAAAATTGGGATCGGTGCCGCCGAGGCACGGGATTCCTTCGGCAGCGAGTTCCTTCTCCACGCCGGCCTCACCAATGGCAAAGACTTTGGTTTTCCCAGGGGGTAGTTTGAGGATGCGTGAGATGTAGACGGCTGCGGAGTAGGATGAGCCAAAGACGTCTTCTTTCTCGCAGGGGATGTGGAGGTTGGATATTTTTTGGAGGTAGTCCTCGCGGGACTTGGTGGAGTTGTTGGTTACAAAGACGGTGCGTTTGCCTGATGGTGATGAGTACGAGTTGAAGGCGCAGGATGGGTGAGAGGTGAGGGGAGACGAACCTCGGGCCTTCAGCATCATGATGGTCTCTGGAACACGGTCGAAGACATGGTCGCCAGACCAAAGGACACCTTTACCGGTCTGGGTCAGTTGGGGGGAACTTGCTGGCAGGAGTTGTGTGCGCAACTAACCATCGCAGTCGAACAGAAATGTCTGTAGAATTGTAAGTCACATATCGGCGGAACGGGGCATGAAATGACGCACGTCAAACTTGTCAATGAACTCATTGATGGAGGCTTTATCGCCGGTCAAATATTTGGGCGAGGATGCCATATCTATTGAATGTAGAAGATTGGCCCCCTTACTTGTCAACGGGGCGGAGAAAGAATTGACTTATGGTCTGACTCGCCACCGAAGTCGTCCTGGACCTGGTAGAAGAAGTCAAGTTTCCATTGCTTAGTCAGTCCTGTTGGTGTTTCGGCGAGCTTAGTGGGCTCAACTGCATTGCGCGGCACACATCGCCAGACATGTGTCCATGGACGACGTAGCAACGATATGGATGCAGACTGTGTCCTGCAGAATTATGTATTATTGAATGCTGTATACTGATTAACTCCTCTATGCCATCCCCATCAGCTCGCAATGACAGGTCGTCAGGAACAATTCCTAAAGCTGTGGCTGGCCAAGGACAGAAACAGCAAAACTCGCCGCCAGCCACGCGCAATACAATGGGTTGCAGTTGGCCTTGGGTGCAACAAGCTTTCAGCCTTTCAGCTTAGTGGCTATCAATTGATACTCATTAACTTTGAACCATGATTGATTATCTCGAGGCAACCCAACATGTACCCACTAATCAGTCTTCAACTCGTTGCTGCGCCAGGCCCTGAATCGCTTGGTGGAGACAATGGTTTCGAGTTTTACGTGAATGTGGACTTGAGTCAGCCCTTGCTAACGAATATCGAACTGATTATAAAATTCCAGTTCAGCTTTCCAAATCTTTACCTTACAAATGAGTCTGTTTACCTTCGAAAAAAGCCAAGCAGCACATACATTGTTGTGATACCTGTCAGGAACACTGCACAAACAATCTCCTGTTTAGAAACACTGCTCGAGCAACTTGTCGCAAACATTGTGCTCCTGCGGGAAAAGAGGGCTACGTCCATAATCCATATGCCCGCAATCTCACACCGCAACCTTTCATAATATATATACGGAGTATACTTATGAGCAATACACTTGGAGCCCAGACTGAATTCTTCTCAACAACGACCGATAGTCTCGGCAAAATGTCTTCTTCAAGTTCTACTACGACCACAAATAGCCCATCACAGTCTTTCGCACAACTCGTGTTACCCACCCCATCTGATGGACTATTTGACATCAATATAGAGGAAGCTCTTAGGAGGAAACCACTCCCTTGGTCATATCAAGGCCAGGTTGAGGCGAACAGGCGACGACAAGCTGCCAGAGCACCACAAGAGCAAAAGTCTTCAAAAGAGGAGCTGGAGGAAGCGAAACGGGAAATCCTCGAACTGAAGAAAGGGTTATAGGAAGATGTGGATCTTGTAAACGAAGGCTGTGACTATTTGAAAGACATTGCTTGGGACATTCGCATAGCGTGAGCATGGCGCAGTTTGTTCAGTAGTATTTCGGAGTATCGGGTCAATATTCCAGGACGAGTTGAGTGGGATTCATGCGCAGAAATATGGTCTGGCATAATATAATTAATACGGACATCATCTGGTTTGACAAAGTAGAGGAGCAGATCTTTTGCGCTTCCATCAAGACTTATTTTCATGACTCCAGTAATCAAATCTTGTCTACAACAGATTGCAGGCGAGAACCAAGGGTGAATCCATAGGCCAAGGCCGAAACAAATGTAGCCAAATTCAGAAGCGAAGAAACGCCATGTAGCATGCCAAACTTCTTGCTCAATGCGCGCATTTCATCTGAATGTGGACCCGGTTCGTACCACTCCTTTCCATCGCGCTTGGCTGTAGAGCGTGTTAGCCTGTTAGTGCATATACGCCATATTTAATGAATATACCTTGTCCATGGCGATCTTTCATAGTCTTGGTTGTAGCAGGAAGCAGGATCGCCAGGTTCACAAGTCCGGTAACGAGCATCGCGGCAATTGGCGCCAACGAATGCCATCGGTTAGACGCCTCCAGAAGCCCGGATATCCCGGATGATACTCCGGCGAGCGTGTTGCCAGGGAAAGTGAGTGCTAAGATTGCTGGGAGGATTGTCTGCAGGCCAAAGTAGATGGGGAAGAGCTTGGTTTGGATAGCCGAGAATGCCGGTCGCTCGACTGTCTTGAACATGACAGGCCCATTGATGAAAGACTTGGATCCTGTCAACACCCCGTCATAATTTTATCAGTATGAATAATAAACTAACATGGAAGAATGAAGTTCCCAACAATGTCCCGTAGCTGACGGTCTAGAATTAGCTTTATCTGCGTGTCGGCTCGAATTATGGGTGGCTTACGATATGATGTGGTACGGCGCCGGAGATGAAAAAATCGACCCAGCCATTTTGGTGACTTTGATGCCCAAAGAGAATGAATCACTCGAAAAGTCTTGAATTCCTCTTGATAATTCATCAGATGTCGATGCGGAGGTGAAACGTGAATGAGGTCATTCGATCTCGCACCTTGATCACGTGCGTTCGCGAAGACGCGGTGGATCTCGGTCGCGTGCTGGAGCCGCCCTCGCGGATCGAAATTCGCATCTGCCTAGAAGAACCGTTGGATTGGGGCTTCTTCATCAAAGTGGGCCAAAGTTGGTGGACCTCTCCAGAGTCTACACATTCACGTCTGATTCAATCATCCGTCCGAGTGCAATTTCTTCATTTATCCAATTGGCCAAAGATGGCGGACAAGGAGGCAACAGTGTTCATCTTGGACCTTGGTGCCTCAATGGCCCAGAAGCACTCAGGGCGCGAGGAATCAGACCTGGACTGGGCCATGTGTTACGTCTGGGACAAGATTACCGATATTGTCGCGGCAAATCGAAAGACTTTATGCGTCGGTGTTGTTGGGCTAAGAACCGACGAAACAAACAACAGGCTGCAAGATGGCGACGGATACGAAAACATTTCCGTTATACAGGAGCTCAGCCAAATTACCATGTCGGGCTTGAGAGCGCTTAAGGCATCAGTGAAGCCGAATGAGACCATGTCTGGCGACGCAGTTTCGGCCATTGTGGTTGCCATCGATCTGATTGGCACATTTACAAAGAAGCTCAAGTGGATAAGGAATATCGTGCTGGTCACAGATGGCCAAGGCGAGATGGATGCAGACGACATCGAAGACATTGCCAAGAAAATCAACGACTCAGGTATCAAGCTAACCGTCTTGTAAGTCGTCAATGACCTCCAATGACTAGAAATGGTCGACGGCCTGGCTAATTATTATAGGGGCGTGGATTTTGACAACCCCGCATATGGCTTCAAGGAAGAGGACAAACCTCCAACCAAGGTAACATGGACTCATTCACCAAGTTGCGTCCCTACTGCTTATACGTTAGTAGGCAGCAAGTGAACATACTCTAAAGGCTTTAATAAATCAATGCGAAGGCGGAACATTTGCCACAATGGCCGAGGCAATCGACGAGCTTGACACACCTCGAGTCAAATCCGTGAAGCCGTACAAGACATATGACGGGGCACTCACCCTAGGTGACCCGGAAAAGTTTCCTGCAGCAATGAACATCAATGTAGAACGATATTTCAAGACGCATCTAGCTCGACCGCTTACAGCAAGCACCGTCGTGGTCAAATCCGACCAGGCAACGCAGTCAACACAAACCTTGGAGGATGATCCTATGGATGGCATTGAATTTTCTGCTGTGAAGCAAGCTAGAACATACAAGGTCAATGACCCTGATGCCCCTGGTGGAAAGCGTGATGTTGAGTTTGAGTCCCTGGCCAAGGGTTACGAGTACGGCCGTACGGCAGTACACATTAGCGAGTCAGAACACAACATTACGAAGCTAGAAACAGAGAAAAGCTTTTCGATCGTGGGGTTTATTCCATGGACCAAGGTAGAATTTCCGCAGGCTTTGTTGCAGCATTATGCTAATGGTAGTAGTACGAGCCGTTCCTCAACATGGGAGAAGTGTGTGTTACGCACGCAAGGAAAAACGACACCAAATCCGAGCTGGCACTGTCATCGCTTATATGGGCACTCCTTGAGCTCGAATCATATGCAGTAGCACGCATAGTAACCAAAGACGGCAAAGACCCGTTGTTGGTGCTTATGGCACCCCAGCTTGAACTCGGATTGGAATGCTTCTACGATATCCCTTTACCGTTTGCTGAGGATGTGCGAAGCTACCAGTTCCCACCTCTGGACAGAGTTATTACGGTTAGTGGCCAGACGCTAAAAACACACCGTTTATTACCTTCAGACGAGCTCGCAAAAGCAATGAGTGACTACGTTGATGCCATGGACCTTGCCACGTACGGTCAGGATGAAGAAGGGTAGGTTCAGAATCATCATGTAACGGGTGAAGTCTAACATAGACAGGAACCCGGCCGAGTATGCGTCGATTGATGAGACCTTCAACCCAGCTATTCACAGAGTGAATAATGCCGTGAAAATGCGAGCAGCACACCCCGATAAACCCGTTCCCGAAACACCGGCAAGTTTGCTGAGATTTTCAGCACCCCCGGAAGACCTAATTGAGAAGGTCCAGCCTAGGATAGATAGTCTGATTGAACTAGCAGACGTTAAGAAGGGCACGTCACCTTCAGTATCCAATAGGCGGCTGATATGCTAACAAAATGTGCAGTACCGCCGAAGGCAAAGGGCCGACGAGCTCGCGAGACCGTCAAGCCCATATCGGGCCTAGATGTTGATGCCCTGCTTGGCGAGGACACGAAGCGCACGGTTTCAGAAGAGAACCCTGTGCCGGATTTCAAGCGAGCGTTGGGCACTGCCGACGAAATGGATCAGATCGAAGATGCGGCCAAACAAATGGGCAACATTGTGCGGTCTCTGATAACAGACAGTTTTGGCGATAGCAAGTACGCGCAGGCGACGGAGTGTCTCGGTGTGATGAGAGAGGAGCTGATCAACATGGACGAGCCCGAAATGTACAACACGTTTGCCCGGGACCTGAAAAAGGCTTTGCTTTCTGGTGCTCTTGGCGGCGACAGAAGAGACTTTTGGTTCAAAGTAAGGTGGTCAAGGTTGGGATTAATTGATCAGGATCAGTCTGAAGTATCAAAGGTGACGCATGAAGAAGCAGAAGAGGTAAGAGCGCACATCGTCCTCCTCGAATAAGTGCTAACTTTTGGTGATAAGTTCTACAAGTCTCGGTAGGATGGATGTCGATATCACTGTGCATGTTGGGTCGGGAAATGAAGCATGTTTGGGCATCTTATATTTGGAAGCAGCCTGGGGTAGATTAGAATAAATCTCAGTTCAATGTTTCGAAAATGGCAAGCACCCTATTGATCGGCTGCGTTTGCTTCTCGAACCCACTTGCCTGGCAGCTGCCTAAATTGACGACCGACACGAATTTTGGTTCCCTCGTCACCCTTGTAACCCCAACGCCATTCTTTGCCCGACATCAACAACTGGACCGCAGACACTATGGATGAGACGATGGCAGACGACAACTTGCGTGCCCGACTAGACAAACTTCAAAATATCTTGGGCAAGAAAATAACCCTTGATCTATCAGGGCGAAGCGACAGAGTGATACCTGGCAACCGCGAGACTCAAGTACCCAGTTGGGAAGATGAACACTTTGACTTGAAGATGCGCCAATATGAAACGTCTAATGACCACGACGCAGAAACGGCTACCTATATGGCGAATCCAATTAAGTCACCAGGCACCTACAAGGATATTGACTCGGCCACGTTGAAAATTGGGCAATCTGTCGATGAGGAGATTTCCTTTTGTCCCTGGCATGCAGTAGTGCATTACCCAGCGCGGTTCATAGGGAAGGCAAACAAGCCGAGGGTATGCATATGAATCCACGAGCGATTTGCCGTCATACTCACCAGGTTCTAGGCCCAGCCTTTCTTTGACAGAGTCCTGGAGGGCAAAACATGGGACTTGTTAGTCTCCTCGCTTTATTTCCATCAAAATACAGAGTACTGACTGACCAGCTTCTACCTCCACAATCCTGCCGAACCAGATCAAAAGCCATGTCTCCTTGTCCCAACAGCCCAATTCGTCGGGTTCCTCAAGGGCGTAAACCAAATCCTCGCAACAAAATTAGTCATTCCCGGCGGCCCAAACAAGCGTCTATTCGACTTGCATTTTGGGGTGGGAGGAACACCACGGCCCCGATACCTATTGCGATCGCGGGACCAGAAGAAGCTTCATATTGACGAATGGCCAGCTGCAAACGAGGAAGATCTCCGAGTATATAAAGACGCAGCAGATGTACATCGGGAGCTATGGCTCTCGGAATGGGAGAAAACGAAGCAGCATAGCTTCCCAGATAATCGGGGTGGTTCATACCGCGCTGAGAAAAACAGAGAAGCCCGTTTGCAGATGCTCTCGCAGACACAGCTATTTCTTGGTCTCCAGGGAGCTCGAGATCCACCTGGAAAACCTGTGACGTTTATTTGTGTCGATATCGAAGCGATTGAAGTTGCACCAAACCCTGTCTCCGAAATCGGTATCGCTGTGGTGAACTCAGAGCGCCTGAAGGGCATTGCTGCCGGACCATCGGGTGCGAACTGGTGGGATTTTATTGAGGCGCATCATATAAGGGTAAAGGAGTATGCTGGACTGGTGAACTATCGATTTGTTCAGGGTTGTCCTAATAATTTCGACTTTGGGTTTGTTCCGAATATATCTTTTACCATCCGGTACAGAAATGTTGATACTGACAGGCAGCAGAACAAGCGTCTTTCCTCGCCGCGCAGAACTCGTCGATACATTAAACACTACGTTTGCCAAATACGCGAATGGCGCCCATGATGTGGTTCTCGTCGGCCACGATATAAAATCCGACATCAAGTACCTGTCGACAATTGGCTTCCCAATAGACCAGTTGCCCGGTTTAATCGGCAATGTCGACACACAAGCCATCTACCGCGCGTGGAAAGATGGCACGAAATCTCCTAGCCTGGGCAGCGTACTCGTAGACCTCGACATCAGATATAAAAACTTGCACAATGCCGGCAACGATGCGGTCTACACGCTCAGAGCGATGGTTGCCATCGCAGTGGTCGGACTGCACTCCGCGCAAGACGCGCAGTTACTTGAACCGTCTTAGCAGTAGTATCTTGTTTGCTGCAATTTCGTATCTTACATCTGAGGAGAGAACAGGCAGCGTTGACCCCCTGAGATAATATCTAACTTGGCTGTTTATCGTGGTACACCATAATTTCCTTGCTCTTAGCTAGCTCAAATTCAACCATGCAACGCCATCGCTATGTGTATAGTGTACATGATGCCCGTCCCAGTGACGCCGCAACGTGTGTTCCCGTCGGGCGCACGAGCCTCAGCAGCATCCATTATCGCCCAAATGTATCCAGTGAGCAGGACTCAAGTAGCCCCTCACGTCTGCTTATCCAACAACTCCTTGGCCTCGTTGACCTTTGTCGCGAGATACGGGCTACCGCCTCGATCAGGATGGTTCAGCAGCATAATCGTCCGGTGGGCCTTGCGGACTTTGTCCTTGGTGATGGTGCGCTCACTGCACATCATTTAGCGCCTGCGCTGCATGCCCAGGCAGTTGATCGACTTACTTGAGCGAGAGGATAAGCGAGGCCTCCTTCTTGGTCATTTTGGGCTCGAATCCGCCCTTGTAAAAGGCTTTGCCCATGGCTCCGACACCGCCTCGGGAGCGGCGCCATGCGACGAGACCTGCTCGGCCCTGGCATTCATTGTTAGCCTTTTTTCTTCCCCTCGGCGCGCTTGCACTTTGCATGAAGGGCGTTTGTGGAATTAAAGACGGGGCAAGAGAGCGGAACGTACGAGGAAGGCGGCGACGGCTGCGCCGGCACCGATGGCGAAGACTGAGGACATTTTGGGTGTGGTTGAATGTTGCTGGCGAGGTGTTGGCGATGCGAGCTGCGGAAGTTTTGCCATCGGATGAGATCGGGCGGAGGGGGTTGTTCCGTTCCGAGAATGTGGTTATGCGTATTGTACGTCGACGGACTGGCCGTTGTAAGTTAATCATTACTAAAAAAAAAGGGATCAAAATTTGTTAATTTATATATGTGTATATATTCTATTCCTATTTTTACTATTATTTGGAATATTTACTTGGGGACCCCCTTTGCCGTGGTGTCGTGGTGGAAGAAGGATCTGATTGCGCTTGGTCACGACTCACCACAACCCGCGTTGCTTTCATGCGAACCAAGCGGGAGACGCAGAGGACGGTACCCGACGATATGCTCATTTAATCTCCTTCTCCCTTCCATGATGAACCTTGTCCGGAATCTTTAACCCCTTCTCAACCGCCTCCTTGACCTTCCTCTCCAGCTCGTGGGCCGCATTCCCGCCCTCCTCGCTATGCGGCTTCTCGTGCTCCTCTCCCGTCCAATTCCCTGCGCCACCACGCCCGCCCATGGCCCGCGACGGATGCTTCTTCAGACTCGACGTTACTGCGGCCGTGACCTCCTTCGATATGCGGCTCTTTTCGTCTGCGTCCGGGAGTTGCGACGGGTCAATGTAGTTGCCTGCTCCGCCGCGACCAGCGCGAATCGGTTGCCCTGGCGTAGCGGGATCTGGGACGGTCGTGACGACGGGGTCTTGACGCTCGAGATCCTGCTGTGATTTAGCTCATCTATGCTAGTCTATACGAAATGCGAGATTTTTTTTTTTTTCATTTTCTCTCCATCTCCCCCCCTCTCATTCTACTACGGCCACGCTGTTGGAGAGATTTGGTTGGTCGTACCCTATCTGCAGCGGCGGCGGCAGCAGCAGCTTTGTCGTCCTTTACAGAGTAAAAGTTGCCTGCGCCGCCGCGGCCGACTTTGCGAAAGACGTCCTGGTCGTTGCCGGTCATGCTGAGCCGCTAGGGTTTGGACGAAATGAAGCGAAAAAGGAGTGAATGGGATGGAAGATGGAAACGAGCAGCAATTGGACCGGCGCATGAGTCGACTAATGGATCGCCATGACTGAAACACATGAGCCATGCCGCTCCAGTTGACGTCAGCGCCCTTGCGACGCCACTGCATTGTTGGCTGGGGTGGAGTGGGAAATGTCTGGTATGTACCAGACATTAGACTCCGGAGTATAGGCATTTGGTTGGGGCTACGACTGGAGATCAGGGACGGATGAGTGCTGCTGAATTGTGAAGCTGTGGAACCCTAACCCTGGAGAACTGTTGATGCCCCATGCAAGTTCCAACTGACATTTCCACCACAGGTCTCTTCTCCCTGCTGAGAGGACCAGACTAACGCTGTTTCCAATTTCATATTTCCTGTCGCCGAGCCCATACCGGCCGTCATGGCGGTATTGATAGCCCCCGTATGCTGCCATTCGCACCAGCGGCACTCGCAACGCCATGAACGCGCGCATTTTCATCCGCAAGGAAGCGCTCCTGCTCTCTGGCACTCTCCTCCAAGTCCAGAAACCTCCAAATTCCCACCGCACTAACCAGACTCAGCGCAAACAGAAAGTAGAATGGGGCGCTAGTATTAGAGCCTCCCGGCGTGGCGTCGATAATGGCACTGCTAATTAGCGGTCCAATGACGCTAGAAGCCTTGCCGACGATGTTAAATATCGAAAAGAAGAGAAACTCGTGGCCACGGGGGGTCACAGAACTAATCGCAATTTGTGCATAGCTGTACCAGGGGGAGATGAAGAGGCCGAGGAATACCTGGAAGAGCCATACTTCCCAAACAGTATGGAACCCAAACTTATTCGACCAGTTCCCAATCATACCCCAAGTGGCCAGCAAAACTGTGAATACAAGGATTGCGTTTAGCATGGGCTTTATACTCAGGCGAAGCCGTTTCTGAATGAACCAATATGCACCGACACCTATCACTTGACAGACCACGTTAAGCAGTAGCAAGTATGTTAGTGTAAGGGTGTTGTAGCTGACGACTTTGTTTTGGAGTGTGTAAAAAACTGTCACACTTGTGTTTAGTGAGTCTCCTAAAAAGAAGTATCCGACAAGGAAGATGAGGCTTTGTTTCAACTTCCACACTTGTGTAAACGCCGTGTATAGCTGCCAAAAGCCGACGACCAGAGCACTCTTCCCAGATGGAATCTGTAATCCGGGACGTGTCTTTTCAAGAACAAACCAAGGCACCGAAAACACCAGCCAGAAAGCCGTTGATAGGGTAATAAGCACCGATAAACCCCAGTTATTCTTCGCCTCGCTGTCGTTAACGTGGAGGCCAAACATGACGCCAATAATAACAGCCAGGAGAAAGACCTCAACGATGGATTGGAGCCAGAGGGCAACGTTGCTCAGCCTGCTGCGCTCTAGGTCATCTCGTTGATGTAGTTCCTGCTGAGATATCTCTCCGTTTTTATACCCTGCCTGGGAATCCCGGAGATGCTTTGTATTCCGCGCGAGAGAAGGAAACGCCGCGGCCCAGTACGTGGTGGTGACTTGGTACGAAATCAACCCCTGCATATAGAGGCCAACACCGGCCTTCCAGCTCTCGGAATCGTGGACTGCGATCCAGCCAAAGCCCACGCCGTACGCAATAATAGACCAGACCAGGAGCACCCATCTTCGGCCGGTCCCAAAGTCTGCATACGCGCCAATGGCAAGAAATAAGACAATCTGGATGGCGAATGATATGCCGTTGCAGAGCAGAACGATGCTGTTGATATCGCGCTCGCGGCCTGCAAAGTAGAGCTTCGAGTCGACCGCGGCTTGGGAGAGCAGGTTCTGGAACGCCGTCGGCGCAAAGTTGTATGGGCCAATGCCGTTGCAACCGACGTAGTACATGTACCATGATCGAATCTCCCACGTCGTCGTTGTGGGTATCTCACCCGGTTGCAAGGCGGGCATCACGACTTGTCGCGGCTCCTGGGCGCCCTCGGGACCAGCAGTTTCTGATTCTTCATCATTCGCCGGGGCCAATGCGACTGTGCTGGTGTTGTCTTCTGTCATCTTGGCATCGTCATATCTGAAGGGTGACATGACTGCCGGTCAGACTGAACGGAGCTGGATTGTCGATGAAAGCAGAATAGAATACAGGTCCAAGACGCCGATGTGCCCGGTTTAGCTTTGTCGCTTTTTACGTGGATGGAATGTAACTGGACCCCCTCTTCATTGGCCACGGCAAGAATGTCGAGGGATAATGAATATTGATATCAGTTATGATGAGGACTAGGATTTCCCCCCTTTCGGCGAGGAACCTAGGCTGGCTCGGGTGTTGACGTATATGCTGAAAAGTTGTGGTTTGCAGTGTTTGTTTGGTTCCAGGCTTAGCCATCAAATACTCGCTAGAAGGGAAAGTCGGCTTCGTGGGACACGGGTAAAGGGGAATAGTATCAGCAGGCCCTTCTGCATGGCGTTTTGCGGTGTATGTCTCAGCTGACGCATGGGGAGACATCAGCAACCCAATCTGGCATAAGGCTTAGGCAGGTCTTGGATGTCGCGGGCGTCGTAGCCACGAGCATGGCGCAGACCTGCATAAGAGACCAGCATCGGCTGGGATTCTGACGATGTTTGTATCAAGGCGGGTGCTCAACCCTATTATCACGGCTCTGGGCCTTCCACTAGGGCGTGAATTGACAACTAAACTAGGCAACTATTAAGAGCCTCTTGAAAGCTGAAAAAAAAAAACAAAGACGGAGCTTGTCTGCCCCGGGTGCTGATCCAGACCATTGTACTGACTTACAAGTGACTGGGCCTGGGCGGGAGAAACAACCCCAGGAGCCAGGTCCCCTTATCTTCTCAATAACTGGGCTTTGTGCCACGATGACTTCTTAGCCTTCTGAACTGCCGTCCGCCAACGCAACTGACCTCCGTTCTGCCGCGTGACATCCTAGTAGTCAAGAATCACACTGTCCTTAGCCTGTGGCTCGCTGTGCGACAATACTGTACATGGAAACCTTGTCCTCGGCTAGCTTTTGAGCAAAGCTCTCTGCAAATTCATGCAGGTCCTTCACCGGCACGGAAACACCATTTGGGAAAGTCGGGAAGTTTGCTTCAATGTTGAGTCGCAGTACTCGAAACCAGTGAATGAACTCGACGTTGGAAGGCAGCACCCGCAGGTCCTGTATCTGGAACCCATGCTTCTTCAGAACCGAAGTGTAATACTGCGGGCTCTTATGATCGCCAGTGCCCAACCCATCTGATGGTTCCGACGCGGTAGACACAGGAGCATTCACATCCGCATCTCTGTATAGCGGATCAGAAAGAAGCAATATCCCTCCCGGGCGTATTCTCTGCGCAAGTCGGGCTACCGAGGCCTCAAAGACAGAAGGCAGGAGATGGAAATAGACACCCCGCACAAAGACAAAGTCATATGGCTCCGTTGGGTCCGGAAGCCGATCGACGTCCTGGGCATTGCACAGATACAGGTTGACCCTTTTGCGAAGCTCCGGCGGCAGTTTCTCAGCACAGTAGTCTAGCTGCTGCTGGCTGATGTTGATTGCATCGATGCACTGGCACTCGGGGAAGACCTTGGCCAGATGTTGTGTCAGGACGCCCCAGCCGCAACCGAGATCCAGTATTCGACGAAGAAGCTGCCGGTCTGGCGAGAGCAGCCCGGCGAGTTCCAATTGGCGATTTATGCCCCGGAACTCGGACGCTCCAACCGGTCCTGGCTTGGGTCCGGCGGTGAGTTCTGCCTCGTCGAATAGACCCCCATTGAAGGACAAGGTCTCTCCAAGAACCTTCTCCCAGACCGCGGGCGGATCGTCGTAGTTGGCGATGACGGCTTCCTGGTAGGTGTCGGAGTAACTCGACTCCACAGTGTGAATCTTTACTGGTGATTGCATAATGGCTATGTGGTTTATTCAATTTGCGGGGGGGATGCTACCTTGGCGGGGTTTGAGATCAGACATTCAAGGAAGTAGCGTCAGGAAGAAAAGGAAAGAACTAAATATCCGGCCATCACCACCAAACTCTCGCAGCAGCCATTGCCGCGCACGAACCGACCATGGAAAAGCGACGGCATCGTCAAGTGTCCAGGAGCCATTGTTGATTAAGTCGCGGACTTCGGAGTGGTTAGCCGCCCAGACGGGCCGCACCCGCAGAGCTAGCCAGCATGCAGCCATCTGGAAATGGTAGATGATCGGCATTGCAGCAGCCTGATGTGCTGGGCGCCTAATGTTTCCTCCTGGCTGCAGACGGCTGCGGCCAGCCAATGATGGATACCTGCATGCCCAGTGGTTGGGTTGCCACGCCGTGTCGAGACGCAAGCCACTTGCAAAGTTCTTGCTACAATCGACACAATCTCGCGATGAACCCCTCAGCATCCCATCACAGACATGTGAGCGGGCAGGGTATGTGACGTCCATGTGGCCGACGTGACAGCAAGCTTTGCGTCGTGTTCTGGGGGTCTGTTGGGAAGCATCAGGAGGCCGACTACTACGAGATGGACGACCAGACGAGACGAGAGAAGATGGGTAGCGAGGTAGGGACGTATTAGCATCATAGATTGGACCAACTAACAGCATTGATAACGTTGTGTGACAGAGAGTCCCTTCAGGGAACCTCGCCTTTCACTCTTTTTCGAGGCATACGCTGGAACAACTATCGAATGCTGTCTTTACATCACTGTCCCGCTGCATAAGCAACTGCGAGCGCACCGCGAACTGGAAGATTCTGCTCCGAATTGCCAGGAATCGCTGCATCGACCCATGCCAGTCTTACTCCCCTCCGGAAAAGCAGACACAGGCTCGAGCCTCCATAGTGAAACATGCCGATCTCCTCCCCCTTCCTCACGGGTTGCGGCCAAGCGGTTGCAAACTTGCTGGCGATCTCACATGTCGATACATCCGCGGTCCCAACAGCTATCAGGCACATTAAACCGACCGGGTCTGGTGCCTTGATATAGATGATGGCCCGCGTGGCGACGTGACTCATATAGACTTGGTTATACTCGGGCGGTCCTACCGGGCTGCTAAAAAGTCCATTGGTTTGCCGCTCTGAGAAGTAAGTTCCATTAACAATCTCGGCATGTACGACATGCCCGGACACGGGAGAAGCCCATCGGTGATATGACGTTAGAATCAAGAGAGCTTGATACGCCGTACCGCCGACAAACTCGCCTGCCAAGTGGCTATGATTCAGCATTTCTTTGACCGAATAGTTCTGGCCCTTCAGCCAGAATCTGTCATATTCCTTCACGTTAGATTTTACCAGGATCGGCCTGGATTCACAAGCATTCACCACCCACTCGGGCTTGTTCGGGTACGCAATAGGACGTAGCTTATCAATATCTTGAACTGCCTCACAAAAAAGTCGTCCCATGATTTATAGCCCCAGTGAACCGGGTCTTCCTTTGGATCACATCGGAACAAGTCCTGGAATGCGTGCCATTGCTGACTGTTCAAATTGGCGTCCTTCTCAAAGGCCATCAGCGCCTCCTTGCACAGCCAGCCCCCATCGCCAGTCGTAATGACGTGCTGGGACTTGCTCGTCTTCAAAACACCGTCTCTCCACGTGTCTAGTATGACTTTGAACTTTTCATTCACATCTTGGCTCAAGAAGAAGGCATGCCCGCTTGGTGTTCCCATAGGCCAGTCCAAAATGGCTTGGAATGGGAGCCCAACAAGCCCGTGTCCTCCTTCGGCCATGCTCCAGGTCGGAGCAATTTCCGCGACGATGACACTGAATAACTCAAACATGTGTTGATAGCCTCGAACGAGCTTGTGATCGGCCGGGCTCTTGTTGTAGGGAATCTTGTTGGGGATCTCGTCGAACATGGCCGACGCCCACATACGGAGGCTGGGCGTGCTTTCCACGAGATCTTTGAGATCTTGGACAGCAGGGTGGAGAGAAGCGTCATTGCTTCTACTATCCACAACTTTGATGAAATTTTGGAGCCAGTGTGTCAATTTGTGAGGAGCGCTGGGCAGCCAAATGCCATCCCTACTCCCCTGATTCTGGTAGGAAGGGCTCGGAAAGACAGTCATTTGAAAGAGTTGTGTTTCTTGGTATGTTGAAAGGTTCTGAAAAAGAGCTTCCTGGCAGAAGTCGCTTTGGCAGCAAATGGCTTGACTCCCTAATATTTTGTTTACAGCACATGAGATGCCTTCAGAGTAAGCGTTCCACCACCACAGCAGCACGAACAGGTACATCCAAGACAGAGAAACCCTTTATGGCAGCGTGCAGACAAGACCTGGCTCATCATTAGGTCCTGGGGTATTATTGGGGGCAAATGATAACCGCTCTGGGGAGAAATGGCAGCTAAACATTCGATTCCGAGGCGGTGTGCCTGTCGCGGATCTAGACTTTACCCGCCTACTGCACACAAGATACGCTTTCTCTCTTGTCCCTCTGGATGCAAGGGGCGCCATATTCTTCAGAATTGGAAAGCATCTTCTTACAATGTAACGGTATGATACTGCGGAGATGCCATGCATATGCAGCTAGGGACCGGTGAGACCAAGCAGATCGCTTGTAATTCATGATGCGCCCCATGTGCGGATTGTCAGTTAAGAGCATGCACACGGCTTTCAATTCGGTTTAGAAATACTACTAGTCACTCAAACGGCATTGACCGGTAATTAACAGACATGTATTGATGCGATTGCACCGTCTATATTGCAGGCGTTTGCTGTATCCCCCGCATGTGGCTGGCCGCTTCGCATCGTCAAGCCTCGACCGAATGACGACTCCTATCCAGCTACAGAATCCCCCCTCAAGTCCGTCTGCTCTTCATAATGTGCTTCAGAATCCCGTCTCATGCCTCGTGCCGGGAAATCTATGATGGCCCCTCAAGACAAGACATGTATGATGTCTGCTATTTTGGCCCCTTCCCCCCCCTTTCATTTTCCCAAGTTGTCCGGGCCTCCCAGCACGAACCTTGCTAGCAATTGGTAATGACCACATTACAGCGCAGTAAAAGCGGTTGCTGGACCTGTCGGCTCAGAAGGAAAAAGTGCAGCGAGGACGGACCTCCGTGTTCCCGGTGTCGAGGATGCGGAATCGTGTGCCACGGTTACGGCCCGAAGCCAGCTTGGAAAGACCGAGGAGACAAGGAGAAAGCAGAGGCCAGGAAACTTCGAATGCAGTCCAGGACGTCCCGGGCCATGTCAGCATCTTCTGTCGGGGAGATGGTGATTCAGGATGTCTTGATGGCTTCATCTGTCAGGGACACACTGACCGTCAGCTCTTCCGAGTTATGTACAAGCTCTCACGAGCCAACACAGACAGATGCGTTCTTGCCACTCAGCCAGTCGCAGCATGTAAGTACTTTTGATTCACCGGGTGAATCTCAACCGACGCCGGTGCCGCTAGATCCGCCGTTTCTCCTGGACGGCCTCTGGCCCGGCGAAGTCGGCCATGATACGTTTGACGACTTGATGACGCCTCTGTCTCCAGCATCTGATGATAACTTGGATATTGGGTTAGTCGGATTCTTACCTCTGACGAAGCCAGGCCACCTGGGGATCGATACCTCTGAAAACGACATCTACCTGCTCGTGAATTTTATGGAGGACAGCTTTACCCGGCAGTACTCGTTGCATCAGGCAGCACCTTCAAAGAGGCAAAAGTCCTGGCTGCTGGCCCCGATGCTTCGCTCCCCCACGTTTTACAACACGTCCCTGAGCATGAGCGCATACCATTTGCATTTGAGTAAGTCGTGTGATGCTAACGCCCGAGAGACGGCTCTGAGAAGCTACCAAAGGTATCGAGAAATGGCCCTCCAAAGCTTCGAGAGACTGGAATCTACAGCTTCCTCTACCCAAAGAGAGATGATTATATGCGGAGTCCATATCGCTCGTTTGGAGGTGGGGATAGAATATTGAGTTCCAGCACGTCGGCATAAAGGTTGCTAACACGCACTCGCTAGGCGCTGGGCAAGAACATTCGAAGTTGCCAGTCATATCTTGGGCGCGTGACACAAGTCATTCTTGAACAGGGATGCTTGTTCCACGCGGGCCTGGCATGCCATCTGGGACAGCCAAAGGAGGCGCCGACTCACTACACAACTCCTGAGCTGTCGCCTTGGTGCGCTGAGCTGGCACTCTCTGCGCCTATCCCACAGCCCTCTCGCATGGAACTGGAAGCCGAGGCTCTCTTCGTTTCCGTCTTCATCTGGAATGACATACTGTGTAGTGCGGTGGAAAAGAAGATGGCTTGCGCGGCCGGCATGCACCGAAAGCTCCTGACAGACGACGGATTCTGCTCGGCTTTTCAAGCCATCACCGGCTGCGAGGCGTGGGCCATGGTTGCCATCATGGACATCACGTCACTAGAGATCCAGAAGAGCGAGCAAGAGGCCCAGGGTAACCTTAGCATTCGCGGGCTCGTAAGCCAGGCAGATACCATTGAAGGGGTCGTGGACCGAGAAATGGCGAGGATATCCAACATGATGTTGCCCAAGTCCCCAGACGAGCCCCAAGACAAGGCTGTTGTTCCTCATGAACTCATTCAGACCCTGATATATGGCCATGCTATCCTCATTTTTCTCAACACGGTCGTGTCCGGGGCCCTGACCGGGGTCCCCGAGATTCACCAGAGCATCGGCCGCGCGATGCAGGCGTGGGATATGCTCCCTGCCACAGCAAACCCGAGGTATTTGGCATGGGCTTACAGCACCAGCGCCAGCCTCGCATCAGGCTCCCAGCGAGACGTCTTTCGCAATGTGGTGGCTCGCATGTCACATGTTGACGTCGACACGGGCAGTCTTTGCGAATTCAGCCACGGGGTAGAGGAGTGTTGGAAGGAGACGGACAAGCACGGCTCGAACCATTGCGTCACTTGCGATTGGAGGGATATTCACAAAAGAGCCAATTTGAACATTTTGTTTGTATGAATACCTGACGGAGAGCTCATCAGGCACAGAAGCCAAAGACACGTCTGGACTATGAAGAATGATAAGAGACACGAGATAGAATTCAAGCTAAATCCATCATGCTCACAGACGCAGACTTGGTTAAATTAAATCGGACGAATATTGTGTAGTCAAGTGAATTCTGACAATGGCAGTGTAATCTCACGGTGCTGCTTTTCCCTGCTGATGGCTTTACCCTTGGGAGCACCACAAATGCCCTGCTCAACCAACATGCCTATTTGGGACTCGTCGCGACATACCAGACCAGACTCCTGCATATCAACATACAGAACCATGATAATGTGGCATCTTCTCGAAACGAGGAACCAGCGCCAGATGTGATTGCAGCCGAGGCGCGACCCGAGGCGCCCCGGAACCAAACAAGGGAAAAACGTCGTGAGGCGCCTCGCCATTTCCCGATGAGGCAGGCGCACCATTTCACCCAAGACAGGTACCAGGCAAGACTTGATTCATCATAGCGCCTCCAATGACATCGCTTTGCGCGCTGCGAGCTTCTCCTCGCCGGGGAGATGGTTTCCGGGATGAGCGCCTGATACGACACGGGTGACAAACCGAGGTGTGTTCCGAGATGAAGAGCTTTGCGAATATAACAGCACACGGCCTGGCGGGAATATTCCTCGCTGCACAATCGACGTCGGCCGAATCATAAACCCTAAGAAAGCGAGGCAAATACACTCTCACCATGAAGTTCTCCACTGCCATTGTCGTGACGGCCCTCGCTGTCGGTGCTGCCGCAGCCCCAACTCCAGTGAGTTGAGTCGATGCTTGAGATTGATGTTGAGTCTAATGCTGGTGTTGTAGGGGAAGACGGTTGAAGATTATTTCATTGGGGCGGACAAGCGTGACAAGACGGTTGAGGACTACTTTATTGGGGCGGATAAACGGGACAAGACTGTCGAGGATTATTTCATCGGAGCTGACAAGCGAGACAAGACGGTTGAAGACTATTTCATCGGAGCTGAGAAGCGGGACAAGACGGTTGAAGATTACTTCATCGGAGCCGATAAACGGGACAAGACCGTCGAGGACTACTTTATCGGCGCCGATTAAGCACGAGTGCGTTGCACGAGGCCTGCTTAGCCGGGAGTCTTCAGTAGTTACCCCAAGACTGCTCCGTCCGAGAATCAAGTGTAAACGATGAATGAATCGTGTCATGTTTCTGAGCCATGTTGACCAAGTTGTTATGCCTGTGTGACCCGGACCCGGATAGCCACACCAATTATCTGCTCAACAGTCTGTAAGTTTAAACAAGAAACCGCCCTTCTTCCGCGTTGGCGTTGAGCTCCAGAGCCGAATACCGCTCACCTTGATCTTTTCCTGAAATGTAACCTTGCGTCCGTGGCACGTTTGACATCGGTGATGAGCACAATCTAGCTCCCAAACAGCCTTGACAAGTGGTACAAGTAGTCAAGAATAATCAAGATGCTGCTCATCAAGGTTCTGCTTTTTCTTGTTATTTTCCAGGTAAAGGGGGGTACAAGTAGGTGAATTTCAGACATTCTACATGAACCCCCCCCCCCCCAACGGATGAATAATGGTCCTACGCAAGCAAACACAATGCAGAATGTTGAGTGATTTGCACTTGGTACATTTCTTCCAAACTAGCTATACCTTACATGACTCGCCCAAGACGCTGGTCAGTCAATCTCCACCGTCTCAGTGTACCTATGCGACTCTGCCCAGTCGAAGATGGCATCAAAGTTCTTACACGTGTGCTGGAAGCCCCATCCCGACGTCTCTCCCGGAGGACTGTCCAGCCTATGCACCCATTCCAAGGACGTGTCTCCCGCGCACATTATGCTTTGTCGGAGGTAGTCCCAGCAGTGTATGAGATGCTCCGGCGGGATGTCGTCAAAGTTGCCGGCGCGGGCGTTCCAATACGCCGCGTAGGTGATATACTGTGTGGCGGCGGCAAAGATTCAGGTCAGACCAAGCTCACAAAGCTTCTTTCAAGGGGGCGGCCAGGCAGGAAGGGTCATTGTCCGAGATTAACGTACCAGGCAGTGCAATTGGTGAAATATCGCCACGCACGCATGTTGTTCGTGCTCTGGGTGGCGAAGGCCCGGCATGTTGGGTAGCTCGGTGTCGTTCTTGACCACGATGAATCCTTTGCCTTCTGTATAGGAAACCCTCGTTAGGCAAGAATTTTGAATGGGGAAATTATCACGGGCGCGGCGTTTACTCACTTGGAATCAGCGACAGCCATGCCTCTTTTGCCGTGCCAACTGGTTCCTCTCCGTAGATTTCATGGAGTCGAAATATCTCGGTGCGCCACTCCTCCGGGGGCAGCCAATCTGGGTGCGAATTCACCTGCGGCAGACCCCCGATTGGAATCGGAGTAGGCTTCTTCTCATGATGGTCGTGGCGGTGAGAATGGGCCTTCTGCTGGCTGCTTCGAAACTGGGCAACGAGAAGAGCACCCAGGACCACGTTCGCAACGGCCATGAGGGCAGCCAAAAGGAGGTACACGCGGGACTGTGACCGCATCCTGGGTGGTTTGGATTCGTGTATTGAAGCCCCGTCCAAAAGACCTTCCTTCTCCAACGAGACGGAGTGGACGTCGGAGTCGTTGGCGGTAGAGCTGCGCTGGTCGCTATACTTGTCCATGGTTGGCGTAGATGCCGTTGGAAAGGGCTGTAGCCATCTCACAGCACATGAAGCCGCAGTAATGTGACGGGTTGGACATATATGCCGCGTGAGAGTGTTGTCGCCAGATCAGTCATCAACATGCCGCATGAGTTGAGCGCCAATGTGGTGCGGCGCCTATGCATCTACATGCGCGCCTGGTGTAGTGAATTGGCGCCCATGGATGGAAAAGAAAACCACATCTTCTTGGCGGCCTCTGACTGATCATGCTAGTGAGGGCAAAGTGTTGGTAAAATGCCGAACCCACGCATCGTGAGGTTGGTGTTTTGTTCATGTTGTAAAGGAATGTGAAGAAGAGGCAAGACCGACCAAAATACTTGCACTCTGTAGGAGCACTTGAGGCCCCCACTTTGGCAGAGTCGCCAAAACCGTTCACGCCAACATGCTGGCATTTGCAACTCTCATCCTGGCGGCGACGGCGACACTGGACACGGGCGGCAAGTTGCAAACAGCTTGCGCAAACATTTCATCCTCGTACCAATCCTGGGTTGCTAGAGGCGGCACGGGCACCTTTGCAGGTATTCCAGGAAGCACAGCGCAGGGGTGTCTCCGATCGATGCCCTTTCATCCCCAGCTGGCGTTGCAGTTCTTGAAGGAATATGAAAAATACCTCCAGTTTCACTCTACAATTCACACACTCAAACGTAAGTCGGGCGTACAATGACCACTAGTCAAAATAAAATAAAACTTTAATTTTAATTTTCTTTTTTCAACTTGTAGATGCTCCCCCGAGCTACATGTCGGCACATGTCGACCTCGTTGCTCACCTTGAAAATATCAGGCAAAAAGTAGTCAACGGGCTTTACTCGTCGCAGTTTGACTTTGACTGGGACCTGGGCAGATCCATATCCAAGGCAAACGATGGCCATCTCACCTTGTCGCTCTGTTCCCAGCGCATTATGCACTTCGAGCACCCACCGCCTCTCGTCTCTCTATCCACGGATGGACTAGAGCTTCCCAGTATATTCACTTTCCGTATGTTCTGCCTTGGGTAACTGACGATGATACAAGACGAGACTAACTCCACCATCAAGAGGATGCTAAGCTCAAGCTTGCTGGATTTCCTGAGGTTTCGCCTCTTGTAGAAATCAACGGCGTCGAAGCTGCTTACTTCCTGGAGGCCAATTATGCCATCAAGCTTGGCTACCAGGACCCGGATGCCCGGTTAGTTGGGTGGCTTCTCTTGCTCATAAAATGGGGTCAAGAAGGCACTGACATGGCTGCAGGTATAATCATCTATTTGCGTCTCCTTCTGCCAACTTCTCTGGCAAATACTCCGGGGGCGCGTGGACGTCATTGCTGGGCTTGTGGCCTGGTGCTTCGAATCGCCTATTATTTTCCAACGGAACGACCGTCACTGTCAAGACTACGGCGTCCTGGCCACATTCAAATGGCCCAATGAACTATCCTGATGGCAAGTCACTGTTTGAAGCAGCGTGCGTCCCGCATCCAGACTCCGGTTCTGCTTTTGGGTCATATGGAGGTACCTATGGCATCTCTCCGCAACTAGAGGCTCCTCCAAGCGGTGCCTCAGTATTTCCAGATCCAATCGTTGGTGAGCAGCGTGACCGCGCTCGTGGTTACTATCTAGATGGCGCGGGCTGTGAAGATGTTGCCGTTCTTCAGGTATCCGACTTTCGTGTTGGTCAAAACGCCACCCGCTTTGCCTCTGTCGTGGGCCGGTTTGTGATGCAGGCTGCGGCAGATGGCAAGAGGAAGCTTATTCTGGACATGTCGGGTAATCTTGGCGGAGATATTGCCGCAGGGTTCAACCTATTCCGAGTCTTGTTCCCGGACAAGCCGATATACCCTGCCACTAGATTCCGAGCGACCGAGCTCATCGACTTCATGGGGCGCATCTTCTCAGAAACACACAAACAGGAAAACGTCACGCTGGATCTCCCATTTGTCGCGCCGCTTGCGGTGGGCATCGACGGAACAACAAAGATGGGCTCTTGGGGAGACGTTTACGGGCCGCACGAGATTATGGGGGACCAAATGTCTAGTATGTCCGGTGTCTTTGATTTCAACCTCGGCTCTACCTCGAGCGATCCCATCAGTGGCTACGGCGACATCCCGCTGTTTCCAGAAGTGCAGCTATTTCCTGCCAATAATATCATCTTGGTACGGGACCCGATGCCCGACGGAGCGCTGGTTTGGGCCATGGCTAACGCTTCTCTTTTTTGACCTGCACAGATGACGGACGGCCAGTGTGCGTCTACATGTTCCGTTGTCGCCCATCTGCTCAAGGAACAGGGCGTGAGAAGCATTGTCTTTGGGGGAAGACCTCGCCACGGGCTGATGCAGGCCGTTGGCGGCGTAAGGGGAGCTCAATACTGGGCTTTGGATACCATCAGCGAGTACGTTGAGCGCGCGCGCCACCTGGCTCTCGCGGCTCTGCAGACAGATTCTCCAATCCTCTCGCGGGCAGAAATGCAGAGATTCAACGAGCTGGCGCCGCTTCCGCTACGAGACTTGCCACTCCGTCTCGACACATACGAGCAAAGTGGCATCAACATCTGCAACGCGTACAGCCCAGGAGACGACTCGATACCGCTCCAATTCATGTACGAGCCGGCCGACTGCCGTCTCTTCTTCACGGCGGAGAACTACATGGACCCTGCGACGGCATGGGCCGCGGCCGCAGCAGCCATGTTTCTGAACGGCTCTTGTGTCGATGCGACACCAGCCGGGCGCCAAGGTTTGAGCATCTCTCCGGCCAAGACTATGGCCGAATCTGTCTCGCTTCATTCATCGAGGGGAGGGCTGCGTCAAAAGTTTGGCGCAGAAAGGTCCCCAAGCGGCAAGGCGCTCCCGCTCCCAAGATGGGCTGCATGAGAGCCCGCAGACGTCTGGCGCATTTCGTCCCGAAGCGGCAAGATTGTGCCAAACGGTTGGCCCCGGGCACCAAAAAGCGCCTGCCTTGGTGTGGAGCAGATGGGAGGAGGGAGTCCGAGTCGTGAATTCGGTACATCAAGGACACACGGAGCGCGGCATGCGGGAGAGTCAGTAAACAACTAGATGGAGAGGGAGTCGTCGACTCGTATGAAATGCCTAGGCGTCAACCATGAGGCTACCATCGTTGGGACCGGAGCCGAATTATACTGCTCTTGGGAATTCAGACTCTGAGAGCCAAAGCATCAAGGTCTCTGCACACACAAGCTTCGTCGCAAAGTGAGAAACAGTCTTACTTGAGCCCTGCATCCAAATGGTTCACGCAGCCCTAACGGTGGATTCTAGCTTGCGGGCTCGTCTGAGACCATTTTTCTTGTGCTTTTCTGCCATAGTATCCCTTGGCTTCGTTGTTTGGGTCGTATTGGCCCCGATCGAGGAGCGCCCGGCCAAGCAGGCCGGCTGTACAAGCCCGCCAATCCGGCGAGAATGGAGAGCCCTCACACTCACAGAGAAGCATGGCTTTATCAGTGCCATTCAATGTATAAGCAAGACGCCGTCTGCGCGGGATGGCAACCTGACGATTTACGATGATATCGCCGTGCTGCACGGAGGGATCGGGTCTTGGTGTAAGTCACGCCGCTCATCGATCCGAAAAACGCACCACGCGTATGATTCAGCGAGCAAAACGACTCATTCCAGTAATACCAGGCCACAGATCAGCGTGTTTTCTGCCGTGGCACAGAAACATACTGGCGGTTATTGAGACGATGCTCAAAGACCGCTGTCACTACCGGGGTTCGATGCCGTACGTGGCCTGCCTGCTCCCCTGGCACTCACCAATGACGACACAAGAGGCTGATGCTGTGCTAGATACTGGGACTGGTCTCTCGACTGGATGAATCTGGCCAACTCATCCATCTGGGACCACGCCACGGGGTTCGGCGGCGACGGCGACAAGGACGGACCCGAGACGGTGGGCGAGGGCCGGTGCGTGACAGATGGGCCGTTTACAGAGTTGCGGCCGGCTATTTACAACCACACGCGCAAGGTGCACTGCCTATCACGAGGCTTTCGCGACGGCGACATCAAGGGCCGCCTCTCTGGGGAGAAGTTCAGTCCCGAGAATGTCGGGAGCATCCTGCGGCTGGGAAACTACACCGACTTTCTGCAGCGGGTGGAAAGGGACCTGCACAACACGCTGCACACGTCCATCAACGGAGACTTCAAGGCCATGACTGCCGCGAACGGTTCGTCCTCGTCCTCTTCGTCCCCTTGGCCATGGTGACTAATTTGTCGAGACCCCCTCTTCTTCTTGCATCACGCCAACCTGGATCGTCTGTGGTGGCGGTGGCAGCGGGAAAACCCGAGCGTGAGGCTGTTTGAATACTCGGGACGGCACATGTATAACTCGACGGGGCCTGCGAGCGATGGCGATGTGTTGATGTACGGCGGGTTCACAAACGACCTGCCCGTCCGCGAGGTGATGAGCACCGAGGGACGTCAGCTTTGCTACACATACTAGAGTCATGTTCTGCGAAAGGTGTAGAGTCAATAGTAGTAATATGTCTCGTAGCCATGAGTCCGTGACTGACTTGGGGCTGATTCTTACTACAATGTGTCTGTGAGGGAAAACGCCCGGTTTCCCAAGCAATCACACCGCCAGACGTCGATTCGTCTGCTGCCTTGCATGTAGCAACCATGAAGCGCACACCGGGTTCCTAATCCCATCAGATGGCGTTCCAAAAGGAGCACCCTGCATGGTACTTTGGACGTCAGACACAGAGAGGGCGATGGTTGTGTCTCTGGCCATGGATGACCGGTCGTCTGCCAGCCAGCCGGGTTTGCCAGTCTCTGTCGGCCTGAGGCCCTCTGCGTCCATGGCAAAAGATGACATTCGCCAGATGGTATATCTCGCTGCAGCTCCAGGCGTTCCCTTTTATCCATGTGCAGCCAAATACCTGTACAGTTGCGAAGACGACATATTCCGAAAACGAGAGAGCACGTTGCAAAACTCTATGCCTTCCGCAGGGGACCATTTCGCAAACCCCGGAGCACCCATCGCCAACCATGACACGACTCGACGACGGGCTCGCGCCGCCGGATATCAGGCGCAGCGCCGACTTGACCGACAATGAGCAGCAGCCTCTAATAAAAACAGACTCCCACAGCAACAATGACGACGCTCTAGCTCAAGCTCCTCACGGCAGCAAGTCTGCGTTTCGCCCCTCGAGCGCCGTCACGGCCTGCTTCGCACTCAACATCCTCCTCGAGGTTGGCCTGTACCTCATCGCCATCCCGATGAACCAGGTCCTCGAGGGCATCATCTGCCACAATGTCTCACCCGCCGCACCGGGGGCCAGTGACGCCCGCTGCAAGGACACGGCGGTCCAGTCGGAGCTGTCCTTTATCCGCGGGTGGCAGGTCACTTTCGACACGATCCCCGGCCTCGTCACCGCCGTGCCGTACGGCATCATGGCAGACGCGTACGGGAGAGAGCTTGTCCTCGGCCTGTCCGTGCTGGGCGGCGCCATGGCCGGCAGCTTCACCGTTCTTGTTTGTGCGTCTCGTATTTCCTGCTTTTACCTGTCCTTGCTTCAATTTCGAAAATAAACAACTCTGCCAGGCTCGCTGCCGTCCGTCTTTTCTCCGCGTCTGGTCTGGCTGGGATCTGCGTTTGCCTTGGTTGGCGGCGGCGCGCCCGTCTTTAACGCCGTCACCTTTGCGATTGTCAGCGGCGTTGTGAGCGAGAGGAAAAGGTACAGCTGTACGGAGTAAATGGTCGATAACAAGGGTGCGGCTGACCTCTGTAGATCGCTTGTTTTCATGTACATTGCCGCCGCGGTCCTCGGGAGCCAACTGGTCGCCAGTCCTTTGGTGTATGTCCTCATCAACGTCGATACTTGGCTTCCCGTGTACTGCGGCCTGGGGTGTCTCTGGCTAGCGACTGCCGTGGCCTTTTTCATCCCCCGGATGATGCTTGCTAAGAGTCCGGTTCTAGAGCACGCCAAGACCGAAGAGGCCCAGGAGAGTCGGGCCCAGGCGCAGACGGCTCGCCATCACCAGCTGATGGGGTGGCGAAAGCCGCGGTGTGGTTTGCGCGAGATAATATCCTCGTTGTCGTGTTGCTTCTCACCTTTCTCGTCACGAGCCTTGGCCGCCTGGCGCAAGAGATTATTCTTCAGTATATTACGAAACGATACGGGTGGTCGTGGTCCGAGGTGAGCATTTCGATTTCGCCATGCCACTTGTGTGTTTTGCATGTTTGGGACAACAGGGGTCGCTCCTGATTTGGTTATATTAACCTACGGCAGGCTGGCCTCGTGCTCTGTCTCCATGCATTCTTTACTCTCACGCTCCTCACGGTCATTCTCCCCGTGGCTAGCCAAACGCTCGCCCGCAAAACAACACTGGCTACCCAAAGCAGAACCCTTTGGCTGGCACGCATCAGCGTATCCATGTCCACCTTGGGCGCATTCACCATGGGCCTGTCAGAAACAGTCGGCTTGATGGCTGTTGGCCTTGCGCTGTTTGCCTTGGGGAATGGCTACCCCCCTCTTCTCCGGAGCTTACTCGCGTCAATTGTTGACAAGCGTCACGTCAATACCATGTATACTATAATGAGTGTCTTTGAGAGCATGGGGTCGATTTTCGCAGGACCTCTCCTCGCGGCATCGTTTCGACTAGGCATGAACATGGACGGTGTATGGATCGGACTGCCTTTTCTAATGACAGGGTGCTTGTTTGGGTCCGCTGCTGTTGCTGTTGTTGCTATCAATGTATCGAGCGTAGAGCGCGAGGCATCTAAAGCGTCTGAAGCGTCGGATGGAATCAAAGTACATGACTGTCAATGAAACCAATCTACCGGAGAGTCTGCAGTTACTTGGCTGCCCTGCTTTTACTAGTAGCCTCTTCTTATACAATCACCGCTGTCCATGTCGATTCAGCCCCTGAATGTGCCGTGTTCATTTTGTTTCTGTTAACAAAGTCTCATCTGAAGTTTGCACCGACATGAAGATTCTCATCAATGCCGGGATATGGTGTAAAGAAGATGGTACTAGTCCCCCATAAATAAGGGATATTTCCCATCGGAGCCCACGAATTATCTGTAAACGGTCCAAGCAAAGAGACGGCCTCACTACCCGATCCAAGACACCAACACTCCCGAGTCGTCCCTCCAGTCAGTGTCTTATATTGGCTGGGTCTCTTGGCGTACTACCCTTACCTTAATCTTTGGTTACCTCAGTCCCCAGGCGCGGCTATACTATTACAAGCCGTATCTAGTCCGACCCATGTTTTCATTTCAAGGTTTCGGCAATACTCATCTAAACTTGGCCTGCGCTTGCCCAACCCATTGCCGTTGCCCGTTCCCAAGGCTGGGGGTTATTCTCTATCCCCCTTGTATCAAACGATTAATTTCATGGCAATTTCAAAGACTAGTAGATCGGGAATGCGCATGTCTTTATCGCAAAACGCTAGTAGACGCCGAGACTCTGGTGCAAGACACATGTAGTCGAGAACTCTCAAGTGTGAGGACCCTGCTCGGGAAGCGGTCGGAACACCTCGTGTTGCAGTATCATGGGAGAAGAAGTAAGTAGTCAAAAGCAAAACAGTCTCCAGCTGGAGGGTGTCGCCTCACCAATTGGTGCTTGGTATAGTCCGGACGCCCATCAGACACCATACTCAAAACTCCGAGTCGCTTAGCCGCAACTGGCGGACTAAGTTGTATCCAAAACAGCACGAAACCCCAAAGCCCTCGTGACCCTGAAAGAAAAATTAAGAAAAAAAATCTCCTCCCCGTCAATCTCTTCAGCTCCGATGCCACCCACTCGGCCGATACACACTACAATAGCGGCTCATTCACCATCGCAAGACCAAGGGTTACCAGAACAGGAAAAAAAGCCCTCAACAAAGGCTCCGGCGTGGGTTGCACCCCTTCACTTAAAGGGAGCTTTCGATCCGGCCCCGTGCGTCCCCCGGGCATAACCCCAAATTAGAGCTTCTCGAGGATCGAGATTCGTAAAAATGGATTCTGTCTTGTTTTGTGGATAGCCGCTAGTACGGTCCCGCCGATGGTCGGTCGGGCGGCCATTTAACAAAGGACAAGATCTGGAAACGGGAAGAGGTGCTTTTACCGACACAAAGAGGGAATTGGCGAAATTGCTTCATCAACAAAAAAAAAAAAAGAGTGGGAAGGGGGGGTAGACACGAAGGGATACAAAAACATAAAAGAAGAAGGCCACACAATTGGGTCTGGTTCCAAAATAACCAGTGTGAAAGAGAGACGCCTGCAAGAAAAAGAGCTGCCAACACGGTATTGCAGGGATGGCCTCGTTCATGCAGCGCTTCTCAAAGGAGTGCTGATGCTCGCTGCTGCCGGGCGGGAAAGAGCTCCGACTTGCCAGAGTGTGCCGGGCTAGTTCTCCGTCCGATGGGCGTGTGCAATCGAGTCGGTTCCGTTCCAGGCCTTGTGCGTAGTCAGGAACGTCGTCCTTGAAGGGGAGGGATGTTCGTGAGGGCATCCGAAGGACCGGCAGCTCGCACCATCTCGTGAGGTGGTTTGGCCCAAGGCCGAAATGGGATATATATACTCCGTAGTCCGTAACAAGTTATGAATTGCGAATTTATGCACACGAATTGTGCCGCCACGCTTGATCCTGCTGTGCCGATATTGTCATCGGCCAGCAATGTTTGCATGTGTATTTTTTTTTTTTTTTTTTTTAATTGCCTCGTGCATTAACTGTTCGCTCGCACCTGAACCGCCGTGTTGCCCTCCGTCAGGTCGCGACCGGCACCACAACCAGCACCACCACCAAGGGCGGCATAAATCTTCAACCCCGTCTCGCATGAATACAGGCCGGGCACCAATGGAGTTTCAGCCCTGGGTGCGCTGGAAACAGACGGCGCATAGCTCGGATATGCGCTATGCACTCTGTTTCGAACAAAGCCATAGAAGGAGGTGAAACCAGGCACACCACGGCAGTTGCAGGGCGAGCGTCTTTGGCCTTTAATTTTTTTTTCTTCCTGTCAAAGTTGCTCATGAGGGTACAGTCATGCAAGCTGCAAGGAAGCTATTGCCCACCATGCCCCAACTAACATGTACATGAGAAGAATTATCCGTACGCCAATTCCATCAAACAATGCAATTCAACCTACGTGCATTTCCATTCCCATTCGCAAGTGCAGCAGAGCACCGCGGACAGGATGAATTTGCACTTAATTTCTAAAAAAAAAAAAAAAATTAAAAAAAAATTCCCTGACCATCCATGGCCTCCTCACCTCGTCCCCCTCCTTCCAATCTTCTCCCACACCAGCGCAGCCACGCCCCTATCCATCCAACCAATCCCGCCCTGCAGCAGGCGGCGTGTCCTCATCAAGGCACCAGCCGAAAAGGGACGCCTTTTGGCCAGCAGACCCAAGCCACGTCTGGCTCGCAGTTCCTTTGCACGCCCCAGAAACTGGCCATTTCACTTGACGAATTTCCCCTCGGTAGATGCATGTGCGCTGTATGAGTATTACTATTGGGGGGCGTGAGCTCATGATGACGATTATGGCGGCATTTGAGCCCAAAAAAAAGTTGTGGAAGTTTGAAAAATTTCAAGGCTTTAGTAAAACACTGGCTTTTTTTTTCGTTGGATTCCATTGTGGTGGCGATTTTGTGCCTCTCGTAGATACGAAGAAGATGTGATTTACGGATGAAGAACCAGGGTTGCTTGTGAGATGTCTAGATGTACCAGACATGTGTTCTGCTAGGGATGGCCGACTTGCGCTGGGTCCCGTCTGAGCTACGCGCACAAAGGCCCGCTGCGTGTAAGAGGCCATGAGGAAAAAGACAGGGAACATTTGCGAAAGGGGAATAAAAAGCTTGGTGACACTTTTTTTTGGCGGGCTGCTCGGTTCGTTCGTGCCGGCCTGTAGTCGTGCTTATCTTGCGGGTTTTAACATGTCATGTTGCATCGACTCAATTCTGAACGTCTTGACAGCTCAGTCAACTTTGAATTGATAGTAGCACCAGGCACATTAGGTTCCTCCTCTGAGGTCTGGTGCAAACGCGCACCTGAGAATATTAATGTCGTCGGGTAGCTCGCTGGCCGTGACACCGCTCTGCACCGGCGATTGGTAATTCCTGCGGAATGGCCGTATCCCCGGATTTTGCCTCGATCCCATGCCCGCCGAGCACCAAGCTTCATGTCTTTTCGATAGTGCTACTAGCTCAATTGATGGGAATAACCCCCTTGTCTAATTCCCCCGCCACGCTTGCCGGTTACAAAGCACCAGGCCTCCGTACCCCGCCTTCTAGCTCCATGTTCCTACCCCTCGCCAAAAAGCCCACCAACAGCAGCCGACCATTCAATGTTGTCCAACTCGTGCACCATGGAGAATATGCAAATCCAGCATCAACTCGCGCATCTCAATCTCACAGAAACGTGTGTTGCGTCGGGGATCGATGTTCCTCAAGTTTCCTATTCAGTTCGGCCCTGGCGATATTATACGCCGTCTTCACAGAGTATTGATACTACTCCGTCGCCGAAGCAGGTCAAAAGCCGCCTACTGCACGAATGCTGGTCGTGCATCTAAATTGCGGAGAGCCGCCTTGGAGATCCACCAGACCGCGGCCTCGAAGCAGCTCAGCAAAGTGTCCACTTGGCTGGCCGCTTGGCCGTGGCACTTGTCGCGTCTAAATGAGGGCTTTGAGTTAGAACATCATCAGCGATTAGGGTTGGGGCTTTGATAACAATATGCTTTGACATGGTGGCAAACCAACAAAACCAGAAACCGAGCCGAGCCCAAAGAGAGAGGGAAAAAAAAAGGCATGCACGAATGCCAACACTGAGAGCGGCATTTTATCCTGGCGACACAATGCTGATGATGCCTGGACGAATGAAAAGGCACCATGATGCAGCGTGCCATGTTGTATTACACCTGAAGCTGGACTTTGTCTGTAGCCACAAATAACTTATGCATGACATGCCCAAGCCGCCCCGGCGGGTAAGTACATACATACATACAGGTTCAGGAACCTGACGGCGATTTTTCTTCTTCTCCTCGCCTTTCCCCGCGCGAACCCAAACGGATCGTCGAACCTCTTGCGCGCATCACGTGGACTTGAGAGGAAGTTGTGGTGTCCCCAAAACGGGCGGCGTTCCAAGTGTCCGCTCCCGTGCCACCACACCAGAGAAATGTCAACTGGTTGAATGGATGGGAGAGAGACGGGCTCTCAGTAGTAACCTTGTCGGGTGGTTTTGCCCCCGGTGGCCGCTGATTGTCTGGTGGTGGCCGTCGTCGTCGCCGGCCAGCAGTTTCTGATAATCACCTAGACATTGAAGGTTTGACGACATGGAATACACGTAGGCAAAATTACAAAGTACCCCGAGGCCATGCTGTCCCAAAGTCAGCTGCGGCATTGACATGATCCAGCGACCCCCCTCCTCGTGATGGGCTTCGCAGAGGGCACATCATGCTTTCCAAACACCTGGCATCGGGACCTCGAGCTAGGCCCGTCGCGTCGCATTCTTCGCAGCGTCGCAGCTTTGGCGTCCGTCATGTGAGCCACCTGAGAATTTAGTCCGTACCGGGCTTGTGCCTGAAAGCCTGTATCAGAGCCACGAGGAGGAGAGAAGAAGAAAGATGCTTAATTAATTTCTTGGCCCCGGCCCCGATTGCGTTTCGATTTCTCCTGAGCCGCGCTGGGCCGGTGAGGTGAACCGATTCAAAGAATCTGGCACCAATAGAATCCAATCGTGCCTTGGCTGTGTCCGGCCGGCTCGGATGCAGAGCATTGGCCCAAGAGGGGGGCCAGTCTGCAGTCTGAGCTGGTCGGGAACCAAGCGTCGTGACCCAGCGCCGTAGGGACGGGCGGGCGGACTGGGCTTTGAACATCATGAATGCTATGGACGTCCGGTCTGGTGCCTAATAAAGGAACAGCTTGAGCTTGGGTGCTGGCTGCGGCCCAGCAGGGAGGGCGAGTCCCTTTCATGTTTCATCAAGGTTCAATGTTCCGTCCCACTGCCAATACTTGGCTGGACGACAATGGTTGAGACCCTCGGCTGAAGCGCCTTTGCAGTCTGTCCAGGTCGCACTCACACATGTCAACCGGCGCACCTTTTTGTTGGTAAAGAATGGCCAGTGACCACCAGTTTGTGTTCTTCAAATGTCCGCTGGGTCTGGTACTTGTTAGGAACTACTAGGCGGTTACATTACTCTGTAGCGCGTCCGCCCACCACCAGACAGTCTGTTTTACCACAGTGCCACCTTGTCCTCAGCGGGACACCGTACTGGCCTAGCCTCAGCTGGACTTGCCGTCAATGCCACCAGACTGTGATCCAGCAGCAAACATTTGAACCAGACCGGACATTGAAGCGTCCAGCTCCTCCAGCTACCTGCCAGCCCGCCATACCCATGTTGTACTCGACCCCATGCAATCAATCAAACCACCAGACCTGTTGTATCATCATCAACTGCAGCCATGGCATGTCGTTGCTGCACACTTCGTGCTGCCCGTACCAAACGTCACGCCAGAGGCACCCTCTCCCATCCCACATACATAATACGGAACATCTCGTCCCTTGAATTGTCGTCGGCTTTCCGAGCTCGACTGTCAAGCTGGACCTTGGCTGCTCAGCCAGGCCCGAGTTGGATCAGGCGGCCGCACGCTGTGCTTCTCCCTCTAACAGCGCGCCTTGGGCCGTTGCTCCCCTCACACCCTCCCCCCCCTCGCGCCTCGAGACCTCATTCGCTCGACGCCTCAGTCGTCCTTTCGCTGCTCCTGCTCCGTCTGGGCATTCATTGCCTGGGCCTGGCACCGCTGTCGGCCCTGCTGGCGTGGGACATCGCTGGATCCATCCATCAGCCTTCAATTCCTCCCTCCACCCACCCCAATCCACCCACTCAGCACCGCTCGTCTCCTCGCCCAGCTTCACACGCTTCACACCCGCACGCCCTCGCGGCCACGACGACCTGATGATCAGCTAGGGTGGCTCAACGCCAATAACCCGCGGCCTCTATCCCCACCCCGCCCCGTCGTCGGAGCGAGGGCGCGGGCGCGGGCGTCGGCGGCCCCAGCGTTTGGAAGACACTGGAATAATACTTCTGGGTCTTGGCCAGCGCCGTCAGCTCGAGACTCCAATGCCATTGACCGTCCAGATGTTGACAGGCGCCCCGCGCGGCGTTCATGTAGTGATTCCCTTGGGCATCTTGACAGACATGTCGATACATAAGTACATACAGGTTATTCTTGTAGTACGTACCAGGACAGCTCGACTTCACTTCTGGGCACGGTTGTAGATACCGGGTGCTCGACACTTGAGCGTTCCAAAACGGAGTCACAGAGACAGACACAGTTCAATGTTGGGCATCCACATGTCCCGTAATAATGGCATACGAACTCCGTACTGCCAGGCTACTAGCACTGGACCACGCACCAGCCTCAACTCAACGACAAACAGTTGCCACTCTTCTCCGTCGACTCCATTGCGATCCCGATAATCGCAAGAGCTGAGGCACCGTCAATTCACGTAACACTTGCGCACACCCCCCCTCTCTACTGCCTCACACGCACACACACACGCACACACACACCACGCCCCCACGGCCAGTCTGTGAGTCTGTCCCAAAATATTATTTCTCGCCCGCTCTGCATTTTTGTGAAGCCTAGTCACTCTCCAACATCCAGCAAATCCCAACATTGACACCTTCGCCCACAGACACTTTACATTAAACAACGCTGTATCAACGAGACCGACCGTCTTGCGGCATTTCCCATCTCGTGACGGTCCAGCGTCTGTCGCCTCGCTTCTCCGAGCTACCCAAGTCGTTGGCAATGGCCTCCTCAAAAGTATGACCAGTCGTCTTGGGGATGCCTTGCAGGCTTGAATCCCGCTCTCGCGAGATTCCAGTGTGTACTGACCACTTTATTTCTCCCACAATCAGGAAATGCAACCCTCCTCCAGGCCATTGACGCTTCAGCGTCCGTCCGTGTCGAGCCCCTCGGCCGCTGCGATACCCAGCCGGTCCCATGCTCGAAACAACTCTCACTCCCTCCTCTCCTCTTCCCTCAACGCGAACCACCGCGTAACCCGACGCAAGTCCGTGACGAACCCCGGTCCCAACGTGGCTGCTCTCACCGCGGCCGTTGCCAACGGCGAGCAGATTGCTGCTATCCCCATCACGAACGGCGGCCGACGAAACACCATTTCCAAGGCGGCTCTGGCCAAAACATCCCTCGTCGGCAGTCTCCCCTCCCCTCCGGCTAGTCTGCCAACCAATGGGGCCATTCTCGACATCAAGCAAGATGTACACGACAGTGCTATCGACGACGGCAATGACGTTTCGGCAGACGAGGATGACAAGTCTCAGCAGGCTCGCATTCGACGAGCTAGTGACGGTTCACCCCTTGTGAAGGAGCCCAAGAAGAGCAACCGTGTCGAGGTTCGCTGTGACAAGTGCGGCAAGAGTTACAAGCACAGCAGTTGCTTGACGAAGCACTTGTGAGTGGCGCATACTGCATTTTGCGTGATTTGGGCGCGGCGCGCGAAGTCGGGTGATCGTCCCGCATAGTTGAACGTGGTTATTCAAATCGTACGATGGAGTCTATACTGACGTTGTTTGGCTAGGTGGGAACATACCCCCGAATGGTCCTTCACGTCGAAGCTGCTCATTTCCAAGCACCAACAAGTGCAGCTTCTGGAAGCCGCCTCTGTACTTGTCGCTATGAACGACAAGGAGAGCACGGCAACACCGCCCGAGTCAACCAAGGACTCTGCTAGCGAGCCGGATTCTTCATCGCCTGCTGCCTCAGGCTACTCAGACCACGTTGAACGCCAAAGCTCGGCCGATACTACCCCGCCGCCCATGATGGAGGAATCTGGTCTAAGCGGGTTGTCATATCGCGACGGCAGTGGTGCTGGGTTTGCTCGAAGCTACCAGTCCACCGTCTCTGGTAGCCTTCCCAGGGGCTCGGCTTTTGGACATTTCCGACAGCCTAGTCACGAGCGTCGTCCACCGTCGTCTGGTGCCAACCACACGGGAGAGGATGACCGTGACTTGGCTGCCGCAGTCGAGCTGCTCAGCTGCAGTTTCAACAGCAACAATGGATCCCACGGCACGGTTACTGTGCCCCTAGATGCACCCCCGGTACCACCAGTCCCAGCCCAGTACCTTGACCAGGCTGCTTCGTTTTCGAGTGCGGGATTCATCAACAGTTTTCCCCAGCGTCAGCCAGAGAGCTTTACTCGAGGCGAGATGCGACGTGGGGGTGAAGATGTCAAGATGGAAGACAGTGATGATGACTTCGACATGCAGTCGCGTGCTCGGAGTGACGAAGACGACGATGGCGTTTTCGGTCGCATGGAGGAGTAGGCTGTAATGAAGCACCATGTTGTTGCTCTTTGGATACAATGATTTTCAGTTTTGCAAGAGCCTCCGGGTTCCATGGCTGTGGAGTTGGGTTTTTTGGCTTGACATGGAAGGACTGGCGTGGTGTCTCATATGTATCATGATATACTCAACCTGTATGAGGTGGTTCAGCTCCGCCGTCAATCTTCAGCACCGAAGAGTGGAGGGCCTTTCTGCACACGGTCATTTTGGGCCGTCGCTTGTTTGCAGACGAGATTGCATCTCCACGAGGTTAAAGTGAGGGTTCTGATAGGCGTCGAGCGTACACCCGAATAAATACCAAATGAAATGAATTGTTCATGTGAAATTACCTAGCAAAAACGATGGCGTGTACCTTGAGCGGGGCGCACTGGTGTATGCCGAGCTGTCGAGATAGGATGAGCAGGTGTCGAATTGCCCACGTTGGTCGTTGAAGCTGGCGTGGTTGGCAAGCACAGAGGTTTCAAAACAGACCCGTCACGATTCATGATAGCCCGCACGGTAGAGTGAACGAATTTTAACTTGGCACAATTGAAAGGAATTGACAAGCAATTGAAGTTTATTCACCATGTAGGGTTGAAAATAATTTCCTCGAGCTGTCGTTTGATGGCCCTACAGAAAAATGAAAAAGAAGAAAATTAAAGCTGAGGTTAGCGAGCGTTGAATGTTGAAGAGGAAGGAGGAAAAAATTGAGAGCTCCAAACCCTGCCCGTTTGTGGAGACAGCTGGAGCTGTGGCGGAGACGACTACTGGCCGTGCTCTTCCGCCGAGCTCCAGTGTCAAAGACGTTGTCCTAGCGACCTGATGTCACTTCCCCGCTGGTGTTCAGCCAGCTTGCTTTTTCCCCCGCGAAAACTGAACCCGATTGAAGCACAAAGTCTGGTGCCGAGTCGCAACGCGCACGCAGTAGTTTCGTCATTGCAGGCTGATCTTCTCGAACTACTTTGCCGACCATTACGCTCCTTTTTTTTCTCCCAAGGTGTTGACGCGCGTTCTCCCGGACACGTCTGTGCAGGAAGGTATTACCAGCCTTGCTGGGTGGCAATTCGAGGTACTCCGAAACCATGGCGCCAACTAGGCGAAGCACAAAGCCGGATGCGACTCCGACTAGCAAAACGGAAGAGAAAGCTGCGGAAGCGAATGCTGCTGTGATTGCAGAGGAGGAGGAGGAGGAGGAGGCCGCAGCCGAGGTCGTCGAGTCCACGGAGGGCAAGCTTCCCTTTGCGGTGCAGTTCCCCTTGATCATCGCGCTGAACTTTGCCTTATCTAGCCTTGGTCGCATGGTTATTTCGCAGGTGTCAAACGGGGAACTGGAGTTGTTGACCCGAACCCAGGATACACGGGGAGAGGTAGCACTCGTGGCGGGATGGAGAATGTGAGTTGACCCTTTTCAACCGGAAACATGCACCCGTACCGTGGTATTGATGCTCTGGTGCCAGGTTCGAGTTGGCAGTGGGATGGTTTGGCAAGCTGGATAGTCTCGAAGCAGGCGCTGCGAGTATTCTGGCTCACGGTCCAACGGTACGTGTAAACTCGCAGCTTGCCCACGTCCAAGACAGACACATTGATTACGGAGTGTAGTTCTATTTGCTCGCGGCGTTCTACAACCTCACTCCTACGACGGCGTTGTCCGCATTGGCCGTTGATGTGCTCTCTGTCGCGCTGCCATTCTACCTAGTCCGCCCTCTGTCTTCAACCTATGGGTCGCCGACGAGAGCGGATCGCGACGTTTTAGATATTCCCATGCAGCTACTGACCACCATTCTATCTACGGGTATCTACACCGTCACGCTCGTTCTGTCACTACGTTTCTTGATGCCTCGAATTCTCGTCGTTTACTTCAGCGGCCTCCCCAGCCTCGAGCCCGCCTACTCTGCTTCGTATACAGACGTTCTCCCCGTTACCGTTTTGTTCGGCCTTGCAGCCAGCACGTTCATCTTTGCACCGTTTGCCAAGACCGGCAAGGCCGAGGAAGATGCCAAGATTGAGCAGTTCGATCCTGTGAGCGCATCGCTTGGCCAGACTGTTTGCTGGAACTTTTGGGGATACACGGCCAAAACCAAAGTCGTTATTCGACGAACGGCGGCTGCTGTGCTTTTGTCAACTGTTGGCACTTATCTCGCTTGCACCAAGACCATGTACGGCATTGAATCGACTGGTGCTGCTGCGTATGCCAGTCTTTGGGCTGTAGCTGCGTTGTTTGCCGGCGTTGGACTGGGTCTTGTAGGCGGCGACTAGACGCTCGGAAAAGAAAAAAACAAGCCTTTGGCCGCTATATAGAGTTCAGTAGTAGCTGGCAAAAGGCCCAATGCTACTACCAGATGATGAAAGAGCAGAAAAGAGGGACCTGGGGTAATTCAGTCTCGGGGCGAAGGCGGCGGATGGGGCTTTCTTTGAGATACCACGGGTGGGATTTTGGCTTGGAATGGTGTTTGGATTCGTGGTTTCCTACCGCGACGGCTTAAAGTTGACACTTTGTAGTATTACCTACCCATTTACTGCGTATCTTACTTGGACAAGGATGGAAATTCTCGATTCTCTTTGTATTCTTCAATCCAATGCCAAGGCAGCGCACTGAAGCTGAAAAAATTGCCTTGTGATGGTCTTGTTTCTATGAATATCCCAAGTACGGGGGAAATCATGCACATGCACGATCAAAACGCTGGCTCCGTTCTACATATAGAACACGACAGGGATCAGGAGCTGAGCTGCAGATTCAAGGTCCGCCTGACAGTGAAACGCAGGGAAACATTGATACCAGACAAGACCCATTCTACCGTTCAGCTGAACGTGCCATGTGCGCGGTACCAACTTGTCGGTGCGGCAAGCAATACTAGAGGTACGTACGCGAATGCTGGTACAATGTACCCGGGTGCATGTGGGTTTTGAAATGGTTGGCATTGCTGCAGGACAAAAGCGTCTGACTTGGATGCACGGCCGGTAAGATGTGTGCCGTAATGGGTAACCGGCCGCCCTATGTGGGCGAGTGTTTGATGCCGGTCTTTACAGATTGGGCTTTGCGCTGGAGCTGGAGCTGGAGCTGGAGCGCGTAAGCAAGGGCAAACATTTGGATGATGCAGGTACAGAAAAGTCGTGATGACGTCGACGGTGCGTTGACCGTTGGAGCTTGGCGGCGTGTGTATTAGCCCATCACGGTTCGTTTTCACGGAAAGTAGTTTGGTGTCCAAGTTTCAAGGCACGAGAGCTGGTCGGCTTGCGATGCCTTTGCAAGGCCGCGGAGACGACACGGAGGGCGCAAGGCTGAGGGTCCCAGGCGATTGTCCGACTTGGTGTTGAAATCGTGTTCTAAAGCTGGCAGCCCCCAAGCCAAGCCATCTTCCTGGCGGCAGCTTGAGGCGGCTCAACAGCTCGACCCCTGCTTGCTCCAATCAATGCGGTCTGGTCTAACGTCTGTTGCTCCTTCCCCCACCAGCTCACTGGAAGAGGGGAGAGCTGGGTTAGCTGCCGCCTTGGAAGTTGGAACCACACGCACCAGACATGGAAAGGCATGCACCATGCGTTTAATGTTCACTGTCTGGTTCCAAGTAGCCTCTCGACACTGCCGTGCAACCATGCAACTGACCGGACACAAAGACACCAAGTCGGCCAACCCTGGCGCACACAAGGTATTGGCCAAGTTGGTGCAGTCAGTCGTCTGTGCAGCAGAGGTCAAGTGGCCGCTGACTCGACATTTGACTTCTCTGGCGACATGGGGCCTGGGAAGTGAGACAAGGACAAGGGACCGCTCTGGTGACAGCAAGCTTCTTCCATCGTCCAAAGTTGGCCCGGTGGCTGACGTATCCTCCAACAGCTGCTTCCCCTCTATTCCTATTGCTTCACTGGCGTCCCTTGTTTCTCACCTGGCCCCGTCGCTTCCTGGCTAGGGCTGAAGGCCTGTCCAGAATAATACCTGAGACGTCCCTGGCCCTGACAAGTTGAGGCTGTCCATTAGTCTTGGCATACGGCATATTGCTCGCCGCTAGACGGTTGGGGCTGCAGATCTTATCGCAAGGCGTCTGAACAGAAGTCTGGCCCTCTATCGTACCTTCACCATTGTCCGTCTGCTCGCTCTGTCTGTCGATTTTGATGGTCTGGGAACCTCCAGGTGCCCGTCGTCTCCAGCTGGACCGTTTCCATCCAGTCGTTTGCTTTCAGGCAAAACGAAACGGACCCCAAACCGCTGGAATCCTTCAGAGTTTGTGACCAACTTCGGCTCACTACCGAAACCATCGCCTGCGTTGTGCCTATTTTCAGCCCTCTTGGCAAAAATAAAAGCGGCTACATTCGAAGAAGCCTTATGCCTGGTGCCAAGTAGGTGATCCAATGAGGCATGGTAATTCAGTTGAAGGAAAGTTGTCGTTGTCTAGACTCTCCATCTTCTGACGCCAACTTGCTGTATTTGCTTCAATCTCACTTGCAGTTCTTCTCACCCACACATCCCTCGGCAATCCGCTCCTGTGGCCTGATAGCATTGCCCGGTAGTATTGCCCTATTCAGGGAGAGCAGTTGCAAAAGCATCGAGGTATAAGTTGATCCGGCTTTGCCCTTCGATTCGGGAGGGGGAGGCTCAACTTGGCTGAGTTGAGGAAAGATTCTCCGCAGTCTCACACACAAGACAAGCGGGACGCCTCCTCCGCCCCTCTCTTCAGAAACGATTGTAACAACCACCCTTTCTCGATCAACTAGTTGCCAGACCCTCAGCACCAGTCAACGCAAGCCGGGGTGGTGATGTCGGACTATCACACAGCCAACCCCTCCCTAGGTTATACACACTTCAAACGGTCACCAAGCATCAGGAGTGAAGAAGCTCTCGATCTTCGTGGCCCTTTGGAGGTCACCGGAAATGTCGAATCCGGACGTGGTATCAACCTAGAAGGAGAAATAATCATTAGCGGTAGTCTTGACGCGTATGGTCCGCTCACCATGAATGGTAGCATCAGCTGCGAGTAGGTACACCCTCAGTTGCCGGGTTTGTTGAGACAACCATACACATCAGGATGTGCACCCCTCGTGACATACAGAGCTGACCGGCTTGCAACATAGGGGCGAGATTAGAGCTTACGGTAACATCGTGGTCAACGGTGTATTAGTGGCGAGGTGAGTGCCAAGCATGACCAAAGTAAAACCTCGCTCTGACAATTAGCCATAGTAACAAGATCAAAGGCTTTGGCTCATTAAAGGTTTCTGGGACACTGGAAGGCAACCATCTCGAAATCTATGGAAATCTCTCCATAAAAGGCTATTTGTGAGGCTGAACAATATATGTCTCTTTTGACGGGGTCGCAATTGCCCTATCGCTAACTACCTTATTAGGAAATGCAAGAGCCTTGTGGTCTATGGATCATTGTCATTGATTGGGCCTACGTCGACGTATATAGCAGAGGAATCGGAAGAGGTAGCAGGCCCGAAAGTGGTTAGAGAGCAGGAACCTGATTGGGATTTCTAGTGCAGGACGGGGACCACTCTGCTTAGACGTACTCTTTGTTTTTCTTCTTCTTATTGTCTCTTGCGTTCTTTCACCTCTTGTCTATACTTGTTAGGTCCGGTCGATGCCACTTTCCCCAATATCTCGGAACGTTGTGGCTGCACAATTCGAACGACTGTAAATGCCGGGTGGGTTTTTGAACATGTCATATTAGGAAAATACACATGCCTTTCGCAAACGCTGAGTCGCCACTTCGTGCTTCTAATTCGGTCCAAGTGGAAAACATCATGTGTCAGACCCAGGGGGACAGGATCCAGGGTTGGAGGTGAGCGAGTTATTATAGGACACAAGAATAGTTACTCCGTTCAGAGTGCATGAGGCTGAACCAGATCGGCCGCCGGTCCCGGGCAACCCAAAGCCCACAGACACATGACAGAAACGCGGATTAGCGTTATGCAGGCCAAAGAAAAGTGCCGAGCAATACCACTCTGAGGCTCAAAGCTGCATGGACCGCCCGTGGTCTACGAGCCAACTTTTATCCTAGTTGTGTATTCTAACGGGGCAAATCATGCGACTTTGCACCTTGGAGCCTTGAGATTGTACATTCTGGAAAAGTTGGGAATTCCTTCGAATCCATATTGGATACTCTGTACACGGGGATCTGGGTAGTATTGTGAAAGATGCACATTTCCTTTTCGGTAACAAGCGACTGGGTAAGTGCGTTCCCCAGAAAACCGAGGCGTTGAATCAACTCGATGGGATTTCGAAGTAAGCTCGGTCTATCATCGTGCCTTTTTTTTTGGCCGAGTTAAGAACAGGGTCCACTGATAACTGGCTCAGGGGACATGGCCAATGAGGAGCCCAATTCTGCTTCAACAGTGAACACTGAATCTCCCCGTCAAACGAACAGGCAGACATTGCGTAGATGAGTCAATTTTCCGAGGCTTCCGTGGTGCGTATCATTTCTTGTCGGCTATGTCGTCGGCTGCATCAAATTACGTGGGCCAAGGTTGGCATGGTGCTTTATTATTTTCCCTCTCAACTTCGTTTGTGTTACGTATTGATTTTCTCTGTAAGCTCATCCATTGTCCAGAGGGAAACATGAGCGTGGCTTGATTGATGACTAAGGCATCAAGGTGGCTTGGCACATGTGGGCCGACAGCAGCAAGGCGTAAAATCAGGCACGAGATGACATTGTGGAGACGGAACACACGCCTAGGACCCTCCCCCCCTCGGACTCCTGGCTCTCGGCGGCTGGATCGCGCGCATGGCAAGCTTGCGACACGGTTCCTCAACAAAACTGCTTCGAGAAGGGCAAATGGCCGCGCAGACCCCGGGGGCAACCATCGCCAGCCGAACCCGATAAGCCTCTTTGGCATCTGCGCTGATTAAACGCGCTCCCCCTTTTATTTTGCTGGTCCCCTCGGAGGCATCATGGCCGCTGCCGGCACAGACCAAGCTGTGGCCAGGGATGTCGAAGGCGCGGCATCGCCAAAGGACACAACCTCTGCAAACCGGACAGCCGCAGGTCAAGCTGGTCAATCGGGTCAAGCCATGGAGAATGCCAACAAGGCACTCGAGCCTCGTGCTGACCCTGATGCGCAAACCACGGTGACGGACTTCCTCGACTTTACAGAGTACCTGCCGTCGGACGTGATTCGGTCGCTGACACTGATTGGGAAGCTCGACGAGACATATACCGATGCGTCAGTCAAGGTGGACGAACTGACAACAACATGGGGTCAGCTTCCTAGCCTCGCTGCCGAGGACCGGCCCTCACCAGTCAAGTTGCGTGCCGACATATCAGAGAAGCTCAGCCAGGCAGTGAGCTCGAGAGTTTTTGCGCATGACGAAGCTGTGAGGATGTCTGAGAATGTGAATCGCCACTACAACAAAGCCAAGGTGCTTCTGGCGAAATTACAAGGCATGATGGATAATTATCCAGCAGAGGAGCCCAAGAGTCCTGTCGCGTCCAGATCACCTCATGCCGTTCGCGCCAAGCCCGCTATTGGAGAAGATGGGCAGAAGATTCGACATCATAGAATTCCCAAAGTCACCGTTCCAGGAGAGGTGCTTGCGCCTTACGAAATCGAGTATGATACCGCCAGCGACGACAGCGACATTAGCACCGATGAGGATTCCGACATATACGGCACAGGACGGAGAACTCCTGCTCCGCCGCGAATAAAGATCATATCGAACAAGCCGAACAAGCCAAACAGCCGACTGGCTCGTCCTGTCACTTATTCCTCGGCGGCAATGACTGCCGCTGCTGCTGCAAACGCTGCTGCCCTTTTGAACCCACCTCCTGAGAACGCCGTGGTTGGTAGTGTAGATGCCCCGTGGTTGCAACTTACCAATTATGAGCTTGCGAAGCTGCGAAAACGGATGAAGAAGAACGCTACCTGGACACCTAGCGAGACAATGGTAGCGAGGGAGCTTAAGGCGCTCGGTCGTGGACCAGACGAGTACAGAGACGCAAAACAGAAGGCGGAGGATGAGGGGAAAGAATTCAACCCCCAAGTGCCAAAGTTGGTCGTGGACGACGAGTCTGGGGCACAACATCTCCCAGCCGGTGCCATTAGCGCCGACTTGATTGGGATCGAGGAAGTCCCCACGAGCAACAGAGGCATGAAGTTGAACGAAGCCAAGAAGCTCAAGAGAGAGGCCCTGGCTAAACTAGCGGCTGAGGAGGCCGAAGAATCTGCCAGGAAGATGACGCATGCCGCTAAGCTCTTCATGGGAAACGAAAAGAACAAGTCCGAAAACTCCAAGGATTCCAAGGAGACAAAAGGAGGCAACCAGCCCCTCGAAAAGTCCAGAGCCGCTTCTTCTCGGCCAAACGGCAAACGTAAAAGAGAGGGCGAATCTGGTACTGAACCATCAGAGTCCGCCGAGACAACACCGCCGAGACCACAGCCCAAGCGAAGCAAGATGGAAACTCCCGTTCCTCCACCTCAACATCCTGGTATGAACCAGAACAATGCGCCGCCGGCGGATTCTAGCAACAATCATATTCATATTAATAACAACACCTCTAGCAATAAAATCAACAACAACAGCGCCAGCTCTTCACTCCAGCCAATGACTCCGGGGCAGTCGGAAACGCCTGTTCCTATACCAGTCCCTCCACAGAGCTCTTCTCGATCCGCACTGTCTCCAACCCCCAACTCAACAAGCAGCAACAATGTCACCACAACCACTATACCTGTGAAGCCGCCCGCAGAAACTCCTGTCCCGTTGCCACGCACAGACAGACGAAAGTCGATGACACCAGTCGCGCCACCCTCCCGAGAGCCCGCCAAGAGAGAGACTCGAGGAGAAGCCGCGAAGCGAACACAGCACGCCTCTCCTCCAGACGTCTTTTCGTTGCGTCCTCCGTCTCGTGGTCAAACTCCAATCGCGACCCGTCCCGGGTCCCGAGGCAAAGCAGCCAGCCAAGAGCCGCCCTCCCTCGCGGCCGACAGACCTCGTCGGTCCAGCACGGCTCGAAACACCCCAATACCGGAGTTCAAACAACCTGCGAAACGGACAAAGCGTCCCGCCCCTGGAGTTGTTAGCACCACCAACAGCGGCGGAAGCAGCGCCGTCGGCAAACGCAAAGCCCCGCCCAAAAAGAAGGCTCGCACGACCAAGAGGGAGAAGGGACAGGTGTTGGAGACGGAGATGGAAGAGGTGGATGATGAGGGGAACCCAATTGACCCGAATGAGCCGCGATATTGTATGTGCAATCGCGTCAGTTTTGGAACCATGATTCAATGCGACAATATTGATGTAAGTCCCCCGGACTGCAAGAGATCAATACTCTAGAAAGAAGGCAGACAAAAAAAAAGAAGAGAGACAGACATATAAAGAGAAAGAAAAAAAGAGAAATTTTAAATTGACCATGAAGCTAATACGCTCTATACAGAATTGTAAACAGGAATGGTTCCACCTCGAATGCGTTGGGATGGCCGACATTCCCGCCCGAACAACCAAGTGGTATTGTCCGGATTGCCGCAAGTTACTGAATATAGGAGAGAAGGGTGAAGTGAGTGCGCGGGGCGTACGAAAGTAATATCATGACAAGGGCGAGACTGGCGTTTACGGCAAGGAGTCTCGGACACGGCTACATTAGGCAATTTCTTGCGATTTTTTTCCTTTCTCTCTCTTTTTTCTTTTAATAACAGGATGATATATGTTGGCGACGACTGGGATTGATAGTTAGGACGGCAGAGAATGGAGCTACTAGTACTAGTGTAGTGCCATCATGAGCATATCGTTTGATAACTGCCGGTTGTGGAGAAAGGTTGCAGATTCGCAACGTAGCGAGTTAGTCTGCGTTAGTCGCTCCCACGTTTGCCCGCATGTGAAGGTCCAGATCGTCTCCACACTTCAACCGCCGACGATAACAACCTGCCATCATGTGAAGACACCTCGACAATACTGGTACAAGTCTGCTTTGTTCTCCTTGTTTTTCTAGTTGAGTTGATCGCTCGCAATGACCGGACAGCTCAACAGGGTTATGTGCCTATTTATCCCCACCATGGCATGGCAACCTGCCCGATCCTGAGATCAGGACCTTCATCACCAACTTCTACAGGGTATCGGATAGACCGGACGGGAATGAGTTGTGGGTAAGTCAGTTCACGAAGGATGCACAGGTAGGTCACCATGGGCAATGATAGAGGAAGGGGCGAACAGGGTATGCTGATTTCTGTATCTGGTTCTTTGTTTGGCTCCCGGTGCGCAACTGGGATGGATGGCCGCAACTAACTACCATGAGTAACAGAAATCCGAGAGCTTCGAAGTAAAATGTGGACTACGGTTCAAGAACGCAGGCATTCGGTGGTGAAGGTGTTTCCGGCGAGTTTTCAGGACCTGGAATCTGAAGACCAAGAGTGCGAGCTTATGCTGTTTGGCGAGGTGACGCTACAAACCAAAGACGGCCAGTCTCTAGTTATTCCATGGGCTGGACATGCGGTTTTGAAGAAGGATAAGACAGGAGAGAAAGAGGAGTGCAAGTTTGCACATTATCGGGTCTAGCTGCAAAAGTAGGTGAAGACGCCCCGAGCGGCTATGAAGCCTACGACAAAGCGGCTTGTCGTCTATGCCCTCATGTGACCAAGTGCTCACCGTTGTCCGCATATGTTGCGTCTCGAACAGCGGTTCATTGATTGAGCGCAACAAGTTCGCCACATATCTGTGCCTTGCATTTGACGTTGTGCACCCCATAGTCTTCGGCACAATACCTCTTTCTACCCGCACTCCGAGCCAAACCCTCGAGCTAAGTCGCCTCCTCGCGGCGTTTTGGAATAACGTGGCTACGTGTCTTGTATCATGGCGTAGGAGGCAGCGCTCACCTGACCCACTGTCACGGCGAGCAAACCATCATGTGGTGGCGTTTCAATCGCTCTTCGTAAGCCGCATGCTGGTTGCGGAGAAGGGGGTGTGCCCCCAGAAGCGCGTTAGAAGCAAGACGCAGTTCATGCTGGCCAGTCCGGATTGAGATCGGGCACGTCACTGGTGAGCGAATGGTGACGGCCGCCGTGATCAAAGCCTGCCAAAGCTGTGAGCCCGATTGCAGGAACGCTATCTTCACTGTACCGCGTACGTGTCATCTTGGCATTGCTAATAGATACGCCCTGGTAGTTACTGTACCAAGTACAAGACCTTGAGGGAACGGACATAATATTCGTTGGTAATATAAACTTTAACGTCTCGATTTGGGAGGCTTGCGCCGTTGCCGCCCGCCTGCAGATGCTCGCTTTGCTGAGGGGCCTCTGGATAGTACGCTTCCATCATGGTGATCTCATAACTCGCAGCGGATTATCCTCCGACACCGCTCAAGACCACGGGAACGACTGTGTCGCACAAGATCAGCCCTCCGCTCCCTCCGTCAAAGTTCTGAGCCCGAGAAACTGCTCATCCGTCAGCAGAGCCTGGGCTTACCCACGGGGTTTGGTTCCAACATGACCCAGTGAGTCCCGCGTCCGCCTGATGACTCCACCCTCCACGCTTGTCGTCAACCCTTCCCCCTCAGCTGGGCTTAGCACATTGTCCCATCCCCTGTACGATTGCCTGGGGACGCGATGGAGTGGATAGACCCGGACCTGGACGGCCAAAGATGGCTGGCTGTGACGGCGCCGTGCCTTGCTGCTGCTCACGTTCACTCCCTTGTCTCGTCGCACGGAGCTGGATGCAAGCTGTGTCGTGGGTGGTTTAGGTGACTCGTTCGCCGTCCGCCGGAGCTTTTCCTCTGCTCCCATCAATCTCCCTTTCCTAGTACTCATATCCTAGGTACCATATTGACGACGACCTCGACGACGACGATTCCTGTCCTTCATTTTAACGTGCACCGAGTCTCTTTCCTTGAACAACTCATCTTTGTGTCCATAGACGATTCCTTTTCCCCATATTAACGGACCGTGGCTGGGCCGCGTCTTCCCGATCACTGATAACAACAACCCCTCCATACGTACCCCTCTATCGTTGCATCTGCAAACCTCGACGCGACTTTTGGTCATCATCGATCTGCTATTGAAAGTTGGTGTATATTTCATACTTTGCCGTATCCGGGGTTCGACTTTCTGGTTATTCCTGCCTTTCGGCCTTCTCGCGGAGCGGGAGACTGTCTCACGTCCTGGGCCAACACCGGCCGAATGCCCAGTATGTCATCACCGCATTCCTAGATCCTCGGCAGTTGTCGTTGTCCTTGCATAATATCGGATGAGGTTTGGCATCTGAGGCGAATCAATAGCTGACTGACTCTTCGCCATAGGCAAGAACAAGAAACATGCCAAAGAAAACGGTGGAATATCTGCAGCGGTGACAAAGCAGGCTGCCGCTAAGCTCTCGTGAGTAGCTCCTTCCCTGTGACCCATCATCTGAGCCGTCTGGCTGACTGTTGCATCCCATCGTCACCAACAGGAGCAATCATTATAGCAACATTACTCAGGGGGACGGCAACGCTGCTTCCAACAAGAGTACGGCCTCCGACACTTCGTCTCCTCCTGCCAATACCCCAGAGATCAAGCCCTCGACCTCTCCCGATGATGGAAACCCCGTCGTTGCGTCGCCGATGCTTGACGCTTTGTCTACTATCTCAGCCTCCCCAAATACTGCTCCTAGTATGACAACAGAGTGGGCCAAGACCATCATGGCTGGTTCGCCTGGCAACTTGATCAACCTCACCAGCGAATCCCCGCCAACCCAGCCTTCTTCTTATGAAGAAGCCGCCAGACTGCACAACGGCTGGGCTACCACCCAGCGCCCATTCATGAGTCCATCTCCGGCATCGCCTTCCCCGCCAAATCACGGTCGGCGACCTCTTAGCCTTCAGTCAGACACCCATTATCACTTCGCCGCCACTCCCCCGCGATCCAGTGCCGCGTATCGACGAAGCTCGCTTTACTCGCAGTACAACCCTTCGCAGGCCGCAAGTCCTCACCCACCCCTACCCCATCAGCCCCAACCACATTTTTACGGCGCTCAGGACTTGGACCTCACCGTTACGCCTCAATCCGGCATGAAAGCTGGTGATCGTGGACTATTTTTCGGGTTTGATAGGCTACCGTCCGAGCCGGGATTATCCTCCCAGACGCAAAAGGTGGTCTTGGCGGGCTATGAAGGTGGACTGCAGGTTTATGCCGTAAACAAAAGGGGAGTTGAGCTTGTTGCGAGTTTGAAAGGGTTGCGTGGTGGAGTGCATCATGCCAAAATCCTCCCATGGACCATCACTGGCCAGAACTCGTCCTTCTTTCCGCTTGTGGCAGTGGTAGTACATGGACCGGTACTACCTACACGGCCAACGGATGCGGGTTGTCGACAAGAAACCACATCGCGTGAAACCTCGGACCGCAGCGCAAGTCCTCGACCAGGTTATGCCCCGTCGGAGGGTCCATCGACAAGAGCAGCACCGCCGATTCAGTTCTACCAAACCGCAGTAGAAGTCTACTCTCTCAAGACAAACAGACTTGTCGATGTTCTGCTCCAGACGCAGAGAGTACCTATCAATATGGAGGTCTCTCTGTCTAGTCCTCTATTCCAACCTCCTACTCCTAGCGGGGCGTTCAATATCAAAGCTGATGACGGCACTATTGCTGTGGGCTCCGGTGTTACAGGCGAATGTTGGATATACAGGCAGTTGCTTGAGCTGCAGAATGGTCACATGTTTGCTTGCGCTGGAAAGCTGTGGACTACAATTCAGCAAGGTCAACGAGCAGAAGCAGCAGCAGACACTGATAAGAAAGGTTCTTCCTCTTCTCCCCGACGATCTAGCCCACAAGCACCAATCTTCGCAATGAATGGAAGATTGATAGCCTACTGCCCGTCAAATCCTTCGTCTCAAGCGTCTCTTAGAGCACACTTACCGGTGCCTACGCTGGGCCGTGCTCCTGGAATTTCGTCCATGGCACCACCTCACCTCCCTGCAGTCTCTTCAGCTCTTGATCTGCCCATTTCAGACAGCATGATGAATAAGTTCATGCGGGAAACGACCCAGGAGCTGATATCAGGGATGAAATGGGTAGGGCAGCAAGGCTTGCAGGCTTGGAATTCGTATTGGAATCAGCCACCGACTTCTCAACAACAACAGCCTAGATCACCTCCTGCGCAATGGACGGGATCGCGTGCACAACAAACAGATCCATCACAGTTCCCACCTACTCATGGGACCTCAACCCCAGCAACAGTAAAAGACCCGGGGCTTGTCTCTATAGTGGATGTGGAAAAGCTCCCGTTATCTGCAACAGTTCATCCTCTTACTACATTTGCGACTCCGCTCGGGTGCAGCTTTGTTTCCTTCTCACCTTCATCGTTGGCACTTTTCACTGCTAGCATCAAGGGCGATGTTCAGACTGTGTGGGATCTTTTGCGTATTCAACATACAAACTCCTCGCCGCTGCAGACAACCTTGGCCCAGAACGAAACCGTTGGGCCTCAGGTCCGACAAATTGCGCAGTTCTCACGGATGACGGTAGCCAGAATTGTCGAGGTTGCCTGGTCTGAGCCTCACGGCGACCGATTAGCTATGGTTACGGAGAGGGGAACAGTCCATTTGCTGGATATGCCATTCAGTTCTTTCATGTGGCCACCTCCACGACGCCGTAGGATACCACAAAAAGGCGGCCCTGAAGCTTCCGATGGATCAAGCTCAGCTGTCTCAATGGCCTCTGGTGCACTCGGAGCAGCGTACCAAGCGGCAAAGCCATTCGTCTCACGCTCACGTCGTGGAAGCAATAACACGGTTTCGCCATCTGCGGGAAATATACTTAGGGATTCTGCAGCTCAGGGTGGGCGGGTGATTGCGGCCAGCATTACTCACTCTTTGGGAAAGACCGGAACAGCTATCAACCAGCTTCGCCATACTGGAGAGAATCGTGTTTGTCTGCCACCAAGCGCCATTCTACCGTCTCCGGCTTGTGTTTCGTGGTTGAGGAATCGACGATCTCAATCATTATTCTCCATTGGAGGTGGCCTGATACGAGTGTTTCCATGCAGCACAAGAACATCTTCATCGGTTCCGGGAAAGAGAATATCTCGGGCAAACAAGTATAAGGATATGAGGGTCCCGCTTCTCCCAGACGACATTGTCGCACCAATTGTTCGTCAGATCATTGAGCTTGGAGCTGCAGATGAGTATCTTGAACTCTCAGAAGCCGAGATGGAGGCAGGAAACACAATGACTCTTAAACCGCCCCACGTTGCGACTGCTCCTCGACATGGCATGGACTCTACAATTCCACAGGCGGAGATAGAATCAAGCGCACCATATCAGCCTTTCCATACTGATCGGCGGGTTGCCCTTTGCGAATATAGGCGCATAGATTCTACCGCTGCTCTTTTGGCAAATGTGGGTTTGGATGGCAAGCCCAACAAGAGGAAAAACAAGCAGAATTTCGATGCTATGAAGGGCAATGCGTCTGCATGGGCATTTGGTCAAGACATTCCTTGTGTGAAGATAGACTTGGGGCTTGCGACGGCGAATGAAGATGATTACATTGGACCTGATGATCACATGGCTTTGCCTCAGTCTGCAATGGAAAGAGTTATGCAGTATGAAGGTTCAGAATCTATCGTGGTGACGACGAGACGTCGACGCGGCGCTCGCCAAGGTGACGGCGACGAGGATGGGTTCTTTGAAGACGACTGCGAGGTTCTCGACTTTGCGGATCAGCGAGTGTAGGTGTTGCGGGGAGGTGTCCGCGTTGGCAGGACGAGAAGCGTTTGGGCCAGGCATTTGGAATATTAGATGAAGTGAGGGGTGCCAATCGTTGACTCACTCCAAGAATGTGGCAAACACGTATGATGTTGGTTAGTTGGAGTTTTGCTTGTCTGTTCCTGCTTCTGTGTTAGCTGGACTGGTTCGAGTTGTTGCTCCGTTCGCTTCGCTGATGTTTCTGGGCATAATTGGCTTTAGCACTCCCCTTCATGGCTCCCTGCGAGCACCCAACAAATAAAGAGATATATAAATAAAGATGCCCTTTGAATCGGCATTCATTGGTACACATGTATATATAGTCTGCGATAATAGAGTGTTGTATCATTATTCATTTTTATTTATTTCTTCATGCTGACGGCGCAAGCCGAATTATTAACTAGCCACAAACCCCAATATTCGAACAGCAATGCCGGGTTGTTTAGGGAGAGCGCGTTTTCCTCCATCAGAGCACTGGTGTTGTCACTATGTTTCGACAACACCGATTCTTAGTTCTTCTTCTTGGCAGCGGCCTTGGCCTTTGCCGCCTTCTTCCTATTACTTCTAATCATGACCAATCCCAAGAACGAGCCTACAACCGCGGAACCGAGAAGGATGAGGATGACGGGGATGCGGATCGCCCACTTGCGATGGAGGAAGAAGTCCTGGAGAGGGTGGTCCTTGTCGACAAAGGGCTGTGTTGCAGACGGCAAATTAGACGTGTTTTGCGCCAATGGAAAAAAAAGAGAGGTTCCGCGGGGGAGACGTACCATGAGAAGAGTCCATATCGTGTAGTAGAGGAATATGACGGACGAAGCCACGAGCATGGCGAGGCCGACTAGTTTGTCGATCTGGCATTGTTAGCATGGCTGGAGGACGGGGCGAGAGTTGCGATTGAGCGGGTGGGGGGGTACCATTGTTGAGACGCAGGCGGGCGAAACGACCAGACTCGTAAAGTTAAGGAGCGTGTAGTGGTGGTGGTGGTAGTGCGAGGGTGCGGTTTGATGGAAGACGTGGTGTCGTTGCTTGGACGCGACTCAGGAGATCTGGCGGCTTTGGGTGAGCTTGATGGGGATTCTGGGTGTCCTGCCTGCGGACCAATGGGAGTTTGCTGCGCGGCTGTGCGTGGGGCCGCCCTGACTGCTAGCTATACACTCCCTGTGGCCGGCGGGAGATGCAGATGCGGGAACGTCGATTTTATTTTATTTGTCGCTTTGGTCTTGTTGTGCAGGGCGGAATTGCCATCATGGTGATTGCAGCCAGTTTTTTTTCCCTTGTGGCCTAGGGCCGTGGAATCTGGGTCAAACGGAATTGGAAATGTCACTGCTTGGCTCACGGTGCCTTGTCAAAATGGCCTCGATCTGAGGTTTGGCACCTGTCTTTGACGGGTGTGGCGTCATCGAATCATATGGGAAGTCATCTTTTCTCCATCCTTGAGCTGACTCATGGTGAAGCTGAGAGCGATGGGAGTGACTTTGACATGCGCTGTTGTGGCATGGCAAGCGAGTAAGGACCCCTTCATTGTGATTCGGAACTTAATTGCGAGTATTCCGTCGTGCAGAGATCAAATATTAATCACAAATCTAGGAAATTGATCGCCCTGTGAGGTAGGAGCTTAATTAGGTAGCATATTATTTGCTCAGCTTACACGGTAACTCTGGTGCGAAGCCCGGGCTTCTACGACGGTTGTCTGATGAAACTTTTTGAAGTTTCCCTACATCACGACTCTCATTCGGTTTCCCCAACGGCCAAGACTGTTCTTGACTACTAGGAAGCATATGTTTCTGCTCTATTGCGTTCCTTGGGGGACCAAGGGATATGATAATGACTATCACCAGGCTTGGAGCTTAGACTCACAAGACAGCTTGTTCGAGTTTTCTGCCAGCACATGTCAATCTTAGCTATACTGTGAGAGCCCTGCTGTCATCAGAAACAGGCACGGCGCCCGAGAGGAGCTTTCAAAAGTTGGAGCCTAACGAAGGAGATATAAAGCAAAGCCAACCAAAGACACAGCTGCCGTTACACCAAGCGTAACACCACCCACGAGGTAATTACCCAATATGATGATCAAGAATGATGCCGTGACCAACAGATAGAGACAGGAGACGATGATCCACACTCGCGCCTTGGATTTGACCGATCTGGCGCGCTGTGTTTTCGTCTTCCATGGCCCATGAGAGCGCGCACGAATCCAGATCCGGATCACGGCAACCGACACAACGGCGAACCCGCCGATCAAGACGATGACACCCAGCAAATCAAATAACATACCACCAAGCTTTGCGAAACGGGTATTCATGCTGAGGCACCCTACTGCCAGCGAAGCCGGTAGGAAAGTGCTCGCAAGAATCGTCACCAGCGTCCCAGGAGCCCGCAGCGCCCCTTCCGGTAGTGCATTCTCAGGTTGGATCAATGTTTCAGCACTCATGTTGGCCCTTGCCAGTTTCTCTGCACTGTTCAACAAGCCTGGCTGGAGACACCTCTCACTTTGAGTTCATGATGCTACCCGAGTGCTATGTTGAGGGGAGACAAGGGGCGTAGAAGACCGTCGTTGTGCTGTAGGGCTTTCTTCAAGATCGTTGCCTAGCCTTAGATTTGATTCCTCCATGCTTGCAGTCAAATTGCCAGAAACTTTTGTGTATGTAGCCCATCAACACTGCTGGTCTTCCTAATCTACGGAGCAGCTTCGTCGACGTTGACCTTCTCTGCTCAGAAGTAAAACGAGACAAGTGACACAGTCCGGAGGCACGAAACAAATTGAGCAAGCTTCGCTCTTTTATACAACCTGAATCCTTCTGTCTTCTTTACATGTACGGAGCACTGCATAGAGCTTTTCGTTCTGGCCGAACTTTGTCTCGATGATGCGTCAAGTAGTGTAATAGACCTCAAATTCTCAACCACCCTCCCCGTCCCATAGACACGTCCGCTCCCACCTGGAGAGGCTATAAAGAACTAATTATAGCAGCGGTCTAAGTTGTGAAGAGAATTGAATTTGTACTACTCGGCAGTGGAACTTCGGGGATGCACGACCAGGCCCGGTGTCATGTGCAACGTTGGGGAGTAGCAGCATTAGGCGTTTGTTTGTGCCCGTATCGATGGCACCAAAGACCGAAGCGGGGAGCTTCTGTGCGAGCAAGGTGTTGGGAAATATTGCAGGACCAACGTCTCGAATGCTGTGACGCGATAAAACGCATACTCTTCTCCAAAACAAACAGATGTCCCTCGGCGATATTGGGCGTCAACCAGACATACGAGGCTTGTGGCTGCAGGAGGAAATTGGATTTCTCCGAGGAAGCAATGATAGTCATGTTATACTACATATATTTGCAGCAGTAAACAATCTCACCCTTCACACCGGTTCTCGTGGGCAACACCAAAAACAGTTGATTAACGAGTTCATGCATAATTCACCAAGTACAAAGGGGCACTAGGCTTTCGACAGACCTGCCACTAACAACGGCTGTAAAGAGGCAAACACATGCTCCAGTTGTAAATTACCTTAGCAGCATGGATATGGTGCGACGTAGCATTTACTACATCCACAACATGAAGCACGAGTCCAAGGACTTGCATGAAGCATACTCTTTGTGTCAAGTTTCAACGTAGGGGTAGCCGGGTAAAGGCTCCGAGAACCCACCGCGGTGCATGAATGCTCTCGTTATTGGGCAGGGTTTTGGCTCAAAAAGTAGAAATAGAATGCCGCAGAAGCCTTTGGCAGTCTCCCTCCTCTCGTGTAACCAAGGTGGCCTTGCAAACCGTAAGCAGAACAGCCGTCTTTGATCTAGATATGCCTCAGCGGAAGATTCTTCTTTTGGTGTTGAACAAATATGGCGAGACAAGCAACGTTAGTTGCCACGATATTACCATGCTCAATGTTGAGCAAGCCACGGTTAGCTTTATGCTGCCCCGAGGAGGACAAGCCTGAGTCAATTATGGGAATGAGGTCGCGTGTTTATGTGCAAGTCAATCAACAGCTTCAAGGAAGTAGTACATGAAAACTTGAACAAGACTGGGGCACCGCGCTTGTAGTTGTAGGATAAAGATAATAAAGCTTGTTCATTGACGGGCGTATTAATCATCTTTTTAGCCCGTCCGGGGCGAAAAACGAATAAGAGACATGGCCACAGGGACCATGGCTTTGTTATCTCTATAGTTACCATGTACTAGTTATATATCAATGGTGATACGTTCGTTGACTACGAAAATGAGAATTACCGGTCTCCAATACATTAGGCAGGCTTCCTGGTCGCCGTCGGCCTGGCGGAACGGGCGTACCCAACTAATGAGACTGCCAATGTATTACTTCGCCGGCTTCCCTGCTCTCTGGAGATAATTCAACTGCAGAGTTTCATTGAATTAGATCATTCATATTTGGTTGGCTATGGAAGCTGTGAGGAACACCTGGATAGCAACGCGATTGCTTAGTTTACTAATTCATTCCCATTTCAGGACGGTTCAGATGCAATGCACATTCTACTTAGCTCTTTCGTCACAGTCCATGTTGCATCAGCTTCTGACGGCGCGTTTACCGCGGAGGCGGAGACAGCACTACAAGGGCTCGCCTGAGCAGACGGTAAGGTCGAATGGAGGAGGTTGTGCTTGCTGGAGTACAACTCAGGCCCTTGAGGATACTGCCGAGTTTGTAGCAGATTCTCAGGCCTAAGAGTTTGTTCATCCAGAAGAGAGTGTTGGCGGCTTCGTCGCAGCAGAGCCTTTTCCGCTTGAGGACAGATTTGAATGCGGTGCAGGCTTGTGGTGACAGCAAGGCAGAAACCTGCCTGAGAAGAAGAAGAAGGATCAAGGTTGTTGGCTTCATCCTGCACAAGATGGAGGCGTCAAAGTGGAAATAGGTGGTGGGTTAGAATCAGTCTTCCTGCGTGGTGTTGCTCTTGAGCTCTTCGAGAATGAAGCAGTCGTGTTCCTACACTTCTATATATACTTTCACCGTCTTTCTTCCTCTGAACCAACACTTAGCCTAGATGGAAGTCAGTCTTGCCATGTAGATGTGTCGTATTTTGCTGGTCTCGAAACTGAGGAAACAACGCCACATTGAAGCTCAACTGAAACCGTACACTCATACGAACAGCAACGGGAAAAGATGCCCTAACCATATGGGTGGTCTGCTGCACAGTGCTCGGTGTCCAGTCAGTCCCGTTAGATGGGTGTAGAGCCGAAGGGTGTATCGAGACATGTCGTCGCCACGTTCCACACAAACGTCGGCGTAAACATGTAGCAAAAGCATCGCCACGAGACCACTGAGTCAAGAACTCGGCGTCTTAAAGACCCTGCAACGTTGTTGGAGCCGTGGAAGCAATTCAAAAAGAGAGACGGCGAGAAAAAATAGTCTCATGACGAGCTCTGGCAAATATGTAGTGGGAAGATCACGGGTAGGGGCCTAGGGGTAAGGATTATAGCGTCAGGGTTAGGGTACGGGGTAATACCTGCGCGTTGGCGTGACTCCAGCCTGTTGGTCCGTGCACACATTTTTTCCCAAGTCGGACACTCGACCTTGAAGCTGCCTTGGCGACCTTCAACGTGCACCGAGATATCCCTCGCAACCAACATTTGAGCATCCCAAGGCGACTTCTGCCTTCTGTCGCTGTGCCAGTCGCAGAATCTCGGAATCAACAATGGCGTCCGCCGACGTTAGCATTCCGCGTCGTGAGCGCGAACGCGAGCGCGGGCCTCAGCGAGAGGCCGACTCGTACCGTCCGCCACCTCGCGAGCGAACGCCGCCGCCCGTGCGAACCGAGGAGGAGAAGCAGGCCGCGGCAAAGGCAGAATATGAAAAGCTTCTCAACATGCGGTCTGGAGGCACGTACATCCCGCCCGCGAGGCTGAGGGCGCTGCAGGCGCAAATCACCGACAAGACAAGCAAGGAGTATCAGCGCATGGCCTGGGAGGCGCTGAAGAAGAGCATCAACGGTCTGATCAACAAGGTCAACACGGCGAATATCAAGCATATTGTTCCCGAGCTGTTTGCCGAGAACCTGGTCCGAGGACGGGGACTGTTTTGCCGGTCCATCATGAAGGCACAGGCTGCCAGCTTGCCCTTTACCCCCATCTATGCGGCCATGGCAGCCATCGTCAACACCAAGTTGCCTCAGGTTGGCGAGTTGTTGATCAAGAGGTTGATAATGCAGTTCCGCAAGGGCTTCAAGCGGAACGACAAGTCTGTCTGTCTATCGTCGACTACCTTCCTCGCACACCTCATCAACCAGCAAGTCCAGCACGAGATGCTTGCAGGGCAGATCCTACTGTTGCTGCTGCACAAGCCGACCGATGACAGCGTAGAAATCGCGGTTGGACTCTGCCGAGAAGTTGGTCAATACCTCGAGGACATGCAGCCGTCTATTTCCGTCGCCGTCTTTGACCAGTTCAGAAATATCCTGCACGAAGCCGATATCGACAAGCGAACACAATACATGATTGAAGTCTTGTTCCAAGTCCGCAAGGACAAGTTCAAGGACCACCCTGCCGTCAAAGAAGAGCTGGACCTAGTCGAGGAAGAAGACCAAATCACACACCGAGCAGAGTTGGACGGCGAGATTGACGTCCAGGATGGCCTCAACATTTTCAAGTTTGACCCCAACTGGGAGGAGAACGAGGAGGCATACAAAAAGCTCAAGGCCGAGATTCTCGGCGAGGGAAGCGACTACGAAGACGACGACGAGGGAGACGACGAAAGCTCAGAAGACGAGGAGGAAGAGGAGACAAAGGCAATGGAAATCAAGGACCAGTCCAACGCGGACCTAGTCAACCTCCGAAGAACAATCTACCTCACAATCATGTCTAGTGCCGACCCCGAAGAAGCTGTCCACAAACTCATGAAGATCAACCTCCCCGCCGGCCAAGAACCCGAGCTGCCCTCCATGATTGTCGAATGCTGCTCCCAAGAAAAGACATACACAAAGTTCTTTGGCCTCATCGGCGAACGGTTTGCAAAAATCAACCGCCTGTGGTGCGACCTGTTTGAACAGTCCTTCGCCAAGTACTACGACACCATCCACCGTTATGAAAACAACAAGCTTCGCAATATTGCCCAGCTCTTCGGGCACATGCTTGGTGTGGACGCCCTCGGCTGGCACTGCCTTTCGGTGATTCATCTCAACGAGGACGAAACTACGTCCAGCAGTCGTATCTTTATCAAGATTCTATTCCAGAGCATCGTGGAAGAAATCGGCCTGCCCAAGCTCAGGACCAGGATGACCGACGAGACGCTCCGCCCGAACCTAGAGGGCATCTTCCCCAAGGACAATCCGCGAAATATTCGGTTTTCCATTAATTACTTTACTAGTATTGGGCTAGGCGCGCTCACGGAGGAGATGAGAGAGTACCTGCAGAACATGCCCAAGCCAGCACTACCTGCTCCTGCGGCCGCAGCAGACGAATCAGACTCAGACTCCGTGTCGAGCTACTCTTCTTACACGGGGTCGTCGTATTCTTCCCGATCACGCTCGAGAACTCCCGCCAGGATTCGGGGCCGTTCTATATCTCGAACGCCCTCTCGCAGGGCAAGATCGCGCTCATACTCTGAGAGCCGGTCCCGTTCACGGCCGCGTTCACGTTCAGCGTCATTCGATTCAAGGTCACCGTCTCCCAGGCGAGGACGCAGAGACTCCTACTCGGCCTCGCCTCGACGACGATCCGTCTCCGGAAGCAGATCGCCCTCGCCGGCGCCAAGACAAAGAGGAAGGCGACGCAGCGCCTCGTACAGCTCGTACAGCCGCTCTCCGTCGCGCGATCGCCGCCGCCCTTCTCCGTCCGTCAGTCCGCCTCGCGGACGGGACCGTTCGCCGAGGGGCGGGTCGTACCGTCGCAACAGCTCTTCCGTAAGCAGCGCGCCACGCAATAAGCACAAGCGAGACTCTCGATCACCATCGTATGATTCGCGCTCGCCACCGCCCAGGAGAGCTAGAAGAGCGAGTCCTTCGCCTAAACGAAATGGAAGGAGGTCGTCCTACTCTGCATCGCGGAATAGGGCCCCGCGTAGAGACAGAGACAGCAGATCTGTTTCCGTGGAGCCCAAGCGGAGATCGCGCAGTCCTGTGCCCGCCAAGAGGAGGAGATATAGCGAGAGTGTGTCGAGGTCGCCGCCTCCTGTGAAGAGGGGCCGTCATGAGGATTAACTAATTGGGCCGGAGGGCCAGATTGTCTGAATTGGAACCATAAATGTACAAAATTATACCATCAAATGCATTATTAGGTTGGGCATGTTTAGCTATGCTTGGCAATTAACTTATGTAGTTGTATCAAATTGACAAAAAGTCTACATCTAACGTCTTATTTTTATTTCCATGGAGGCGTCGTCTGCGTCAATGTGCGTCCATCGGAGTTTATCGGCTGAGACGGGTTCCTCGACCGTAACGACGTGCTGTTCGCCGGGCATGATGTCGAACCCATTGTCGCTTAGTTTCATACCTTGCACTTCTTCGAACACGAAGCCCTTGACGGGGCGGTCTGAAGAGACGGTGACGCGGTTTTCGGATATGGCAAATGAGATTCCTCGATTAGACAGGTCGAGGAATTTGATGGGATCCGGCCACGCGGCGTCGGTGGCGACCACGGCGCCATCTACAGACAACGTCGTGTAGACTACATACGGGTCATACTGCGTAACGTCAAATGGAATGGTGTAGTCGTCATGATGTGGGATGGATGGTTTCAGGGGTTTGCTTGAAAATACCGTCGTGGTGGCATTCGCTGAAGCGCTCACGGATGCCGTTATGCTCTCGGAGACGTCTCTTCCTGAGCGGATGGATATGAAGCGTACTGTGACTTTGGCATTTACAGCTTGAACCTTGGAGCTGGCGATCCACACATCAAAAGTAGACTCCCTCGCGGGGAGAGTCTGGTCAACCTGACCCGTGCACAGTTTTGAATTCTCATCGATATAGTATCCTGTCTGCGTCCAGTCGTGATACGTCCTGCTCACACCGACATCGAGAGGCCTCAACGCCCGTGAGATGGCGTAGTATGCGGGTTTCTTGACGAGGTAATAGTCTACTACGGCCCAGGACATGGTTGGCCAGCAGTCGTTGAGTTGCCAGACCAGTACGCCTCCGCATTTGCGGTCTCCTGAAGTGCCCCAGTCACGACGCCAGGTCTTGTACGCGGCGCGCATGGCTTCCGCTTGCACGACCTGTGTAAGGTGAATGTAGGAGGGGAGGTCGTACTTAAGGCGGAAGTTCTCGGAGACGTAGGTCGTCATGCGGCGCTCGTTGAAGATGCCTTTGTTGTGAAAGTCGATTGTCATGGAGCCCGGGTAGAGCTGGGACGGGTGGGTGGTCATGCGTCGGACAGTGGATAGATGGGGGTAGGCTTCCATGCCGAATTCGCTGACGAATCGGCCACCGAGGAGGGATACTTCCTGGTATTTGTTGACGGCACCGTGCCAGACTATGTTTCGTAAGCGGGGTGGTGTAATTTATGAAATGAAAGGACGACGCTTCACTTACGGTTCCATTGGTGAATATCCCCGACTGTGGGATCGGCTGTAGGTTTGCCGTCGCCCCAAGGGCTGGATGGATGATAGATCATGAAAGGATCTTCTTGCTTAACTAGCTCGGGAAGAAAATGCTCGTAGATGTATCGAGCTGGGAATGTTGATTTGAGCCACGACTCTGGGTCCTTGTTTTCAAAGTCGTAGTCGAGCCGGTATCGTTCTTGAACCTGGTAGTCTTCGTTGTTCCCTGCCCAAGCTACAACGGCTGGGTGGCATCTAAGCCGCCGAAGTTGTTGTCTGACTTCTATTTCAAGCGTATTCATGTACGACGGATAGGTGGGATAGCTGGCACATGCGAATTGGAAATCATGCCATATGAGCACGCCAAATTCGTCACAGGCATCGAGGAAGGCATCATCTTCGTAGATTCCACCTCCCCACACGCGAACCATGACTTGGTTACCTTCTGCCATAAGCTTGATCCAGTCGTGGTAACGCGCAGGGGAGATTTGTGACAGATACGAGTCAGCGGGAATCCAACATGAGCCCCCGCCGAACACGTCGACATTGTTGATGCGGAAGTAGAACGACTTGCCATGGGCATCGGGTTCTTGGATGAGCTCGGCACGACGGAAGCCGATCAACTTTGATGTAGAATGCAGCTCTGCACCGCTCCGCACAATGCTGGCCTGGAGTTTGTAGCGGGTTTGCTTGCCATAGCTGTGAGGATACCAGAGCTGAGGGTTTGCGATCTTGAACGGAACAGAATACTTGCCGTTTCGGGGGGCAGGGGCTAGTTCTTCCAAAACCTTTCTGCCCTCGAGTGTTAGGGAGATGGCGAGTCGGTCATCAGGATGGAAGTCACCCACGACATTGGTGTAAATTGTGCCAGTGACTGCCTCCAGGTCTGAGTCAAGTTCGTTTTGAGCCCACACATCGTCCACGCGAGCAGTATACTGCTCGAGATATACAGGCTTCCAGGGTCCTGCAGTCATGAGGATAGGGCCCCAATCCCAACCCCAGTTGTACTGGGCTTTCCTGACGGCCACTCGGCCAGCCTCGGTCTGTCTAACAAGAAAGCTATGCTCGTGACTATGTTCCCTGACGATCTCTCGGCCACGAATCAAAGCAGAGTCGAATACAATCTCCAAAATATTGTTCCCGTCAGGTTTGATGTGCTCACTGATGTTGACCCGATAAGAGACGAACATATTATCTGTCTTGAGAATTTCTCTGCCATTGAGCAGCACTGTCGCAAATGTATCAAGACCTTCGAAGACGAGGTCTGTGGCAGCGCTTGCGGAGGAGGCTTTTGGGGCAGGAAACGAGACGCGATATTGCCACACTTTTTCACCAATCCATTGTACAGCACGCTCATTCATGTCCACGAATGGATCTGGTATTCTGGTGCATGGTCAGTGGCTGTTTTGTGTCTTGAGTAATACTGTTTGCATGTAATACTTTTTATGAGCCAACAAATCCATGTGAATTTGACTAGGGGCCTGGGAAACGGGAAGCCATTTTTCTGACGGCCACTCCTGCTGTTTAAAGGTCCAGCCGTTGGTGAGCTGAATTCGTGTATATATCATGGTGTCTTGTGTTCGTTGCGGTAGAGCAGTAGTGACAAGAACAGAACGAGCAGCCAAGTTTTCTGTCGATACATGAAAGACGAGTATGTTGAGCCGATGACAGACTCAAGTACTCTCCCACTCACCCCCACGGTGTGATTGTTGTAAACCGCAGAGGTCGAAAGCCAATGGTCTCTCTGAGGCGCCAGGTCCCCCACGGCAGAGTTACTGTCCCCCACATTGCGGGACGAGGCTTGCCATAGTCAACATTGGCGGATTTGATACGGGGATGTATGTTTCCGACAGCGCGAGGTGAGAGGATTGCGTTTGGCGTTGGCGGATGTCGTGGCGGATGGGCAATCAAGTCGGTCACCAGCAACTTGGAGGAGAACGATGCTCGGAGCGACGCTGCGAACAGTTGACGGTTTACGGAGTTGACGGTGAATGTGCCAGCATGAATTAGGTAGACTGAGCTCGGGTTCCAGTCCAGGAATAGCTGCATGTGTCTCCATGGATGATTGATCGTGATATTCGATGCCCTGGCAGACGATCCGTGCTCTCGAATGTCTGCGGCCTGGCTCGAAAGTAGTCTCAGGCGACACGAGGAGCATGGAGCACCAAGTCTGCACTTGCACTGGTCCCTTGTCCCCACCTGTTCAAGAAATGCCAGTGCTAGGTACTAAGTAGGTACTTTTGAGCCCCTGGCCCCTGGCAGAAGGTCTCTGGCATGGCGTCCGAGCAGGGAGTAACGACAAGGTACATGCCAGACTTGGCAGAATCCGGGGTTCGCATGGACCCCTCGGCTTGGCCTAGTCAACAACTTCAAGCTGCTGCTCAGAGGTTACATCACGTCTCAATGCCGCTTCATCCCGACCTCCTAGAAATGTCTCGGCACCCAGCATTGAAGCACTTCCCATGTCCGCTCAATCTCGTACAGTTAACCTGCATGAACCAACTTGTGCCAGCGCCAGCGCCATAGCCTGTGCCCTTCTTCACAGCCCGCGGCGACATGTCCAGCTCGCAAGCCTCGGCAACATCACCACCGCCGCCATCCGGGCGCAAAGTAAACAGATCCTGTACTGAATGCACTCGTCGCAAGATCAAGTGTGACGGCCGCCATCCCTGCAGTAGCTGCGTCTACTACCGCAGTGCAGACTCTTGCGAGTTCCGCCAACGCTCCAGGCGGAATGCCGTGAGCAGGAGGTATCTTGACGCTCTGCCTGCGTGTTGGCCGCGTAAACCCGACTGACCACGGCATTCGCAATAGCACTTTTGACAAGACATCCGAGCAGCTCAAATTGCAATCCAAGGTTCTGGAGACTCTCTTTCCCGGTTCCAATCTGAAAGATCTCTTGGAAAAGAGTCAAAGTGAACTCCTCGAGCTACTCAGCGTAAACCATGTCTCTCCACGCAGCAAGGTGCATCAACTGCCTCCTCATATGCCCATCACGCCAGGTCCGCCCCCCGTTCTCCCTCAAAGACGAGAAGAAGATGGTCAATTTGCCTCGGGCTCACCTGCTCAGGGGTCCGCCTCCGTGTCAGAAAATGGAGAAGCGGCCGAGGAACGCCAATGGGACGAATCTCTCGACCAACCTGCTACCGTTGCCAGTGACGATATCAATGCCCTCGGATTGGCTGCAGACAATCACCCTGCGCGCTCTTATCTCGGTGTAACATCCATGAGCGCCGTATTCAGAACCATATTTCAGTTGTGCCCTGCCGCCAAGGAGCATACCAACAAATGTGCCAGATCGCTGGCTGCAGTACCCTCACCAGCACATCCGGCAGTGCCTGTTACCGGCAGAGACCCAGCACTGAGTGTTCTGCGGGAACAGCGTTTTATTGACTTTTATTTCGAACATGTCCATCCCCTTACTCCACTATTAGATGAACAAGACTTTCGAAGTCAGTACGCATCTGGCACTCGTCGGGATGGGTCGTGGATGGGACTCTTGAACATGGTCTTTGCTTTGGGATCGATAGCTTCTGGAAGCGAGGGTTTGCACGAGCAGTATTATCGGGAAGCCCGCTCGTTTACAGGATTGGATAGTCTAGGGTCTGGCAACCTTGAAAGTCTGCAGGCCCTATGTCTCCTCGGCGGATACTACTTACACTATCGGAACTCGCCCAACATGGCCTATGGCATCCTCGGTACAGCCCAGCGGGTAGCCATTGCGCTTGGTCTACACCGTGAACCTCGCAGGGCCATGGAGACACCAGACCCTGGCGAAATGGAATCATGTCGAAGGCGTGTTGAAACCAGAAGACGAACGTGGTGGTCCTTTTTCTGCCTCGACACGTGGGCTTGCATGACCCAAGGTCGCCCTACATGTGGTCGATGGGAAAGCAGCACCATGGACACATACTTTCCATCGTGTCTCTACCCAGATGACCAAGAGGCTACATTGCTCCGAGCCAACATTGAGTTCTGTCTAATCTTCGAACGAGCCCAACATCGCTACGCCCAGTTCAGCCGTCTCTCCAACCAGGAGATTCTAGCCCTCGACGCCGAACTGCAAACGTGGTACAAGAGCCTCCCTCAAGAAACAAAACAAGTTGACAATGCTCCTCAAAGGTTCCGATTCGCCCGAGAGCTATTAAAAACGAGATACTACAACGCCCGAATCATTCTTGCGCGATCCCTTATACTCTACATGGCTCATGACTTGAAGCGTAAACCCGCAGAACTTCTCCCCGAGCAAGCCCACATTCTCGATCACTGTTGCTCCATTGCCGCAGAGGCAATCGACTCCACAGCACGATACTGGTCCCCGAACCGCATTCACGTGTGGCATTCCTCATGGTATCTGTTCCAGGCATGTACCGTGCCGCTGCTTAGCATTGCAATCAACAGAAATATGGAACAGCGTCAACAGAAACAAGTATCATCACCATCATCAGACAGAGTCGTCTCTTGGCAGACGAGCTTGGCAAAAGCGCTGGACACATTTGCCGAAATGCGGCCATGGATGCGAACATCTGATCGATCCCCAGATATAGTGTCTGCCTTGTACGAAGCCCTGACAGCTGCTGGGGAAGTAGACGGCCAAACGCCTTCTGCGACGGACGGGAGCTTGGATCTGTTTGGCTGGTGTGATGATCAGCTTACAGAGCTGGATTGGGGAGTGTTTCTAGGTGATGAAGGCTTGGCCAGGGGGATGTATCCAGTGTGAATTTGTTGCGGCGATTGAGACCTACCAGAATCTAGAGGAGAAGTGACGCTGCAAGTGATAGGTCACATAGGTGGTCGATCATGTTGCGAGTCTGCAGTCAGCAGATGCACTGCAGCTGTGAACAAGTCGCAGCCTTGTTTGTCAAACAAGCTTGCTTTCAACCCAACTGGAATATTTTTTAACCCATCTTGTTCACACGCCTACAAAAAAACACATCTCTCGTCCGACCTTTGTCACCAGGACCTATAAAGAGACATACGCAAGCGACACTCTGCATCTCCCGTATCCAGCATGGCACAACAAATCGAAAAAGTAGCAGCAGCAGCCCACATCGGCGCCGCAGCCACTGGCAACGGAGCCTTTCTTACTTCTCACGGCGGCATGGCTGTAGAGCAACTCAAAGATATAGCTGCAGATCGTATCATCCCCGCGGCTGTAGGTGCAAAGACGTTCCTCGCATCTCACGGCACCTCAGCCGGAGAAAGAATCAAAAGCATTGCCGCCGAGCATCCCGTTGCTGCTGCGGTAATTGGTACCGGAGCCGCTGTTATGGCAGCCCCAGCTCTCCTGTCTGCCCCGGCTTTGGCCGTGGCAGGATTCAGTTCTTCAGGCATAACAGCAGGTAATTTCTTTCCCTTCAAATCCCATACCCCTCATATCACAGTGCTTAGCAGCATATAGGATCTCTCGCGGCCACCGTACAAAGTGGTATTGGGTCCGTCGTTGCTGGTAGCGCCTTCGCAACTCTTCAGAGCGCCGGCGCCGGCGGAGCGGGTTTGGCGATTGTGAACGGCGTCGCACAGGGTGTTGGGGTTTGTGCAGCTACTGCAGGCGGGCTTATGGGGTTCTTTGGTGCAAAGGGCGGTGAGAATGAAGCTGCTGGCGATGAGACAAAGAGTAACGAGGAACGGGAAGACCAGACGGAGACCCAGGATCTCTGATATTGTTCTTGTCACGAGGCATACTGGACTATGAACTAGTTGGTGTGCCGAGACAGGACATGAAGGGGCACTACAAAGCCATGACTTGACGATAAGTTGTTTATGCTGCCAAATACAAAGAATTGAAAAGAAAAGAAAAAGCCAGGAACACCGTGTTGGTCCTGCGTTTATTCTATATAAAATCTACAAGTACAATGCTTTCTTTCTATATGCAAATTTACCCAGATACAAGCTCATCCCGAGCCTTAATCTCCTCTTTCCTTCCCTCCTCCACAGCCTTATCCCCATTCTTCACTTCCGCCTTTCCCTCCTCGGGCTTATGACCGCCCGTCACATCCGTCACAACACTCTCCCCCTTCGCCTTGGCCTCCAGCTCCTTCTTGCTCAACCTGATTGCCCCCTTGGCCAAAGCCTCGGCCGGCAACGGCCTCACAATCGGCTGCGCCACCCACACCGGCCTCTTGCACCTCCTCACCGTCGCCTTTGAGCTCTCGCCCTCAACCTCATCATCCTTGCCATCCCCCAGGCTCTCTAGTTCGTCCGGAAAACTCTTGCCCTCTGTGGCTTCGTAGTCTAATAATTCTTTCGCGACCCGCCGCTCAACTGCCTCCAGGACCCTTTCGTACCCCTGGATGCCGTCCCTGCGACTGCGTGCCAACAAGTCTCGTATGTCAGTGTGCTTGGAGACAAAGTGTCGCAAGAGGTGGAACAGATGAGGCTGCATAGCGACCAGATTCGGCGAGGGCTCGTCGCGTTTCCCGCCGTCAGTGTCCTTCTTGCGCCGCTTGTGAGGGCGCTCCTCGTCTTGTTGAGCCTCTTGCGGCTGCTCCTCCATCCAGGCCGTGTTGTCTCCCGGCACAAACAGGGGTCGTCGGGCGGGCGGCTCGACTCCGAGCGCGTATCGGTGCAGTATATCCAGGTAGCGACGCGTGATGGCATCGACTCGCCAGCCGCCTCTCCCGTCCTTCCCGCGCCAGTACTCCCTCCCTTCTTCGCCGACAGGAGGGGCTTTGGCGAAAAGCGCGGGATCGCTGAGGTTGCCCTCGGCGCTCATGACGCCGTCTGCGCCTGTTGCCGCCAGGCACTCGTCGATGTCGCCGCCCTGCAGGATGTTGCCGTTTGCAAATATTACCGTCTCGGGAGGCAGGCTGTCCCTCAGGAACCTGAGCGTCTTCCAGTCCGCCACGCCCGTCAGGTGGCCCTTTTGCTCTCGTCGTCGTCCGTGAACAGTCAATATTGACGCACCCGCCTTCAAGACATTTTGCGCATATGCCAACGTCTTTTCTTTGTCTTCTAATATTCGAATTTTGGCTGTGACGGGAATCGACAGCTCCTTGTGCAGGGTGTTGATGAGGCGGAAAATCAGATCCTGGTCCTCTTGTAGGAACGCGCCGTAGTGGCCCTTGCGCGCAATGCCCTGGGGACAGCCCAGATTCAGGTCGACAGCGTCGCAGTATGGGCTGACCTGCTTCGCCGCGGAGAGAAGAGCCTCGGGGTCGTTGGCGCAGAATTGTACGAATAGAGGGCGGTCAATGGACGGGTTGCCGTCGAGCCAGGGTTCCTGGGAGTCGGGTTTCGTGGATTGGAAATGCGCCTTGCGGTACTTGCCCTCCTGGGAGAAGAGTCGGGCATGGAACATTGGAGTGTATGCGAGCATCTTCTTCTTTTCTTCGTCAGTGAGGAAGGATCGTGTAAGCATTCGCCAGGCCTGTGGATGGAGTTAGTCGCCTTGGGAATAACAATCACCGATAGAGTCCCTGGATCATTGGACACATACAAACTCGGATTGGTCCACCATGGGAGCTACAATATACTTGGGGCTCCCAATGCTCTCGTAAAACGCTCGTCCATGTAACTTCTTTGACGCCGGAGTGGCGGGCGCATTTTGAGCCATCTCTGCCCCAGTCATGGTCGCAATTAGTCTGGAAACAGCTGGATTCGCAGTCGCAACGTATCTTCGAAGAGGAAAGTTGGAAAATTGCAGGAAAAGACCAGCTCGTTTCCCGGTCCTCTGCATAAGGAAGCAAGGGGTAGTGCCCCCAAGTTGTTTGTGGATAGAGCGCAACGGCCGCGTGCTGCAGATGCGATCGGTTTGTGATGCTGCGACGGAAAAAAGAAGAGACTTGTTGCGCCACGTTCAGCCAGGACAGAGGCGGCATCGGGGCCGACCCTTGTGGGTCACACTAGCCACTCATGTGCCGACGACTTTTCAGACATCTCAACCCTCCATATCAACATTTGCGCCCAACATGTCAATTGTTCTCGCGGGCCTGCTGAAAGGGAGTGAAACAGAAACTACACGCATGTATATCTATTATACTATGCTCGTCTTCTCTCTCGAAATCGCGTAAATAGAAACAGCATCCCCAGAGACCAAAGACCATCATTCTAAACAGATACGGCAACGAAAGATAACTTCATTCAAACTCTCCACACCAATCGCTATACACCATTCGCTATTGTATTCTCATTGCATCCGCCAATGTGCATCCTTCAAGGTTGTGTTCAAATCCCGCCTCTCAAGTCTACCAACAAGCCTAACCTCGACTTGATGGTTTTCTTTCAAGCACAGGCCCGATTTCATCGCCTGCTGAAACCTCTCTAATCTGACCATGATCGCTCCATAGCGTAGCCGCAATATTAATGACATGTGTATGACTTTGGGGCTAAATTCCCGACTGACATGTTGATTTGTGACAAACTGAAAAACGCCATCGACACCGTACTATGCTGTCCCTGAAACGCCTGCAATTGTAAATGTGAAATGGATACATGACTTGTTTAGGCCCTCAACGTCCCATCATTGAAAAAAATCAATCAGCTAAAGCCGTTCCCCGTGCTTGGAGTATTGCTGTCATCAGAAGAAGTGGGTGTAGATCTTGGAGTTCTCATGTACCTCCATTTCCTACCAATCGCGTCAGTCCTTGTATTCCCGATCTGAGAACTGTTTGGCTCGCAAACTTACCATTTTAAACGAGTTGAGTTCTTCCTTGATCTGCTGTGCAAGCAAAGGAGTGAGCCGATTGCACGTGGCGATTTCTCCACGGCGATCATACTCCTGACTGGGCCACGTGTCATAAAAGATGATACGAGGCGAGAATGTGGCATTTCGCTTGGCAGGTGGTGTTCCCGACTGGCTGTCTTGGCGAAGGCGCAAAGCAGACATGAAGTAATCTTCGCTGCCAATGGCGATGGAACCGGCCCTCTTATGGCCCAGAGTCTCATCATTGGGTGTGCTAGGCGCACTCGAAATGGGAGAGTCAGCAATGGCCGGGATGTTGGGGAGAACTAGGTCTGGGGAAGGACACCCGTCTGTGACTCTCACTGAAGGGCTTCCAGGTCCTGTAAACGTATGTCAGTCGCTACCAATCGGAAGACGATGAAATTTCAACGGACAGTGACCTTCGGCACTTACGTTTCAAAATACCCTTTCTCACAGCGGCGAGCACTTCAGCGCGTTCCTTATCCCCACCAACAATGCTCTTACGCTGCTCCCCTGCGGAGCTACCCAGTCTTTCGTCCCCAATCTCGGGCACGTGAGCAGCATCAATTGAGTTCCGCTCGAGGCGCGGGAATCCAGTACCCCCATTAGCAGCATGAGGATCTGCTGTTACGTTCACACGTTGAGCTTCGGCCTCCACTGTGATCATTGAAACGGTCGCCTGGCTGGCCTCCGGTGCCAGCGGTTCAGCGGCAGGAACACCAATAACTGACTTTGGTCTGAAGAGGCCAACAAGGGATCGGGTGCTCTTCTTCATCCCCCGGCCCATTTTGCGAATCATAATTGACGCCGATGAAGCAGTGGAGGAGATGGAGAGGTTATCCGTAGATCCAAAGAATCTTCCACCATAAATGCTATTACCAATACCACCGGCCTCTTGTGCCTGGGCAATACGTGCCTGCTCGGCATCGTATGCCTCCTCTGCTGTTGGTTCTTTATGAAGCTTGGATGGTTCCGCCTTCTCCGCCTCTTCTGCAGCCTTTCGAAACTCGGCGGCGCTGCCAAATGAGAAAGCTCGTCGTAATCTTGAAGTTTTGCTTTTGGTTTTGCCCCCTTTTTGGTTAAGTGCAGCCAGTTGTTTTGCGGCAGGTGACTCGAAATTAGTTGCGGCGCCAGACGCCGACCCGGTGTCTTCGGTGGCCTCATTTGCCATCGTCGCCGGCTTGGATAGAGGCGAAGGGCTGTGAGTGCGCTTAACAACATCAGACGAGGAGCCTCGAGGAGGAACACTCAGCATCTTCTGCTGTTCACTTTTGGCAGTTTCATCACTTCCAGATAAAGAGGGGTTACTGGTGGGGGTAGACACATTATGGTTGGTTGCCTGCACGTCAACCCTTGTTAGTACAGACATCATGTATTCAAATGAGCTAATTGGGTAGGCGAGAACCGACGCGACGACTTACAGATGACCGCCTGGAATGGCTGCTGCGGGTGGAGGCAACACTCTCCGAACTTCCATTGCGCGAATGAGAGTTGGTCTGCAAGAGGCGAGCCTGTTTTCCGTCGGCACTATCACGCGAGATTGGCCTTGTGTTTGAGAACTCTCGTGTGTCGATTGTGTGCACACTGCGTCTACGCATTCTCATAGCGTCATCCTGACCAGACTTTTTGTATTGCTGTAGGTCATCGATTGAAGATACAGATACCAAACCTTGATTGGCAGACATGTTTGACGCAGAATATCTCCTGTTGGCTTGATACGCTTGACCTGGAGACACCATCGATGGACTGGGTGAGAGTGTGGTACTTTGAGAGCGACTATGATGAGAAGGTTGAACAGTGCTTGTTCGTCTGTATCGATCTGGACCACTCTGCTTGGTAGAAGACGAAAAGGAGGGCTGCGTGGAAACAGAGAAATACGATTGCGGCCGTGCTGTAGGCGCCGTGACTCGGCCGGGTGTCAGAGCAGAATCATCTCGCGAGCCACCATAACCTAATCCAAAAGAGTTCGAATGACCCATGGAGTTGGCGGATGGGCTGCTTTGCATAGCAGGGCGATAGTTGACTCCAGAATCATGGGACGGCGATGAGGGGACTGCGCCGGAAGGAGTTGTTCTGTATGTGCCATATTGCTGCCATGACAAGGTTTGACCCAAGTTTGGCGTGCTAGAGAATGCAAAAGGCTGTCTAGAAACAGAGCCATTTCTATATCCAGTAGACCCGTTAGAGCTATAGGCAGATCTTGGAGCCTGTGAACCACCCATATTATATGGATGGTTACCGTGCGGCTGATTAGTCGTTATCATGCCACCTGTTGACGAAGGGCGAGTTTGAAGCATCGTGGCTGTAGAAGTCTGCTGCGGATACGTCTGCACCAATGCAGCCATGCTTCGGCTGTAAGACTTGCTATGGTCAGAAAGGATATGTTCGGTGTACCACGAAGACGCTCTGTTTGTCCTCTAGCTTCGGCAGGACTCGACTAGGGGAAGGGTAGCTTGGCTAATTTGCAGCCGTCTCGAGTTAAAAATTAAACCACACCCGGGGATGACTGCAACATGCACAGTTAGCAATAGGCTTCAGTGAGAATTGCAGCGTTTGAACATGTGGACATCTGGTCAAGTACAATGGGCTGACTGTGCACCAAAGTGGGCATCCAAAGACGCTTCGGGGGGGGAACAAACACGTTTGTTGCAAAATATGCGAACCTTTTCGTTTCGTTCACCGAGGATTTGCTATTTCTTCCGCTTCCTAACACGGACGAAAAAGAGTAACGAGGAGCTGGGTGGCTTTTTTCTCTATTCTTATATAGGAACGAAAGAGAGAGTCGGGGTTCGGACGACGCAATCAAAGGACGCCAGCGACCAAACGAGTGTAAATAATCAAAACGAGTGTCTGTGTCGAAGAATCTTTACTCCAACTGCAGGTCTGCCACAGGCTTTTTTTCGATTTCTTTCTGTCGATTTACTATTCGACAAGCCAAGAATCGAGTAGGAACAGCGGGCGTGTCAAAGTGACACAGTGGAAAATTGATCTCGAACTAACTTGCGGAGAACATAGACAGATGTTGCATCGACAACGGCCGCCTCGTGAGATGGATTAAGATATATGCTCTACCCCCCGTTATTGCTTCGATGCTTGTAGCAAAGGGTCGAGAGGCTGTGCAACGATATTACAGTTTCGGCTCGGGGAACGGTAGCGGAGGCACAATACTAGAAGCTCGTGGGCTTAAGGACGCGAACAAAGGCGAAGGACGGGACAACGCAAAACGGGAAAAAAATGCCAGTCGATGTGTGCGACGCAACGCTTAGAGACGGGGAAGCGGAAGAGAGAAATCGAACGGAAAAGAGAAGAGACGCGACATGAAGATTGGATTCGGGAGAGGGGAAACGGGGGGCTCGGAGGTGATGCAGCGAAGAAAGGGGGTACACGCCAGAGAAATTGAGATTCTGGCAGGAGTTCTTCGCGTGCCGGTGGACAGGGGCAGAGAGGTGGGTGAAAAAGGAAGGGGATAAGGTGAGTGGATCGAGAAGGAGAGATGATAATGGAGATGAAGATGAAGACGAAGGAAAGAAGAACAGAAAAAAAAACGTCGACACGACGGTGGTGGTGGTGATGGGAGGGATGGGAGGAGAACAAGTGCATGTGCCCAAGTGGACGGACGGACTTTCACGCCTTGGCCATGGGCCGGCTGGATGGGATGGGGTATCTGTGGAAAGGCCCAAGGGCAGACCAGTATTGTTGAGAAGCAGCCAGTCGACCAGACAGCTGCAGATGAAGCAACAGCGGGCGGTGATCAGCAGCCGTCAGCAGGAAGCAGGAAGCGGTAGTGCTCAAGAGCTCAGTCAATGCTCTGTTGCAGCAACGCCTGAGCACCTGAGCACCTGAGCAGCGGTAGCAGAGCCCGTGGCAACGGCTGGCCGTGGCTGGGACCTGAACTAACCAGGCTGGGCGCACCTTGGCCAGCAGGCGTGGGCGGCTACGGCAACGTCTGGTCGGTCAAGGAATGGGCTGATTCATCGAGCATTCAATCAATCCGAACACGGCGCGGCTGAATGATGGAGCCAGATGGCGCTCACAAACCTCAAGGTTCCAGGTACAGAAGTCAATGAGGCGCGATAGCTTGAGGTGGAAGTCCTGGCGTTATGAAGACGTCGTGCCGGTGTCACGGTCACGATGGTTTCGGCGCTGTGGCGGCGCCGGCTGTCAATTTACAGCACTGAGGCTGCCCACGACGGTTCAATGTTGGGCAGTTGGTGGAGGGTGGCGACCTGGTGCGGCAGCCCGGGACCTGGTCACCTGGCAGGCGCATCAGCATCAGCATGGAGGGATTGATCAATTGATTCATCTATTGACTAGTAGGCAGCCACAGTGGGAAACTGCCCGGCAGGTTAAGCCATGCTGGTTTGGCGGGCTGGCGGGTACTGCTTGCTAGATACTTTAGGTACTTAAGTAGTTTGTTGCCTCACCCGGCGGCCAGCAATGGCAGCCGCCTCTTCCAGATTCACAAAGCTCAAAGTTCGACTTCGAGCAAAGGCGGTTTCAAGCTTGCGGCATCGACAAGTGTGGAGCTGCCTACGGAGTAGTTCCACCATGTTCCAAGGTCCAGGCACGCAACTCAAGGACCCGACCAATGCCTCCTGGAAATGCTGCTGGCTGCACCTTTAACGTCCGACTACACCAGGCCCTCCAGACGAGCTTGGGCTATCGAGTCCAATTCAACTCTTCAAAGCCAGTATTCTTGGTTTGGGTTTCTCTGGAAAACTTCACATTCCTCGCAGAATCAAGGTGGTCATTCAACAGCTTTGCTGATGCTCCGTACTCCCGTCTTTTTCTTCAGAGACAAGACGCATCCGGACCATTTCGATCTTCTGCTTGTCTTTGGTCTCCTACCTTGAATGTTTGCCTCATCGTCCGCACACCACGGGCCACTGTCGTACCCAGGTCTGAGTGGATAGGTGGCTTGCCGTCAATGGAATCTTACACAACACGGGGTGACGACTGCACGTCAATCGGCCGGACTAAGAACCCAGCTTGCCAAGGTCTCATTGTGATTTGCTGTGCTTCCCTGCGTGCCAGACACGAGCTTGCAAGACATGGTCATGCCCTGTCTGCCCTTGCCCATCTCCAGCTCCATCCCCGTCCCCGTCCCCATCTGATGTTCAAGTGCACCCGTGGATCCTACAATTCGGTCGTCAGCGGCGAACTGAGTCGGCCCCTCGTCGCATTCTGGAGTCGAGTGATAAGAACTGACCTCTCCACGACATACATGCATACACCCATTATTGCCATGGAGTCCCTCGGGAGCGCCTAAACGCAATGATGTTTTGTTTTGCACACCCGCACAGGGTGAAGGTTACCAAATTTGCTGAAGCAGAATTGTTGGGGCCAATGCGTTCATGGGGACTAGTAGTGGAAAAAACTCTATCTAATGTCGAATGGTCGTATGCATTCGGCCACTATGCCTGGCTTATTACGACGAGGGCCGCTCCTTCCTTGTCCGTTTTTGCCGTGCTGTTCACCACTTCAGTCAATTTTCTCTACGACAGTCCGAATCGTCTGCCTGGGCGCTATTACTCAGGTACCTAGGTATTTAGAACTTCTTGACTTGGATTTGGACTGCTTGGTCCCAAAGTTCAGCAACTGATTCTCACAACCCTCCTGCCTCTCGTCGAGCCCTGGCTGCATATGCCGGTAGCCTCGGCCAGACGGTCGTGTTCGATGGCGCTGTCTAAAAGGGGGTATGACTTCCGGTGCATGATTGGACATCCTTCAGATTGTGGCATTGATTTGCCTTGCGCTAAACAAGGTACGTGGCCCTGGGCAACATGCAAAGTGATGAGGTGTGGACACCGCACCTGGATCAGTGGGGGAGCAACAGAGCCAGGGAGCGAGCTTGACCACTTGAGCAGGACATACATACATACGATAATAGGGCTCGAATCTCCTCCGTACAAGACAACATACAATGAAAGACAATACGAGACGGAAACGCACTCAGTGCCCTGTCTCGAGTGTGTACAAAACTGCGTTCCAACCTTTGCCGTGGAACCGTCAATTGGCGTTGCCATGTGACGTACAAAGTGTCGACAATGCCTGCAGAGCTCTGGCCCGTTCATTCATTCTTGCCAACGTGACGGGGCTTCGTCTGTGTCTTGGCTCTCTACGCATGCTGAGGCTGTTCTTCAGAATCATGGACCAACTGTTGAACACAATCCGCTTGCAAGAAAACTGTTCTTTCTCCTGCTCCGGAATTTGGTCAGTGCCCGCCAGCGTCTCTCACGAAACCATATGGCGGCCAAATCACAGAGGATGGCACCAGATGGCCCGGTGCCGACTGAGACAGAAGTCCCGGTCCCGTTGTCCTGGTGTCCCGTTGTGCCTGCAGTTCTATTGCCTACGCCCCGAGTCCCGTGTCACGGCAGCCTCGACTTCACGGCCCATACTACAGGCTTTGCTAGTCATCGGAGGAACGAGTTCAGAAGTACCGTCCCCATCATTTTTTTTTATTTCTTGGTAGCATTTATGAACCGCAGAGTGTGGAGCAGATTGTTGATCTGCTATTATTTGCACTCCTTTTGTACCTACCTACCTAGGCAGGTATCAGGAAAGATGGATCGCAAAAAGGTGAGGCCGGGATCGGGTCTTGAATCCAGACCAACTGGGACGCCAATTCGAAGACTTGCTCCGTCTTTGTTTGACGTTGGTACCAATAACGACTACCTGTACTACTTACGTACGTACTATCTGTGCATATATAAAGTGTACCAGGCACAAGCTGGCAAGTCAGATCAATCAGGTCCGGTGCAGGAACCCAACACCGATGCAAGCCACGAAAACAAGACATGCAGGTTGGTACGAGATGATGGAGCACAGAACACACCGACAGCGATCGAGCTACAGGAAACTCGCTGTCTACTAGGATCCGGTTTAACATGCCTCCTTTCATCCCTTTTTCGGATGCTTATTCACATCGCGTCAACAGAAGATAAAATTTCTGCGTCTGCCGTAAACCACATAGCAGCATCTGGTTTACATTCACACAGTCTGAACAACAATGTCACGCTCCCGGGGGTGGAACAATGCAGGGTGGAACAATGCCCCATTATGTCCAAGAGTTGCGGTGCTACTGACCACATTTGGCTCATATCCCCAGTTCCCTATCCCTTTTTATCGTTTCTAGCCAGAGCTCTTTTTTCGTACCCCTTGCTATCTCTAGAATGATATGAAGAAGTCATCCTCAAGCTATTTACCCGATGGCTCCTCAAAGCACAGGGATGATAAGTCTGGATGGGATGCCCATCACCGCAATGAAACATCTAAAGCCCTCCGTCAGATTTGTTCAGAGAATCGCTCACCAGTTTCCTTGGCAATGATATCCATGTTAATC